TAGGTGGGATTATTGAAGCCGATTTTGGTTAAAAATGTCTTTAATAACATTTTGTTAGGGATGATTCAAGGTATTTTCTTGATAAAAACGCTTTTATTAATCCCATCAAAAAAACATATTTGATATTATATATGTCAAGTCAGTTGTAGGTTTATACCCAGAAAACATTTGAAGTCAGTTATATATTTATGCTAAAAAAATATTGGGTTTATATATGTGATACTATGAATTATATTTTGGAATTTACATAATGAACATTGTTATATTTCAATAAATTGACTACACATCCAAAATTAAAACTAATAACGTTATCATATTAACATAATTTTATGAAATAATCATACTCAATAATACATTAAGTACACATATGTGTATTCATATTAAGTATACCAATAATATTAAACCAATACCCCAATGTACAAACTTAAAATTTCCATTCAACATGGCATGTTGAAAACATTATAACAATTTGTTCCTCATATATTTATATTCAACCAATAATGTCTAAACTCAAGGTTTATTAACATTAATAAATGATAGTACATACTCACACCATTTTTCACGGACTTCATCTAATTCCTCTTTCGTGAAGCTTTCTTTACTCTCCCACTAAAAAAAATATCAAAAATAAATGTTAATAAATGAGAACATAATGTACTTTTTTATTTTTTTGAAGATATAACAAGTTTATGAAATTTATACTAACCTTAAATGGTGTGATCATAAAATCATCTAACACTATCTCTCGCATAAAACGAAAGACATAATATCTACATTCAGTATTACTAGGTTGATGAGATACCTAAAAATTAAATTAAGTGAGTTTAGAAAAAATTTATCTACACAAACTCAGCATAAAAGAATAAATTTCATATTTACCGATAATGACACCCATTTCAATTTCTTTGCCTTCTTATCGAGTGCAGATATTACCCTAAATTGAAAAGAAAAAAATTACTTAATACATAAATAAAATTACTTATGAAGAAATATAAGATATATAATATAATAAAGTGTAATACCTCTTTATAAAAGTTTGAATATTGGAGTTAGGCATCACCATTAGATTTGAATTAAGTAAGTATGGCGTTAGAGATTTGGTGTCAATCACAATAAACACCCAATGACGACTGTAAAATAATAACAATGATATACTTAGATTATGCATCAAATTAGATTTTGGTAAGGTTGGAAGAATTAAGGTTGGAATATAACTTACTATGTATTATACAGAAGCAAATAATAATCAACCAGTCTTTTCATGCATTTGATCACATGATTAGCATGATAAGCGACTATGCCACTCTGCTCACTAATGAAGTTGAGGTCAACGAATCTAAATCTATTGATCAACTGTCTCCCCTTGAGCTCTCTATATAGGAAGCTACACGATAACAATCAACACTGCTAGTTAGTATTATACCCTAATATAGATTAATACATATTGAATGTGCATATTTGTATTTATAAGTTAATCTCATATAAGCAACAATATCAACAGCTAATAATTTATCTAGTTCACAAAATTCTTTAACCTCTTCCACACCAATAAAAAAATGATGGTTTATCAAATAACCCTTTCTCAAACTCAATGATTATAAAGTTTTCTCTGGATAAATGCTCCAGTGAATATTTGGATAATTTATCCATGGTAGCTTGAGCAAGAGTCATATTGTGAGTTTCAACATCTTGCTATAATATTTAATGAAATATAAGTATTAAAATCAAATTAATAAATATAATAAATAAATTAATATTAAAATTATAAACAAAATCATACTTCTTGGGTTGTATGGAGGTGGGTTCGCTTTCTTACTTGCAATGGAAGCTTGTCCTACGTGGACGATACTATCAGATTGACCTACTGGCATGTTATGCTACATTGCTGCCAATATGAACTCCAAAGCAATGAGTTTTTGTTGTTACTCATTGAGACGATGCTCCTGGTCATCAATTTATTGCTGTTGTTGCTCAATGATTGCTTTATATTGTGTATTTTTCACTCGCAAGGTTTTGTGTTGATTATCAAAAAATTTTGATGGCAAGACAAATTTACCAACCCTACGAACTTGACCAGGCATTTTTTTAGTGTCTAATGCTAAAGACAAAAGATCTTTGCCATACTGGATTGCTAGTTCACCAGATTTGACTTTGGTAGCATAATCATCCTGAAAGATAAAAATAAGATGGGCTGTAATAACAAATCTATACAAGCTAGTATACAGTCATGCATACATCAAAAATACCAATCATATTAAAAAAGTAATTATACATACAATCTTTTTTATCATTTCTTCGATTGCCTCATCTGTAAAGGATCCATCCTTCTGTAAATGTCTTTGTTTCCAAACATCCCATCTAAAAACTTCGGTGCTAGAGCTCACTAATTCTTATTATTAACTACAGTAAAAGAATCAAAATATATGAAATGAATGTTCATAAATATTCATTAATGAGTATAAAATAAGTGTGTGAATACATACAAGCTCATACTTCACATTTACATATCCCTTTCTCACTATCTGATGGTGATATTATTGTTTAGCCCGAATGTTTCACTGATTTTCTTTGATTTTTTACAAAAGAAGAAATTACGTCAATCACATATGAAGATCAAAGGCTATATTGGATAAAGACTTATAAACAATATTTTTGGTAATGGGTTAATCTACTGAGAAATCTTTTGAAAGTTGATATCGAACAAAATTTATCCAATTTTCAACACTTATCACATCTATGTTACCACAAGTGGAACAGCCAATGCATCACCTTGATCAGCTAGCGGTAAAATATATTAGGTTGTTAATCTGCTTTTAAAATCTTTGAATGCTTTCTCAGTATATTGCAACACAATCTCTTTACAGTCATTTGAGACGTCGAACCGTTCCTAAATTATTTAACATAATTAGTAGGAACACATTGAATTTCAATTAAATGATCATTTAATAAATTTTATGAAATAGTTGAATAAACATATCACAACCGATTGTCATATATCATCCTTTAGATCATCAAAAACTTGTCACCAATTGATGTACGTAATTGAAATCCTACGATGGACGAAAGTTCCAATATGAGTAGCCATCTTGACAGCTCCTTCAGACACAGACTGCCCACTTTGATTGAAGTCAACGTGAATTTTTATGTTACTCACTTTAATTTATTTATTTGAGCCCCTTCCTTTTCTTTTTTAGCTTATAGGTGTGTCTTTTAAATGTTCAATAGAAGGAGATTTATAAGGTAATTAATCATCACTGAACTCATTCAAGCTTTTACTTTTTGTATATGTGCTAAAATTTTAAATTATTAATTTTGATTTAAAATCATATCACTATAAAATTATTGTTACTTGAAATAAAGTAACTATATAATGTTTTCTTTCCCATCCCTGACTTATTATTATTATTATTATTATTATTATTATTATTATTATTATTATTATTATCATCATCATCTTCATCATATATTTTGATTTAAAAATAGTATGTACCGAATAAAATAACTTATAGATAATTTTTATGATATATTTTTAATACATTTAGACTAATTTCTCTTTCATTTTAAATACATTCCTAAGGACAATAATTTTTGGTTTAGTTATTACCAATGTTGTAGAGGACATCACACAACACAACAATTTATTTTACTAAAGAGTTCAAGGTAATAAGGAAATAGATAAATAACATTTTATTACTAAATTATACATTGATTTACTATTAAGTTATGAATGATTTACTATTAAATTATCAATAATTTATTAAGCTATCGAATATTTACTCAATAAAGTTATCATTAATTTACTATTAAGTTATTATTAATTTGCTACTAAATTATTATTGATTTACTATTATAATTGATTTAGTACAAAATTATTGATGATTTACCACTAAGTTAAGAAACTATGATTTACCACTAAGTTAATACTTATCATTAATTTACTATTGAGTTATAAATTACTTACTATTAAATTATCATTGATTCATAACTCAATTATAACTGATTTAGTATTGAGTTATTGATAATTAAGTTATTGATAGTTTACACTGATTTAGTATCCATGACCCTTAACTTTTCTTTTATTCCATTTTAATGTTCAACCTTTGAATTGTTTCATTTAGGTTTCTAACCTTTAAATACTATAAGAAATTAGGCTTTTAACAACGTAATTTTTTTTATGCTATGTTAATTCGGCTTTCTATGTGGTGAAACAGACATTTCATGTGGACATTCCTTCAACCAGCCACAAGGACATTAATGAAAAAATATGATAAAATGAACGAAATAAAATTATTTTAAAAGATTAAAGATTCAAAAGGGTTGGGGAATAACAACTAATATATAAAAGTTTCTACTGCGAACTGGACTTGGATTTTTAATCATGAACAAAATAATCAAAGCTTAACCTTAAATATATTGTTGAAAAATGTAAATCTTATAATTGATTCAGTCATTCTTAAAAAATGACATTCACTTAACTTAAAATATATTATTAAAATTATAATCTTAACCTAATTTATTTATTTACTCTTAAAATATGATATTCAATCAATCTAGAATTCAAATCTTAATATTTTCAATTTTTTTTTATTTTCAAACTAAAACAAGAGTGGATTGATTGCGTATAAATTCAAACTAGCATATGCAATGTTGTGAAATTGGATTGGTAAGTGAAAATTCAAAGCTTAATTAGAAAGTGTAGCTTTATACTACTTGACGCATCTTTTTATTGAGATTTTGGGTGCCATTGGGCTTTCCATGGAGTCATGATGAGGCGCAGGCGGTGATATTGGTGGCAAAGTATATCAACCGCCCATATTTTTTGCGGTTTGGAAGTCGGATTTTACTTGAAGCTTTATCTTCATCAATGACGAAATATATAACAGTAAAGTGACCATCAACGTGACCCCAAAGCATGCAATTCAGCAAAAGCTTACTTGCTTTTCACGTGCCTTTGATCCAAGCATCGATCCTCTAATTGTTTCCTTACTTCCTCCAAATCATATAATTATTGGTTTTGATTACGTATGTATGTATTCCAACACTTGAATTCAAAGAAATGAACCGAACGAATTGCACCAATGGCCCCTCCCATCAATCCATCTCCATTGAATCTGTTAAAATATCAATCCAAAATCTCATCAAAAGCTGGTACAAAAGGCAGAGATGGCAACACTTTTTCAACCCAAGATCAGAACAAGAGCTATCATCATCAAGCAAAGCAACATGGAGAAATCACTTGGCCAAATTCCTAGAATCGACCCAACTTCGGATAATTGCATTATCATTGCTTCTTTTAGACCTAATCCTCACCATTCTTGAACTATCCTCAACTTTACTCTCCTGTAATATTAACATAGAAAAAGCTTGGTACCATTGGGTAGGAATTTCGATCCTGGCATTGCTTTCTGCTAAGTCAGTGGCTTTAGCAGTGGGGCTAGGGGGTGCCTTCTTCAGACGGCCAGGCTATGTCGTTGATGGCGTAGTTGTCATTGGGGCATTGCTTTTCGAAGCATTTTTGGAGAGGAAAGGAGGAGGATTGCTTGTAATTGTGAGTTTGTGGAGGGTTGTGAGGGTGGTGGAAAGTGGTCTCGAGTTGAGTGATGAGGCCATTGAAGCACAGATTGAAGGGATAGTTTGCCAGTTTGAGGCACTCCGAGGAGAGAATTCAAGGCTTTCGGAGACCATTGCTCGAAAGGATCAGATAATTGAGACGCTCGAAAAAGAACTTGATCAATATAGGCATGCTTGCGATCTGATCCCAATAATGACCTGAAACAATAGAATAGTTTCTAAGTGATGAAAATCTGTTCTTTTCAAAGCAGCATATGATATAGCTAGGCATCCTAGATAGAAAACACTTTATTGATTGATTTTAATTTATTTTTTTCAATAATTAAACTTGTTTTATATAATGTTTCTATAATTATTTCCTTTTTTTCATGAGAAAGAATTTGTCATCAAATATATAGAAATATCATATCAGTATGTATTTTTAATTCAGAAAATAGAGCATTCCTTCCTACTACAAAAAATAAAGTTTGTTAACTCAAAACATAGAAAATTCAACTACAACAGAAAGAAACAATTTCATGGAAACCATACAAGTGAAGTGGGATGTGATCTTGGAGATATTGGGATGATTGGTGATTTTTAATTTGACAAACTCGATGATTTGATGAACCAAATTAGATGAAGGAGAAGACACAAGAGATCTGTGCTTTCTGTTGTTTCTTTCTCTCCAGTTATTACAAATTAAAGCAGACCTTAAGGGCTAAATTATCTAAAGATTTCCAATTTAGATGGTTGATTGCACATTGGAGTTCAAAATTCCGATCACCGGAAGGCCTGCTGAGGTTGGAAATTTATAGAATATCAGACCAAAGTTTGTCTAAGGGGCATGAGAAAAAGATACGGTTCCTTCTCTCATCATAGCAAGGAAATAACCCATGTTACGAGTCTAGAAATCGTAGGCAGCCTGTCAAGAATGCATAGCCATGCAATAAAAGAGTGCTTGAGAATATGATACGAGGACCAAATGACTTTGTGCCGAGGAACTTTACGGTCTGTTTATGCTTCGGGTGGTCCCAAGTAAGATAAAGAAAATTTACTGGCCTTTGTGTCAGGAAGAGTGGGGTTCAGCCCATGTGTTATTTGACCAATTAGAGATCATACGTCTTAGTCTTTTAATCGAGCCCTGCATATTAAAAAAGCTAGATCTTTTGACGTGAAATTAGAGTTCGTCGCAAATAGAGAAAAGAAAGAAAATAAACCGAAAAAAAAAAGAAAAAAAAAAGAAAAAGTAAAGTTGGTTTCGTCCAGTAACTTTTTTTAGTTTGTTTAAATAAATTTATTTATGTTAAATTTAATGAATTTATAAAAAATTATTTCTTATAATTTTGTAATGAATTTGAATCCGAATAACATAAAAAATATATATTTTCAATTATTATTTTATACAATAACGATAAAAACTTTTAATTTTGCAAATAAATTTATATAAATTTATATGTATTAATTTAATAATTTCTTTACTTATACAGATATATGCAATAATCTCTTAAATCTATTTTTTTTTTTTTGTAAAATAAAAACAAAAAATAAAATAAAAGTACAAAGGAAATGGTGTCGGCAGCAGGGGGAACACATGAATGTGTAACCGTGAAAGTGATTAACATTCTTTGCGTCTCACTCACTTTCGTACTTTGCTTTTTATATTTCATCCTCTTGTTTTTTTTCCCCATAAATTTAACCTTTTTTTAGGTTATAATTATAGTAAAATATTACATTTATATAAATAAATAAATAAATTATTATTATATTATAATCAAATTATAATTATATATAATTTATTTATAAATTAAACATAATTAAATTTAAATTTAAGAATTTAAAATTTTAAGATTTCTTCATTGTAAAATCAAATTTTTTTTAGCATATAATGTATTAAGTTAAAATAATAGTTTTATTTCCTAATTTTCATTTTGTTTATTTCAATATCCAAACTCGGATAAAATCTTAAATTCTAACTAGAATTAATCCAAAGCAAAACAAATAAATAAAATTTTCTTTTATTTATTTTTGTCAATATTTTTTCTAATAAAAGTATTGAAAATAAAATAGAAAAAAAAACTACACCAAAAAAAAAAAAAAGATGTTGCTTTAGCTTTTGCATTTGCGTTTTGCGTTTTGCGTTTTGTGTTTGAGATAGCCATCCATTATTATCTTTACTGCTTCCACACTCCTTGTATCTGAAGTACATTAAAGAATAAAGCAAGAGACTCACCATTCACCAAAGGCCAAAGCTTCCAAAACCAAACTAAATTTCATGTAAGATTATCCATCTCTCCTTTCTTTTTTTATTTTCTTTTCTTTTCGTGAATTCAATGTTTGTCTTTCTCGTTCTATGTTTTTATTAAATTTTTTTTTCATTGTCCGATTGCTTTGTACGATTGTTAAAAATTTCATGTGGAACTTTTATGTTAGATATGATTTTATTAGGGTTTTTTTGGTGAAGTAAGTTTGTTTGGAAATAAGTTTCTTTTATGAATTCTAGCAGTACCCTTTTGCTCCGAATTCGATTTCTTTTTAGGGATTCAACTCGTTTTTATTTTTGTTTTTATTTGTTTTAAGAACAAAAAAGAAAGGCATGTAATGTTTTAGTGGTTTGTTTGTTTGTTTGGAATAAGTTTCTTTTTATGAATTTTAGGAATACCCTTTTGCTCCAATTAGTATATTTTCTCTTTGGGGTTTCCAAAGAATTTTTTAAAGGAAAAGATGAGAAGATAAACATAGTAATTGTTGTAAAACTTTGCTGTTGAATGCAAATATAGCATGTCCTACCTGCAATTGGAGGATTTCTACTACCTGGCTGAAGATTTTGTTGATGACATGGATGAAGATAACTATGGTAATGCGGGTGGAGACATGGATGCTGATGAATATGATATGGTTTGTTTTATGTTGTTGCTACTTTTAATTCATTTTAATAATTGAGTGATAGAATTCATCACTTTAAAACTATAAATTGAGCAGCTGACCAAGGTGACTGATACGTCTTCTGGGCAAGCACGGAAGGGGAAAGACATTCAGGGGATTCCTTGGGAAAGATTGAACATAACTAGGGAAAAATATAGATTGACAAGGCTTGAACAGTATAAGAATTATGAGAATATCCCTTCCTCCGGTGAAGCTGTTAACAAGGTTTGTTTCTTCTCCTACCATCTCTAAATGAGCTAGTTTGTCTTAAAGAGAATATGATGTTAAACTTCATGGTAATTGGTATTTGTTGTTTCAGGAATGCAAACAGATGGAAAAGGGTGGGAACTACTATGAATTCTTCCACAACACTAGATTGGTTAAGCCAACAATCCTTCATTTTCAGGTTTGTAAGTTTAATATGTACCGTGATTATTGAAATTCAGTAGACAAAGAGGAATGCATAAAAACTATTGTCATAGCAGGACACCCATACATGCATTTGTCCATGAAAAATTATTTGATACACTGAAAGTGGAGTTTTTTAACTCCACAAGCGGGGTTAAGATGATGACATATGTCTTATTTCTTTTTTAAATTAATTTTTATAAATATATAAAGGACATGTGTCACCATCTTAATCCTCCTTGTGGAGTTAAAAAACTCCACTGTCAGTGTATTTGATAATATCTCTTTGTTGATACATAGTTTGGTAAAAGGATTCTTGTAGCCAGCAAATACGACTTTGAGATTAAAGGCTCAATTAGGTGTATACACACACACACACACACACACTTGTCTATTAGGCTCACCGACAAACATATATAGATGCATATATGCTTGTGTCTGTTTTTGGTACTGTTCAAACTTCCAAATGATGGTTCTATTTAAGTTTTAAGCATCGCTTTTCTGATTGAGGGATAAGTTTAAAGTTGCTAATATTGACCTAACATACTGGCTATAGTTGTTGGTATTGATTCTTAAATTTGCAACTTTCCCTATTTTAGTAAGCTGTGGAGCTTATTTAGTGATCCTTATTTTAGAAATTAGGAGGTATTTTACGTTTGTCTAATAGTGTTTGGATCTTTCTTGTAGTCTCTTATTGGGCCCAAGAGTTGGCCGTTGGTATGAGTTTTACTGTTTGAGTTAAAGACTTTGAGTTCTTATTTGACTAGAATCATAAAGACTATTAACATACTCACTCACTTTCTATTGATCAGTGAATTATAGTTTTCCTGCAATTATACTCTTTTATGCGGTTGTGTCCCCATTCAACATTAAGCGCGATGTATAATGACACTGAAGTTAGGATTATTGTTCTTTTTTTTTCTACAGTTAAAATCCATTCTCAGTTCTGTAATCATCACTAGAAGTACCTTTCACTCTCCACTTCTGCAAAACAAATTTCTTTCTGTTCACATGGTTGCTTATTGGTATAGTCATTAACACTTTCAAACCATAATCCTAAGTCGTGTACAATAAAAACTCTAATACCCTTGCAATTTTGCTCTGAAATGATTCCAAAGCTCATTCCCACCTCTTTTTGCTTTCTGTGAAGTTGTAGGTGACACTAAGAACCAATATTCTTCATTTGATATATCATATTGTTTGATAGTCTTAATCTCTCAAATGCCCAATGGATAAAAAAGGCGGGATTTTTCCTATAAATTTAAATTTCATAAAATAGAATCCCATTATCATGGCATGGTATATTTCTGGTATCTCTAGATTGGACAAGTGTCTGTTGTGCTATATTCTGTTTCTAAAATTATAAAACGTATTATTTGAGCAAACACTTTTTTTTTTTTTTTGTATATTGAAATTTCAGTAATAGAAGCCCATTATTGTGTTATGATATTTTTTTGGTGTCTCTAGTTGGGAGAAGCATTTATTGGTTTTGTATTTGGTTAGTGAAAGTGTATCTAGACGCTCTTAAATAACCTATTGTGGAATGAATTTGCAGCTCAGAAACTTGGTTTGGGCTACTTCAAAGCATGACGTTTACCTTATGTCCAATTATTCAGTTATGCATTGGTCATCATTATCATGCAATCTGTCTGAGGTTGTTAATTTTGCTGGGCATGTGGCACCTATCGAGGTATTACAGTTGTACTGGTTAGTCTTATTGCTTCTTATCTTAATTTTGAGGATAGTTAGTTTGTCGTAATTCATCTCTTCTTTTATCTGCTAACTTCCTAATGCCTTGTAACTAGAAACATCCGGGAAGTTTATTAGAAGGTTTTACACAAACTCAAATAAGCACACTAGCAGTCAAGGACAATTTTATGGTTGCTGGAGGCTTCCAGGGAGAGCTTACTTTTAAGGCAAGTTAATATTTGCAGCCTTTTCCTTATTTTTGCTAATATTGATTTCCTTTTGATCTGCTGCTTATGAAATGGAAATGCTAATTTTTTTTATCGCTGGATATTTTTTTTATTCATTGGCAATTCTTTTGCGACAGAATCAGAATTACCTCCAGCCAGTTTTCCTCTCCCACTTTCTCTAAATTAAGTAACCTAGCAACTGTATTTGAGATGGCTTTGAAATCCTTACCCTACATACTCAAACTAATGTGAATTCCATCTGGAATCATCTGAAATTCTATCAGTTATGTGATGACTTGTTATATGTAATTATTCTTATAGGAACTGTATATTCTTCATGGTTAGAGTCTTAATCATCTTGCAGACTTGTCCAAGAAGTGATAAACATTTGAACAGTTCTTTTACTAAATTGGGAGTGTGCTTAGTCAGCAACTCTTTTTTAGCTCAGAGAGAGAGAGAGAGAGAGTTGGAATAATTGTGGGTTTTGATGAACGAAATACCAAATGCCTTCATTTTTTATCTTAAAAAAATAATTCAGTTAAGAATTATGCACTGAAGTTATATTCGTTATATTAACATGTGTAATTTTACACTTACAATGGTAACAGTGCTTTAATTTTACCATGATTTAAAATGGTGGGTTCCAACCCCCCCCCCCCCTTTTGTATCATGAAATGCTTTAAAATTTACCATTTCCTAAAGTATTACAAGTACTGCATCCCCGTCTTCTTACCCATACCATAACCTAGGATGTATTGCATTCCTAGTACGATCCAAGTATTTCATTTACAGATAAGATTATTTAATTGTGATTTTGCATTCTGATAAAATTCAAGAAATTGAATTCTAGAAAATCCTAAAATTGAAATGTTGGTATCTTTCTCTTTCTATCATTTATTTACTTGTTGCTTCTGCATATTCGGGTTTTGCACAAATATATTTTTCGTATACTTAAGTGTGCTTTTACCCATTTCTTTTATTGGTATTGTATAATTTCATTTTCCTGTTGCTGCAGCACTTGGATAGAAAAGGAGTAACCTTTTGTACCCGGACAACCTATGATGATAATGCAATTACAAATGCTATCGAGATATATGACAGCTTGAGGTAGCATGATAATTGCTGGTTGGCTGTTTCTGGGCAAAATATATTGAATAAAATATAGATTGAATTTCAAAACTGTTTTGCAGGGGTGGAATTAATTTTTTGGCCTCCAATAATGACTGTAGCATAAGAGAATATGATACAGAGAGATATCAACTTTTGAATGATTTCCATTTCCCTTGGCCTGTTAATGTAAGCCCTTCTAATTGCTATTATGAGGCCTACATTCTTAATTCGGTTGTTCTTTCTTAATCCTTTCTTAATCCATCAAGTTCTATCTTATGTCCGTATATGTTTCAAAGAGATGCAATGGTCTAAGGGTAGTTTTATGGTCATTAGAAGTAAATGATATCTTCACATAATGGAGACAAATGGTGAAGTTGACTTACAGGTCTGCACTTCAAAGGCAATAGAGATTATTGCTTCATAAAGAGAAAAAGCAAACCTAAATCATCTCTGACATTAATGGATTACCTTAATTTTTAATCACATAACTAAACTTGTTTATTCTGATGCAGCATACGTCTGTCAGCCCCGATCGAAGGCTTATCACTGTTGTTGGAGATCACTTGGATGGGCTGCTTGTGGATTCGCAAAATGGAAAGGTAAAAAAATTTAATTTTCTAATATGATACTGGAACTATATGGTGAGCCTTGGTGCAACATTAAGGTTGCTACATAATGAGGTATGGATTCAAGTAGGGAGATAGCCTTCCTGAAAGCAGGGCTTAGGTTGTGTACATTTGACTTTCATGCATTGCACTTCCCTTTCTTGATATTGGAATTGCCCGTTTTATATTTTATACGGTTAAATTTGGAGAAAGAGTCAAAATGGTGAGCCTACCATGAAGATTGAAGAGCAATAAATTACTATTACAGCAATAGATATACTTGAGGCTTAGTGTATATATGCATATGTAATTTTTCTGACATTAGTAATTGTTATTTATCCCATTTGTGCCTTTGAGAAGAAATGAAAGGTCCTGCATAAAACCAGGTGCAAGTATCATTAAATATGCTCGCTTTTTACTACCATCTTGATCCAAGCTTAACCAATTATTCATGTATGGTCAAGAGTATCATATTTTAAACACTAGAAAGTGTGCTACCTTTCTAGTGTAGAAAAGTAAGAATTATGTAGTGTTATTGAGGTAAGAATTATGTATTGTTGGTGAAACTGAATCACATTTTATGTGGTCTCAGACTGTAGCCACGGTGGTAGGTCATCTAGATTACTCCTTTGCATCTGCATGGCACCCAGATGGACGCATATTTGCCACAGGAAATCAGGATAAAACCTGCCGAGTGTGGGACATAAGAAACCTCTCCACTCCGGTTGTGACTCTCAAAGGAAACCTGGGTGCTGTTCGATCAATCCGATTTTCATTGGACGGCCAATTCATGGTAGTTGCTGAACCGGCAGATTTTGTTCATGTGTACAGTACAAGTGCCGATTACCAGAAAAGGCAAGAGATAGACTTCTTTGGCGAGATTTCAGGGGTATCTCTGAGTCCAGATGATGAATCTCTGTATATAGGAATATGGGACAGGACTTATGCTAGTTTGCTGCAGTATAACAAAAGACACACTTATGGTTACTTGGATTCTTACTTGTGATCATGTCCATGATTCCTGCTTAAACGAGAGTGTGCTGCGTGCTCCTGTAAGTTTTGCCCCCTTTTTGCATTCTCTTTTGTTATATAGGGTGATTTGAGTGAAGATCAAATATGACAGTAGAATAAGTGTATCCTTTGTTAGAACTTTGCTAGGAGCATGTACAGTACAATATCTTCCTTGAAATGAAATGTCTTGCAACAATAAATTCTTTGTCATACCTCTAACTATGAAATTTTACTCACGTTAGTAACTATTAAATCTGGTTTTGGCTTACTCACACAAAGTGGTTACATGATGTAATTTCAATACCCAAAAAATCAATCAAAGCCAAGGAAAGGCCTGAAATTATTGCTAATGCAAAGCAAACGGTTGGGCGAAAACAAAACAGGAGAGACACAAGAAGCAAAGGTGGCCGTGACCATGGTTTGGATGTTGTGAACACTGGTCACATTGCTTTGGACCCCAGGAACCTTCAAATTCTTTTTGTCTGCTTCAAATCCGTCTAGTAGTAACATCCAAAGAGTAAAAATAATTGACAATTGAGAAATGGAAAGCGAAGGCATGAGGGGGAGAGGGCATTGAAGAAGCAACAGATTGGTCACAGCGAAGACGGAAGAGAAGGGATTAAGCTTCCGGACAGAAGAAAAGGCTTTGATATGCGTTGGGAATATGTCAGTAATGCTTTGTGGAACCTATTGTTTGCTTTCTCATCCCTGTAGTCCTCTTTGATTGATGTTCCTATTTTCTCTTTTAATTAAATGTTAATTCGTGTATTTATATTTATTTATTTCATGTCTAATACATGTAAAATATAAAAATTATTGTGTTAATACGTTAAATATAATGTTTATTTATTTATTTTTATCATATTCATATATAATTTTTTATTAAAATTTTAAATTATATGATTTTTGTGTTTTCATTTTCACATGTTATCGCTATATTATATTCAAAATTGTCAGACTTTTCATGAAGTTACCTTTGAGTCCCCGTTTTTCTCGTTTTCCCACCTTGGCTTAGCTTTTATGAACAAGAACTACCACAACCTGGCTGACAGACCCTTGTTCAAAACCCTCGTGAGCACAGTAATATCACTGAAAACACTGCATTTCTTTAGTAAAATAACCATGCAGGATTTGATGCTTTCGTGGTCTTGACTCTTGCCATTGCTTAGTTCCTTGTTGAACAGAGAAACGAGAAGAATTGCCCGACAATGGGATTTTTTCAGCTGATGATTTGCTTGCTTCTTTCCTTGGCTGCATTGGAAATGATGATGGTTCTATTCAACTCAAAGATAATGTTCTTGGCCTGACAGTCTTCAAATCAGATATCAAAGACGCTTTTTCTTATCTTGACTCATGGAATGATGATGATAACTCGCCTTGTTCATGGAGGTTCGTACAATGCAATCCTGTCAATGGTCGAATTTCCGAGGTCTCTCAGGAGAGATTGGTAAAGGGCTTCAAAAGTTGCAGTATTTGAAGGTATTATCACTTTCTCATAACAATTTCAGTGGTAGCCTTAGACCAGAGCTTGGTCTTATTGGCAGCCTTGAAAGGTTTTATCCTAGTCATAATAGTCTTTCAGGACATATTCGGAGCTCTTTTGTCAACATGAATTCAATCAGGTTTCTCGATCTTTCTGGAATTCTCTCTCAGGTTCAATCCCCGATGATCTCTTTTAAACCTGCTCATATCTCTTTAGCTGAGAATTCACTTGAAGGGCAACTGCCTAGCATACTAGCTCGATGCTCCTATTTGAACACCCTTGATCTCCCCAAAAACCATTCTTCTGGTAACATAGATTTTTGCTTCTGGGATTTGGTCTATGCACCAGCTTCAGGCTTTGGATCTATCCCATAATTCATTTTCTGGGACTGTTCTGGAGACAGTAGCTGATGCAAATGCTATAGCAGGGTGTCGATATGCTATGGTAGGGTGTCCCATAGACATCCCAAAAATTGGAAAACAAGAAAATTTAAAGCAAGATTTTTTTCTGAACACCCTTAAAATTTTACTCTCATCATAATTTTTTTTTCCCAAATACTCCACTCACTGCCATTATCTAATATCCAGCCACAGCCCACAGTCAGCGAACACCAGGCACTCAGCAGACACTCACTGCACTAAGTGGACATAAAATTAAAAAAAAATCATGAATTTGCCATTGTCCGGAGGGATACTAGCTCTGCATAACTTGAAAGAGCTACTGTTACACGGTAATAGCTTCTCAGGATTAATGCCTCTAGATATTGGATTATGCCCACTTCTAAATACATAGGATTTCAGCTCTAATCTTATCACTGGACCACTTCCAGATTCTCCCCAGAGGCTAATTCCTTGTCTTTCTTCAATTTATCAAATAATATGATCACAGAAGATTTTCCTCAATGGATTGGTAACAATGAGCAACTTGGCGTACCTCGACTACTCAAGCAACAGTTCAACAGTAAACCTGCCATCATCAATTGGTAACCTGAAAGCAATAAAATGTTTGAGCTTGTCAAATAATAGGCTTACTGGGAATATACCAACATCACTTGCTTACTGCTTCCAGTTATCCGACTGTCCACTTGAGGGATAATGGATTCAATGGTAGCTTACCAGATGGTTTATTTGACCTGGAATTGACTGACGATTCAGAATTTTTTATTGGATGTCAACTTATAATAAATAATAATTAAGCTAGCATTTTATTTAATAACAAAACACAACGTTTTATTTAATTTAAAACCCCCTTTTAATTTAATTGAAAACTACCTACGACAGAAAAACAATCAATGTTTCTTAAAAACTTTAATTTTCATTTTGGCCTGTAAATCCGTCAGCATGTTGTCTAAAACGTCGTTTATTAAAGATACGTCGAAAAAGGTGTTAAAATGAAAATTTTAAGTGTCAGAAAAGAATTTTATTTTAAATTTTCTTATTTTTCATCTTTTGCTACTTGGATCCATCTTGGGGATCGGAAGAGAAAGATTTTTCCAACAATGGTTTAACAGCTTCAATTCCACTGAGGTTCAAGTAGCCTGTTTTAGTCTCTTCAAGACTTATATCTCTCTGGAAACAGTCTCCAAGGAAATATTCATCAAGAAAGGGGTCTCTTTGCAAACACGAGTTACTTGAATTTATCATGGAAAAATTTTCGGTCAAGGATACCACTAGAGCTTGGTTTATTTCAAATCTTAATCATAGATATGATGATTTACTGATAATACAAAACGAATATGGTATGAAAATAAAATTAAAATGAGATATAATTTAAAATTATAATAATAATTATATATAAATTTAATAAATAAAAAATTATATTTTATATTTTCATGTCAACATAAATTATAACACATAATTCTTATATAAAATATAATATAAATATATAAATTTTAATATTTTATATAATATAAATATATGAATTATTAAATTTACCTAATCGTATTTCATCTTCAAAACGATACTTATATGTTGTTCCCGGAGATATATATGAAGCTGGAAGTTTGGCTATTCTTCAGTCGGATGGAAATTCATTGACAAGACCAATTCCAGATGAGATAGGAACTGTTCATCTCTCTACTTTCTGTAAGTTTGGCTTTTTTTTTTTTTTTTTTTTCATTTCTTACCTTTAGCATTTTTTTTAATTAAGGAGCAAGGAAATTTTGAGTTTTTTTCAATGCATCCTTTACTTAGGTCTATACAGGCAAATTTATTTATTTTGTATTTAGCAAATTCACGAAAAATTACTTTTATTTTAACCTCCTAAAGTATGTGGCACTAGAGCTGGCATATCAGAGCTTAAAGAGTTAATAAGAAGTGCGATATATATGGTTTTGGGGTGTTAATCTTGGGGCTTGTGACCGGAAGAAGGCCGGTCGAGTATGGGTAGTATAAGGTCGCGATACTAAGAAGCCACGTAAGGATTTTGCGTTCTAACTATGAGTGATTATCCGGAAGATGAAGTGCTACCGATGCTCAAATTGGCACTGGTATGCACCTCTAAGATACCATCCAATAGGCCTTCCATGGCAGAAATGGTGCAAATATTGCAGGTTATCAATACCCCAGTTCCACAGAGAATGGAAATATTCAAAAGAACTAAACTTGTCATATGATTCTTCTTTAGCTTTTATCACCAACACTAGTCTTCACTTGTCAAAAACTATTGTTGAATTCTTCTTTTACTTTATCTTGATAGACTAACTTTGACAAATAATCATTTTTTGACAAAGATTAAAATTAAACTTATATTATGATTCGGTACTTAATACTGAACTTATCATTGTACTTCAATTTTATTAAATCTTATCACTATATATATATATATATATATATATTAATTTTTTAACAAAAATAACCAAAATAAAATATTTGATAAATATTCCATATATGTAAGTGATCAATTTTCATAATTTCATTAATTTTTGTTTAAAAAACTTTAAAATATAATGTTCAAATTCAATAAATTAAAGTATAAAAATAAAACTTAATTACTGATTATTGATTACTTCAATTTCCAAAATTGTACCTGCACCTTATGTGCAGTAAATAAGTTTACCAACCAATAGGTGAATCTAACTTTCGATAGCCTATATGAATAATTTTACGAGGAATTATTCTTGTAACACTACTCCAGATAATGCACCTCTACTAGCAAAAATGCAGACAACAAACATCGAAAGTTTCGCATCACTTATCGTGCAAGGACTTCATTAAGTACAATCTGTTGAAACTCTGCCCAGCAACCCTGCAAAATTATATAACAATAATAAATTTTCAGAATGTCAAGCCTATGGTCCAGTACTGATTCGAGTCTAAAAGGGTGAAACTACAAGTGAAACAAAAACCAGAGAAACAGGTTGTAATGGTACAATTAGGACCCCATAGATTTCAACATGTCAACTAGCAGGAGATTTTCAGATGTCATGCTATCCTGAAAAATAATAGGTAAGATCGAAAATAGACAACATACGCATTGATTTGGTTGCAGTAGTTAGCAATTTGATTTGTTATGAGAAAGCCCTCCAACCGTGATGGCTCAGGGATCGGCTTGAAGATGGGATTTGAGGGGTCCTCCTCAGGCAAAGGCTCCTCCCCAGCAGCTTTTCGGGCCATGTTCTCTGCCCTACAGATACAAAACAGAACAAACATGCATAACCATATAATAAATAAAATCAGGTGAACTTTAAGAACACAAAAGAACGACATGAAGTCTTTTTCATAAAACAAAATTCACTCCACCCAAAAAGGAAAAACAAGGTGAGAGATTCAATCTTTTAACTTTTAATTGTGATAATTGAAATCCTCAACAAAGAAGAAAAATCTTCAATCAATTCTACTTGAAAGCTTTCTGCCCCAGAAATTTCAAGGTCATCAGACATGAGAAAACAATTTTGTTTATTTTCTTTTTTTGTTTTATTTTACAAATTTGTTGTCCCTTTCCCTCTCTTCCCAGGGAAATCACTTGTTGGGTTAAAAGATGGGAGTTTGTTTTGAACAACATGGATTGCTGAAATATACTACCTTCTTTTCTGAAGCCATGCCTGTTGCTGGACTTGTTGACGTGACAGGCTCCTGTAGTAAAATTGAAACTGCAAGAAGAAAATAAAAAGGCAATTTATGTAAAACACAAAATAACAGCTAATGACAGCAGAATAATATCAGAGAAAGGGGAACACATACCTTTTGCTGTTCCATTGACAAATCATCCATGCATTCAATCAAAAATTCCATATTCCTCTCCATAAATGGTTTAGTTGACAATTGCAGACGGTCATGATCACACTAAAACAAAGAACTACAGTCAGAAGAAGGCAAATTTCAAAGATACAAAGTCTTTTACCATGGTACTACTAAAAATTCTTTAATCAACATTTTATATTTCACCTGTGTGACTGGCGTATCAGATTCCAGCTCGGTCATAAAGGCACTGATAAGGGCAGAATTTGAGACTTTGATCTGTCATACAAAGCAGCACACCATTAACATGAAAGTGGTAACCATGTTTGTTTCATTTGCAAATACAATAGCTTTGGTATACATAAGGCAAGTCTAATCTACAAACTCATCCATAATCAGTGACATTCCAAGTATTGTAAGATAAAAATTATGATAAATCCTCAAAGAATCCCACAAACAGGATCTTTTTGCCTTCTTTTCATATCATTACAGCACATATTAACATTGCTGAAAGAATTGGTTATTCATCATATGCAGAGTAATTATCAGGAACACTTGTTTGAATTACAAGCAGCACGATGAAAGGTAGAACTGGACTAATGGTTACTTCATATGAGATGGTAGTATAGGGTATGCAGCCTCTATCATAGATCACATTAGTTCATCCAAATAGTAAACAGTAGAAGCCTTAGAAGCTTACAGGAATTTCCTCAAAAATATCCACCCATGACAAGTTTTTCTCCCTCAGCCTGTAACAGCAAAAGAGGCCATCAATATCAGATCATACAAAATTCATTTTCATAACTTTTGACAGCATGGAGAAACCATACTTCTCTCCAGTAAAGTTTTTAGCCCGATAAAGTTCCATGAAAGAATCAGATAGCTTCAAAGCCTTGAAAGCCAAGACACCTTGATTAGATCTTGAAGGATCATAGATAATACACACACACCTCCTAATATTCTCCTGGACAGATTAACAATTAAGCTGATAAATAAATACTTCAATAAATAAAATGATGAACTAAAGTTTGACAAGTAATTTTAAATAGAAAGCAATACAAAGTTGTAAGTTTAAACAAAAGGCCATGGAGCTTTATTATTTGGTTTTATTTTTCTTTTTCATCCACAGATTGAAGAAAAATATCATGTTCATTATCAAGCACACGTTTACACACAATTCAGGAGCTTCAAAACAAAACTGGTAGCAAATGATGACAATTTCCTTTACTCAGGTACAGGTTAAAGCAGGGGCACAAGTTCTTTTTAATAGGGAGGGAAGCAGGGAGGGAAGACACAAAACTATGAAGCAGAGATTTACTTACAACAGTCTCCATATTGAAAGGAAATAAAACAAAGGTGAAGCAGCACTTTTAAATTCAATACCTGATAATTCATGAAGGTCTCAATCAACTCCACTGTCTGGTATGACCCCAAAATTGTTGATTGGTACCTGAAAATATGTTAAGTAAAGTTCATTGCATGAAATAAAAAGTAAAAGGGTGCATAATATAACCATAACTTAAGGTAAAAATTACTGGAAGAAATACAACTACTAATATACCATGCATTCGGCAATAAATGTATCACGATTGGTTCTTAACTACACCAGAATTATTAGGAAATTAAAGCCATAAACAGCACAGTGATTCCTAACTCCATTCGTATAAAAAAAAAAATCCATGATCCATCAACTACTTCACAATGTTAGGCTCAGATTGATGTGGTGTTTCTAGTTCTTTGTTTCTATAAGCCAAAACCACAGAAAAACAAATGCCGATATTTAGAGAAACCAAAAATTTTAAAAATTACCTTTCCTGAATAGCTGTAAAGTGCATGATCTTACTATTAAAGAGAACAATTATGTTTGAACATTCATTACCTTATAAACATCGTTCTTTTTCAATCAAATATAAGTTTAACTTTTACTCTTTACTTCTTCATCTTTTAGCAACTTTTAATAAACCAAAGAAAGCAATTATCAAAAGCAGCAATCAAACAAACAAACAAACAAACATGTAAAGAAGAAAGACATTACCATCCAACAGTGTTGTTATCAACATTAACCTCCCTCAGACATCTCATCATCTCAAGCTGATAATTAGCTCCATCAGCTTCAATCTCTTCGTCTTCCTCACGGATCTGCCTCAACGATCAAAACATGAGACATTCTAATTAAAAAAAAAAAAAACAAATGCTCAAAAAGTAAAAGGAAATTTGCGAAATTACCGGAAAAGGGAAACAGTTAGTAACTTCAAGGACAGTGCCAACATCTAATCCAAGAAGCTGGCCGGTAACAAGTGCAGGTGAAAACTCCTTGCAGTGTTTGATTATTTTTAATATCACCTAATTATCAAAATTTATTGATAAGAAAATAGAAATTAAAAGAAAATTAGGTTAAAAACATTAGAAGAAGGAAAGGAGGAATACCAGTCCTTCGATCTGGACAACTCGGAGAGGAGAAGCAACCTCCTCCGTTGCTGCAACCTGAAGGAATGACCTTGCCATTGAGTTCGCCATTATTGAACTTTTGGTTGTCTTCGACAGAAAGCTCTGTTAGCCAATAACTGCAGAGAAAAGACGACGAGAAAAGCCCTACGTTTTGCTTAAATCTCTTTTCCACTTCTTCTTTGATTCGGATTGGTATATATAGTATTGGGCTATTGGTTGGGTTGAATTTTGCGCTTTTAAGTCCAATTTTTATTTAACAGAATTATGTAAGTTGAAATGGGCATTTGGTTGACGTTTCATTTTTTAACCTTTCACAGAGAAAAACAATTTAGTAATCCAGTTTTAATTTTATCACGTAATTTTTAAATATCAACTCTATTACTAATAAATATAATGATATAATAAAAAAATCATAAATAAAATCATAACATTTAATATATTTTTATTAATTAATATTTATCATATCATTATTTTATCTAACATCATTAATTAATGATGCAAATTACTCAATCAAATCAAATTTAAAATATCAATTTTTTAAATATCAAATAATAAAAAATATATAACTTTAAGTCAATTTAAACATTAACCCTTTCATTTTCACAAATATTTGGGACTAATCTTTTTTTTTATATTATGGATTCGAGCTTCTATCCTATAAATAATTTAACATTTTTAAATAATTAGAATTTTTTTCATTCGAATTACGGACGTGAATTATAAATAATTTAACATTTTATTTTACCGACTCGAACGATTTCATTTGAATTTCTTTTTTAAAATTTCAGTTTCTATAATTTTTTATTTTTAATTTATGATTTTTTTTGTAGAAAAATAAAATAAAAATTTTGCACTAAAAACATGACAACCTAAAATTAGAGCCAAGCAAGAATAAGAGCTGCTGTGTTCTTTGCTGGGTGTTTGACTGTTAAGGGTATACCAATCTGCACTTACCAAAAGTTAACGGCGACAGATTTATCGTTAATGCTCCATTGAAGGCATAACAACATATAACTGAAAGAACTTAACGGTGCTTTATAATTATAACAAATTTTCTATCAATTTGAATAGAAATATCTAACAAAAGGATAAAATTATAACAATTTAAAAATATTTGTCTTTTGAGAAAAAAAAGTTTAAAATTTAAAATAAAACAATTGAGAGGTTAGACAAACAAATGAAAAATTTTATAATTAAAAATTTAATTTAATTGATTTATGTAATTATTTTAAAAAATAGTATTTAATAAATTTTGATTTAAATTTTAACATTTATAATTTTTTTATTTTTAAATTTCAGCTATCTTTGTAAAAAAAAAAAACAAAATTTACAAATCAAAATGGAAGGACAGTATTGAACATATTAAAATTTTTATGCCTTTTAACAAATTATACCATCCTCTAGTTTAAAAGAAAAGGGAAAATGCCCCTATTTCGTCAATGAACATTGGACAAGGCTTAAAACAATTCCAAATCCCAGTTCATGTCTAGTATAAGCGGCGAAAAAAAGTAAACTTGAATCAGAGAAGTCAATGACAGTAGCTGCAGGGATTGGGTACGCGTTGGTGGCGTTAGGGCCGTCTCTCGCCCTTTTCGTCTCCGTTATCTCCAAAAAGCCTTTCTTGATCCTCACTCTTCTCTCCAGGTTTCCCTCAGTTTCCACCCTTTTCTCTCTTTCCAAACAAACCCAACTCTGGGTTTTCTATTTTTCAATTCTGAACTTGTTGGTCACTTCAAAATTGTAACTTTTGTTTGTTGTCATGCAGTACTTTGGTTTGGCTTATAAGTTTGATAATATTATCTGGAATATGGAGAGCTTTCCTCCCTTTGAACTCAGCAACATGGTGGCCTTTTGCAATTCTTTTATTCACATCCGTTGCCTTTCAAGAAGGCCTTCGCCTTCTTTTCTGGAAAGTTTACAAGTAAGCCAATTACTATTGCTACTTGCCTTTTGTTTTCAGAAGCAGAAAGGAAAATATAAAACCAAATGCTAATGTTTTTGAAGAATTAAAAATTGAAAATGTAATTTCATTTTTGGGGAGACAATGTGCATGATCCTACTTATTTTGTTGGTGCTAAATTTTAGTAATTTTCTTATCTTTAATCAATTATGTTTTTGTTGCTTTCTATCAAAAAATAATTTTTTTTTTTTACTTTATTGCAATCTTTACTAGAAGATAGAAGAAAAAAAAAGGTGAATTGCTAAACTCAAGTAGTAAAAGTGGCAACTAAATAGAGTGTTAAAGAACATAGAGTGGATCTTTTGTTTTATTTTTTATTAGGGAAGGGGGATTTGAATCTGCTCTTTGAGTTGTGGATATATGCATCTTCCATTGAACCAAATGCTAAGGTGCATAGAGGGGTCTTTGATTAATTTATTGTATAGTCTTTTTAGGATGTGTGATACATAGGATTATGATAGGATAAGATAAAGTGATATTATAAATACGATTAGATTAAATAATTTCATCCAATCTTGTGTTTGATGTATGGAAGGATTAGGATAGGATTTGTTTGTTGGTCAAAATTATCCTTCCTCAAAGTTTATATAATTTAAATTAGTGATGTAATTTTTAAGGGTATGATAGGACATTTAAGCTCAATCCTATGGATCCACTTTAGGAGGATTGAGGATGATTAATCCCTATACCAAGAGGATGATTAATCCTCCTAACAATCCTATCCCTTTTTTTAGATACAAACCAAACATATTATAGAATGATTATCATTCTACCCTATCCATCATCTTATGCACCAAACATGACCTTAATGTGCCTTCTTGGATATAACACTATGTTTTGCTGTGAACCCCAGTTTGATAAATGCCTGCATTTGAACTTCCTCAGGAGGTTAGAAGACATAATGGATGCTTTTGCTGATAGGGTCTCAAAACCACGACTATATCTGACAGATAAGATGCAAATTGCTCTAGGTAAGATTGGAAAAGGCTTCTATATCTTCTTTCATATTGTCTGAATTAATATTTTTTACTTGCTTTGAAATTGGCTGTGCAAAGATTTTTCTGTTAGAATTGATACATTAAGGGAAAAATTTGTTATTTTTGATGTACTGTTATATGACAGAGTCAAGGTGGGTTTTTACTGTATTTTGTAAAATGACCCTCTCTTTATTATGCAGTCAGGCCTTTAATGTGCTGGCTTTGCAATGAATTCTAATTCTAGAGAAGCATCATGTTGTACAAAAGTCATGTTCATTGGGAATATATATCAGACGCATAACTCTGGCCATACTATGATCCTCCTTTTCCCTTGTTATTGTGTGTGTGAGTGTGTGTGTGTGTTTTTCTTTTTTTTTTTTCTGGAAATAATAAATTATATTGATATCTTTTTTGTGTTCTTTCTGAACATTATTTCTTGCTAATTTGTTTTATTCACTGATATCATTTCCATTAACTGCATCAGCTGGCGGGTTAGGTCATGGTGTGGCACATGCAGTATTCTTCTGTCTTAGCCTCTTAACACCTGCATTTGGTCCAGCAACCTATTTTGTCGATAGGTGTTCACAGATACCATTTTTCCTTGTTTCTGGTGAGTTATACGTTTTTTCTGCTATAAATATGTTACATGCATCTGTATATCTTTCTTGATTGCATTTATACATGAAGCATACCTGTATCTTTGGCTTTTGCACTGTTCTTCATTTCATGCAACATGTAGGTTGAGATTGAGTTACTAGAATGGAACTACAGGACTACTTGGTCTTAATTTTCTTTATGGATTGACACCTCTTAAGAACTATGTAAAGTTGGATTTGAAGTTAAGTTATTTCTAATAGCTTTTATCTAACATTGCAGCAATCATTGCTCTTGCATTTGTGATGGTTCATACTTTCTCAATGGTTATAGCATTTAATAGTTATGCTGAAGGGAATAAAGTGGATCAACTTTTTGTTCCCGTAGTTCATCTCGCTGCTGGAATGATGGTAATAACCTACTTTAATTTGACATGTTTATGCCATAGCTTTTATCAAGTCTGACAATTTGCAAAAGTGCTAATCTTTAAACAGTGATACTTCAGCATCCATGGATGGATATCCTATGTAGCCTTATCTATTTGAGTCATGTACCATTTGAACTTTGAAATTGGAAGGCAAGAATAACTGCTAACATCTAGTTCTATTTTCTTGTTTTGAAATGCATGAACTTCATTAAACCTGCTTGATGTATGGTATGTTTAAAAAATTTTGGAAAACATAGGGTTTATGGAAGTGGTAGGAAGTAGGATTAGGTTTTAGGAAGCAGTAATGGTTTGAATCTCGAAAGAGGGCTGAAACTGAAGGAAAAGATTGCTGGAAATTTTGGGTAGCAAGAATATTTGGATTTAATTGGTGAATTCACTGAACTGAGGACTTGACTGGTGAGGACTGATATGACATGGGGGACGAATATGGTTGGAAGTCACAATAGGTTGCCAAGAAGAGATAAAACTTGTTTAAAGGAAGAGTTTTCTGTGCTGTGAACGGTAAACTGAGAACACTAGCAAGAAAGGTTGAAAACTGATTAGACCTTGAATAGTAGCTCAAAACCATGTAACTGTCATGTCTTTGGGTTTTGAAGTATGGTTTTCCCTGTTTGGTATAGAAAACAAGAATAATTTTTGTAAGGCTGAACTATGGATGTACCTCCGCTCTCATTCCCTCAAAAGTTAAGAAAGGGGAAGAAAAGAAAATCCTCATCGATGGTTTGGTCCATTTTTACATAACCGGACATTGTTTTTTTTTAAAGTAAAACTGTGCTATGTTGATGTTACATTTTCATAATAGACATTGGCAAGTGATGAGAAGTTAAAAATAATGCTCTTTTGGCATCCTTATCCAGAAAAATGAACTCAAATGGTATCATTTTGGTCCTGACAATAAGGGGAAATCTTAGTGCTTAGTTTTGGCATTTAGCATTTCTTATACAAATACAAAAAATATGACTAAACAAAGAACAAGAGTTCACAATTAAACATTTTCCTTGGTTTAAACCTACCCAATCACAAGAAGGTTATTTGTAGTTTACCATTTTTCCTAGTCAAAGAACCACTAGATTGAAAGATTCAACTGTTAGGTGTGGGTTTAAAATTGTATTTTAATCTCTAACATACCCTTGTGATCAAGTCTTGTGATCTTGATAGCAAGTAAAGCGCAGGCTTTCCACATACTTTACATTGAAAGTTAATTTTATTGGGGTAATTAGGATTTTCAAATTCAAGACCATTAGGTTAAAGAAGACTGTCTTGAAAGAAATACGGCTTAAGTGTTATGTGGGGGCCCAAGAATACAATTTCTTAAGTTAAATTATGGTTATAGATGCTTTTTAACTGTGCTAACGAATGTTTATTAAATATGCCTGATGTTTCTGACATGCATGTAACTCTTTCTTTTTTGGCCTTTTGCTGCTTGTGTTGTTTTTCTTATTGTTTTACCATACACAGTTCGAGATGGAAGCTTTGTACTTATTCCTTGGAGTTCTGAACTTTCCTAGTACCTTTGGTCGGTATATTCTCTAAGTAATAGCCATGCCTGTCTTCCAAAATTGTCTCATTTTAAAATCCCCTTTCCTCATAATCTAAAAATAAACAAATAATTAAAAATATGAAAACGTTGTTAGCACCTTGCTGATTAGTCATGTAAGTGGACTAGAGGGTGTTTTCTTTGTTAGATCTTAATTTGAATCTTACAGCTGTAGGTGTTTTCTGTTGGCCATTGGAGGGCACCATGTTTGGTATGCTGTAAATAACTTGATCAGATTAGTAATACTGAACTGTGTGGAGCTGTAGTAACAAATGAATATGGTGAAGTAGCCTCAAAGAGTTTATGCTCACTCTTTCATGCTTTTAGAATCATTTGACACAAGATAGTGTATTATATAGCTGATGCTTTCGAAACAAACACTTTTTCCTTTGACATGTCAATAGTTTGTAATGTGTCCACTTATAATGGTCAAAATTAGCTCAGTTCTCTCTTAAGTTTAGTTGCACTTCTTGTCTCCATCCATTGTGAGTTTAATGTTTTTCTTGCAAAGATTATGTGAATGATTCTTACCTACTTTTTTTTTTTCACCTTTCCCCCTAGACCTTGATAAACTTTGCGTCTGGCGGCTGCATTGTTGGGATTCCTCTTCTCTACTTGATGGCAATCTTGACCTTGATGCATTGTGGGAGGATGGTTTCGAGAAGATTAACTGAAAACCATAGGCAGGGTAGTTCATAACAACCACTAACTTTTGCGGTTTCTCCCTTTGTTTAGATGCATCTGCATAGCTCCTACGATGCAGGTGGTAGTCATCTAAGTGCAAGAAAAGGCTTCTTTTCGAATGAAGTAAGTTTGCAACAACTAAGACCCTTCTTTGAAACCCGTGTCTAGTGGCGTATCATGTAAGTACTTGTTTGTGTTTGCGAGGCCTCATGAAATCTTATAGTTTGGTATCTTCTTGCATTTTATATGGCAAGACAACATTGACTAGTTCCTTCAACATGTCTGCATGTATTTACTTTGCCTGGTTCAACGGATGATTATAGTTTGGTCTATCCTACTTGAGATTGGTATATTGGTATTTTCCTTTTTTTTGCACTTGTAACCACATGAATTTGTTTCTATTTTCAATTTGATCGTATTGTGAAACCATGGATTGTGTTGTTTCTTCTATTAGTAGCTGAATCTGTTGGCCTCTTACTGATCGTTAATGCTTCAATAGAGTTGAACTCATCACTGTACTTTTATTTTAGACTAATTTTTTGGACAATAATTAATGAATAGTTATGTCACCTTTATTTCCAGTATTTTTGATGAGTTAATAATAAAAAATTGAAAAGAAAAAGGATTTCAAACTAAAGAAATAATAAAAAATTATTTGTTAATAAATCCGAAATGAAGCTTGAATATCACATTGAATAGTTTTTAGTAGAAGAAAATCAAATATATTTTTCTAAAATTCAAAGATGAAATATGACATTATCCCTTGTAATAATTAAAAAAATAAAAAATAAAATTATTTTTTAAACATGAATAGTAAAAATTATCTAAAATTGATTAATTATTATTTATTATATTCAAAATATTTAACATTTTTATTTAACAAATGACATTCATATAATAAAATTATACTTATTAAATATCATATAAACTAGTTATTAATATTAGAATTTAGATTAGAATGATACATCATTTGAAAATGCAAGATGCAAATCGTATATTTTATTTCTTTAAGTATATTTTTTCAAAGATCGGGTATAAAAAAACATACTTAAAAATAATATAAGAGAGAACATTAAATTTTAGACTTTGAATTAACCGACTGTTTGATTTACAATTAAAATGGAGCAAAGTGGGAAAAAAAAAAGAATGTGAAAAAAAAAAGAAAAAGAATACAAGAGAAGTGGTAGCAAAACTAGACTTTCACCAACTCTTCTGTGATCCCAATTACATTATTACTACCAAAAGAATTGAAACAATTTCTGATATGAATTACACCAATTGGACAGAAAAGGAAAAGACAAGATTTGTAGTGAGTTTAGCAGGCATTTTTGCATGGTTCTGAGCTTTGCTTCACCTGAGAAAGAACTTCCAAATATCACTATCAGCCACCCCTTTGATTTAATGAGCTCCGAAAACACCTTCATCGACTAGATTTCTGATTTCTGAGGTGCCGCTCTACATTGTTAAATCTGACATAATTCTTCTTCATCGCCAAGTATACTACTACATATGGAGGTCCTAGACGCTGGTTGTGCAAAATGAGTAGTAGAAATCATAAACTATGTTGAAAAGCAGAGAAAATAAGAACAGAAAAACCAAAACTGAAACAGAAGCAATGGCATACATGTCGAGGTGGCATATAAGGTTCAGCACGCAGACAACCTTACTTCATGTCATGCATTTGTCCAGATGCCAGCTACTATCTCTTCCATCAGTCTGGCTTTTTGGTTTTCCATAACCAATCATTCAGGTTGATCATAAAGATTTTAGTTGGTAAGAACCACTCAGTTATGTAGATGTCAGGATAGCAGCAGCAACAACAACAACATCAACAAAATAATGTAAATCTACATACTATTCCCAATTATTTCCAATAGTGTTTTACAATCTAATGCAAAATGGACAAGGACATGATGAAGACCGAGGTTTTTTCTTGTTCATGGAACAGAATCTTCTCTATTGCTTTGAAGAATGTCATCAGGTTCATATGTAAATGCTAAGAAGCAATGTGATATTAAGAAACTAACCTTCTTAATTAGTGCATATAACTTCTTCAAAGAGGAAACTGAGTATGGAATTTCTGTCATCAAAATAACATCATAACCACCTTCTCCCTGATCTGTCTCACAGCTCTTTCCCATGCCCGGCTTCCTGAAAGCTTTCTCGACCTCCTTGAGGAAATTTCTTGTGCTAAGATGCTACCATCTTGGCTACTGCATCCGTCCATGAAATCCTCCTTGGAAAAGCTCAAGCTCATTCCTATAGTCACTTCAGTCACATCATTCCAAACAACAGACAAAACAGTGGGAAGTTCTTCCCTTTCCCCAGCATAGAAGTGCACTTTTGGGGCAAGAGTTTGTCTGGATGGTGTCAAAGGACTCTCAGGCTGTCGGCTCTGCCTGTCCTGAACTTGCTTAAGGTTTGCAAGAACATTTGGTATGGTAGTGCATCTAATAGTTTCCGCACTGAGGTCTTGAAAGTGTACTATACAAGCACCCTGTACCAAATAATGAATAAAATGGAGTGTAAGTAGATCTTTCATAAAAATAAAATTTGCTCTTTGACTACATTCCGGCATAGAATATAAGCCGGTTGCTCTCATTTATCGAACCCCTTCACCTACCCTTTAATATATAAATAATTCCCAATCTATTAAAAGTTGATACCGCTAATATCTTGTACAATTAGTAAGATAAAAGAAATACAGATGGCACATAGGAGAAACAATTTAAGATAAATAAATGGAAGTATACCTTCAGACAAGAAAAATCCCAGGAAGTCCATAGCCACAACCAAACTGAAAGAATTATTGAATAGGATGATTAGCTCACATTCTGTATCAAGATACAAAACACAAACTAATTACTTAACTCTTAAGATTTTATTCCATATATAAAATGAGAACTTTCAGAGAAGCACAAAAGCAAGGAAGCTTATAACACCTAGAACTATTCTAAAATCGGAAATCAAGTTTGGAGTTGCCTAAAAAAATGGCATAGAACAGAGATATCCAAGTGTGTAAATAGGTTGATTAGTTCAAGCTGAACATAACAGCCAAACCGTTTTCTCCTCTATGAGTACATTTAGCGAACATTTTAATTACACCTGTTCAATAATATCATCAAATGGACGTAAAACATATTTTAAAGAAAAGGAAAACACTGATGTATCATGTTTAATAGTTAAAAATAAATTCCAAGAAATGAAAACAAATGCCACATGCTTTGATGAGGAATGTTTTCAAATATTTATATGATTAAATTACCTCAAGCACCCTTTTCCCTCTAAAGCTCAACTGTCTGTCACGAATCTCATGTTTAAGGACATTAACAAGATCAATAAAGCTGTCCCAAGATTTCAGAAACCCTTTAAAACAAAATTATTTTGTAGCTGTCATTTGCAACTAATCAATTTGACATGTCAACACTTGAACTGACATCAATACTTTGTAATAATGAACATAACTTATAAAATAGAAAGTACCATTCGTAAAAAATTAACACATAACTAACACACCCTACCATCTGGTTTTGAGGATATCAGCTCAGAACCGATGAAACCAATAATATCAGTGACACTAATTCTTCCCTGTAAAAGATTTAAAAGGCATCAGAATTCATACCATAAACTTTGTTTTTAAAATAGCAATGCTACTGAAAAGCCAAGAGAAGTTCTAGACTCTTTACTAAAGTCCAACTCGCTTGTGTTAAGCATATAGCTAACGTTCACCCTTGTAAATATTCTTTAGCTAATTAAAAAGAAATATTTCAAAAGTTCTCATTTTTTCTCTATTTCCAACGAAATAAATTGCTTATTATAGTATAGTGAGACTTCCTTTCTTTTCAAATCTTCTAGTAATTACCCTATACATATGAATACACCATATGTATGTGTGCATGGGAAAGAGGGATGAAAAAGAGGGAAGTAAGACAAAAAGTATTACAGTGAGCAAGAAAACATAAGGAATCTGCCTGGATAAAGCAATGCAAAAAGAAGTCAACACACCTTGAACACATTGAGCCCTTTGAAGTCCACATTATCCCCAGCACACTTACAGGGATGCTGTCTGCACAATAGCAGAATGTCTTAATTTTGAAAACGAATTTAATTGCCTCCCAGTCACTCACAAAATAAACCATCTGATTGGTATGAGAGTCAACCATTTGTATCTTGAGTAACAAATTTAAATTTCACAATTAGTGCTTGATAGGGAGATGAAATGCACATTTGAGGGGAGAATCTTCACAGCCGGTGAAGGGAGATGGACATCTCTCTCTGATAAAGTGCATATGCTTTGGCTTCCTCTGTCTTGGGGCACCAAGCCTGGCAAGCATTGTGCAAGCAGTGATGGCGTACTCATCCAGGTCTGATACTAGGAAACCGTTGTTAAAAAAGTAAGTACCTGAAGATATCAACATTTCCATTAATATGCAGATCATTCCTTGAAGCAATCATTACTACCAGCAATAAGAAACCCATTTGAAAATAGCTCATCAACACTATCAAAACTAATAAGGGGCAAAAACATAAATATGCTTAATCCATCATGAGAAGATTGCAGTCACATTTGGAAAAGAAGATCTCACTACATTATAACATCGTAAGAGTGTTGCACTAATGCAATCTCTTGGAAAAGAATTACAAAACATAATTACAAAAAAAAAAAAAAAAAACAACATCAAGCAATCACGGTAGCATTTTTTTAAAAAATTTATAAAGTATATCATACAATGGCATTCAAAGCCCATAATTCAACCTAATCCCCTAGAAAAGGAAAACAAAAAGGGAAGTAACTCTTGGTAAGGTAAGACCATTTTTACAAGTACAACAGCAAGAGCCAAAAGTCGTACACAAAACACCATGAGGTAATTCAACTTCCATGGTATTGGGGACATCTAAATGTTCTAACAAGACATGACAACAAATTCAACGTCGTTGCACTAAAAAGAAAAGTAGATACTTAAACACTGACGACATCAAAATTGTTATTCAGTGAAATCAAAATCTTCATTTTTTTTTTTTTTTGGTTCTTTTTATAGGTAATTGGAAACATTAATGTTAGAGACAATTCTTAAAGTACAAAACAAACCCAAATGTTTAACTTCATCAAGAAATAAAAACCATGAATATAGTTTATACAGAATGCAGAAAAAGCTAATATTGTGGAATTAAAGAAAGTCAAGATGAAGGCAAATCTCAATTTTCACCAACAGAGTCAAACTCAAACATAACAAAATCATTATAATCAAACATACAAAAAATGAAATGTTCATAGCATTCTAACAAAATACAACCCGAAAAGACCGAAACCAAGTTAACAAAAACTTTCTGAAAACAGGAAAATTTCGGAAAATTAAAACCAACCCACATCAAAATTATATCAGAAAACAAAAACCCAGAAGCCAAAAACCAAGAAAAAAAAAGAGAAAGCTTATTACCCAAGCAGGAGAAATGATCAGCAAACATACTTTAAAAACAATTTAATTGCTCGAGGAAAAAAAGAGAATTTCTTTTATATTACAAGTAAAGGTCAAAGTTTTATAATTTTTAAGAAAAGAGATTGATCGTCATATTGGAAAGTCATAAGGAAAGAAAATGATCCATTTACAGAGGAGAGAAGCAGGAGAACGAAGCTTTGATTTCAGAGTTAGAGGTTAGGTATTTGTACCCCAACTTCATGACAATACACCCTTTTACTACTAACATTCAATTTTTTACTCAACACACCCAAAATTCAAACACAAATTACTAAAAATCTAAACACTTCATCTCCTCGTACCATCTTCTCCCTCTATCTCTTTCAATCGAAAACTGCAAAAACCTTAAAGAATGAGTCCCAAATTAAACCCAAATCATCCATTTGACATTAAAAAGCTTAGAATTAGAGATAAATTTTTTTTTTTAACTTTTTCATTTGATTTCGTATTTAATTCCATAAGATTTTATGATTTCATGTTTTAAGGTGCGATATAACATTTCAAAAATAAATTTTAAAAAATTATTGAAAATTTTTTGAAATAAATGTTTGAAATTGTTCAAGAAATTTTGAAAAATTCATTTATGATAATCTTTAAAAATTTTTAAAAGTGAATTTTTGAAAATTTTTAATGGTTTTCAGACATTTATTTCTAGAAACCTTTAAAAACTTGCAAATATAGATTCTCGGTACATTAAAGATGTTTGTGGAAGCCATTATTCTTGGCACAATAACTTGCTACCGTAAAAAACATTAACTCTAATAATGTTACGAGCAGATTGACAAATTTAGTAGTAGAAATCTCTAATCTTTCATTTATCTTATTGAATAACTGTGCTTGGCCAAAAGATTAGAGGCATACATTGCTTGATTTAAACAATTTTTATCTTTAAAAAATCATTAGATACTTAATTGAAGATCTTGGTAAGGGACATTCGATATTTCTTTGTCAAACATTGATTAAAGGATTGAAATCTACTTTCATACCTAATGCAATAAAAAAAATTAAAGTAAAAAATTACTTTAAAAAATGTATTTTTGGATAATCGTATTGCTTTCCAAAAATATATTTATGATACATTGAAAAAGTTTCCCAATATGAAATTTTGGTACATTAAAAAAGTTTTTGAAAATAAATTTTTAATAATTTTTATTTAATTTTGAAAATCAATTTCTAGTGAATAACTATTTTTTTGAAAATAAATTTTTGAAATTTACTAAGACGAAAAAAGAATATGAAGGATAAAAAAATAATTAATTAATAGGTACTTAAGTAATTTCATTAAAAGATAATTTTATAATAAAATTTTTGAGGTGTATTAATAATTTTTTGGGTTCAAATAGAAACCCAACTTTGTTACATAGCAACAATTAAATTCCTCTTTTACCCCTTTATGTAATATTAAATTTTCACACATTTATTTTGTAAGTGAAAAAAACTATGTTTTAACATGTAAAAAGAAATGCGAGTAATTTTTTACTTGAGCTTAGCTTATATAATCAAAGTGATAGTTAATAAGTTTTGTTGATGGTTTTTTTCGGGTGTGATGGAAATTGGATTTAGGTTGAAGGTGAAATGAATTAGATCTGCGATCATAAAAGCACAATCAAAAGTGTCAAAATTTTTTAAGATGCGATTCGATGCTCAATTCAATGAAATTTTTAAGGTTAAAGCAAGAGAGAAGCAAGGTATGTGGAGGAAGCTATAATGGAAGGAAAATGTTTAAGTTTTTAAGTCTTACATATCTAGGTTTCTTCTTTATCTTATATACGAGATGAAAGATAATGATTTGATTAAAATAATTGATAATTAATTTTAAGTAAATATGAAGCTCAAGAAAAATTTATAAGATGATTGCAAACTACATTTAATGATTCTAGATAAGAGTAGATTGCATTTAATAGTTTCAAACAAATTAAATGTCAAATATTCAGTTTCGAAATGATATTTTTATAGGTGGAGATGTTTGAGTGAGTCCTTCCTCGACAAGGGAGAGCTAGTTCTTGAAGCAAGGTGATATGGTAGTTGGCAATGTGCTGGTTAGGTGACTTAGAAAGTTGATTTTGTTGACTTGAGTAGTTAACGTAATAAATTTAAATTTTAGTATTTGTAATTTTTTTTATTTTTAGATTTCACTTCGAAAAAAAATATATAATATCTTTTTAAATGAGTAATATTTTTATCAAAGTGAAAAGGCAAATGCATTTTTAATTTTATATTTAATTTTATTAAATATAAAATTAAAAATATATATATGATTATAATTTCATGAATTTGTTAAATCCTTCTATACATGGTTATTAAGTCTAGACAGAAAAATGAATAATTTTTTGAAAGGTTTAATAAAAGGGAATTTGACATTAGGCTCGGCATCAATCAAATTAAAGGTATATATAGAAAAGGAAATTTGGAAAAAAAAATCCCTAGATTTGAGTATAAAGCATTAAAATTCCAAAAATTGGCTGTATTTGTAACTATAATCAAGGGCATTACTATTAAAGATAACGGTATTTAAACTGCCCTAAGAAAATGACGGGACAAATTCAACAAAAACCAATGACTTTCTTCTCAAACTCATTCAGCTCTTCTAATAAGCTATATTTAGTTTTTGTTTCTTCTCTTTTCCAATTTGCTAGGGTTTACAATTTTTTCTCTAGCCCAGAAAAAAAAAAAAGTTTCCTTTCTTCCCATGGGATGTGTATGATTCAAAACATTAAATCAAATTAACCCTCGACCATCGTCACCATTGCCATCCCATGGGAAGTTGCATATCAACACCAACAAAACTAGTAGGTGTAATATCAAAGAAATATTATGACAGTTACAAATCGAAAGTAAAATCCAAACATGCACGACCCAATCACGATAAGACACGAAAATCGACAAACCTACATGCAAGTAATAGTAGGGTTTTGAGGGATTCATCAGGAGATAATATATTGGAAAGATACGAGTTAGGAAAAGAGTTAGGGAGAGGCGAATTTGGGATCACACATCAATGTTTTGATCTAGAAACCGGGAAGGCTTATGCATGTAAAAAGATATCAAAGGCAAAGTTGAAGACGGAGATTGACGTTGAAGACGTAAGGAGGGAGGTTGAGATCATGAGGCATTTGCCTAAGCATCCGAATATTGTTTCCTTTAGGGAGGCTTTCGAGGATAAAGAAGTTGTTTATCTTGTGATGGAGCTTTGCCATGGAGGTGAACTTTTTGACAGAATCGTCGCTAAAGGTCATTACACAGAACGAGCTGCTGCCACCATTTTCAAAACCATTTTAGGGGTTGTAAAGGTAATCAACCAATCCCTTCTTTCTTTAATTTCTTCTTCTTTCCATTTTATTGTTGAGATTTAATAGCAAATTAAACATCAAAGATCTTCAACCTAAATGGTATCTCATTTATAAGCAAATACCGACATTATTCATTATATATGTACAATTTCAAATTTCAAATAACAAGATTTTTCTTTTTTTCTTATTAATATTGGGTTTGAAAAAATAGCTAGTGCATATCCTCTTTTTATTAAAAATAAAAAAATTTTGATGTAAATTATTGAATAGTTAATGAATGTGCTTAGGAATTTTATTATCAAATGCACTTCATATGTATATAAAGGTTCTTTCTTGGCTCACAAATTTATTTGCAATTCCTCAAATAATATAGATTTAAAATCCCAATTGTGTATTTTGTTGGTTTTAGCTTGAAAAGGCTGGCTTTTACATCTTAAAAGTCATTAATAAAGACAAATATAGAAAAAAATTATTTTTTATTAAAATGAACAAACAATGAAAAGGACAAAAAGTAGTTCAATTGATAAATATAATTGTTTTACATGAAAATAAGAAATACCTTAAAATTTTAATATAATCTATTAAATATTTATGGCAGGTGTGCCATGAACATGGAGTGATACATCGGGATTTAAAGCCTGAGAATTTCTTGTTGGCAGATGGAAGTGAAAATGCCCCAATAAAAGCAATTGATTTTGGCCTCTCCATATTCTATGAACCTGGTAAGCCTTCAATTTCCGACTAGATGGGAAAAGATTCAGACCTTAGGGCAGTCAACTGTCTTTGGTGGGATAGTCTACTGTCATCATCTCATGGATACAGCTGCATTTGCATCCAAAAATATATAACTACCTCTAATTTTAATTTCATTCTTATATTATCTAATCTCACAAATCCATTACTGTTTTCAATATCATCAGAATCACTTTTTCCGCTATCTAAATAAACTATATATTTATACAAATTTCGCCGCATAGCCTGATCATGCTGATCGAATATCTATATGGTTTTAAACACAAAATACTGACACAAGTGACACATATAGCTGACATTCACCTAGTGAGAAAAGGTTTAATTAGTGTTGATGTAGAAATGGCCTAAGCATCCGACTTTTTTTTTTTTCTATGGATGGCATTGGCAGGTCAGCGTTTCAATGACATTGTTGGAAGTCCTTATTACATGGCTCCAGAGGTTTTAAAAAGAAATTATGGGAAGGAAATTGATATATGGAGTATAGGCGTTATCCTCTATATCTTGCTTTGTGGAGTTCCTCCCTTCTGGGCAGGTAAATTGGTTCCTTTTCCACCAATTGCAGTTTTTATTTGGATGATCCTCAGATTCCCAAGCTCCATTACTGAAAGATTTTTGTGCAAAAGCATGTGTTTGATGCCTTCTAATAGAGGACTTGGCTGTGACTAATGCAGACACTGAAGAAGGAATTGCACATGCAATTATAAAAGGTAAAATAGACTTTGAAAGGGATCCTTGGCCTAAGGTTTCTCGTGAAGCAAAGGATCTTGTGAGGAGCATGCTTGATCCAAATCCATATAGTCGGATGGCGGTTCAAGAGGTCCTTGGTGAGTTTTCTTATCGATAAATTTGAGTACAAATCATCACTTCTGTTAGCTGTTGAAAATTCCCTTTAGCTCATTCATCCGATTAAGATGGAAGGCAGCATAGCAGCTCTTGAATTTAACTTAATGATCACCCCCATTGCAGCATGTGCAATGGACAGGTTTTCTAGACTTACATGTGCATTAATTTCTCCTCTTCTGCATTTCTTTCCCCCAAATGCATTCACAATCACAGTTTGATGTATTGATTTTTTTGTTAGATACGTAAACTCAATAGCAGATCTAAAAATATTTTTTAGAAAGTGTCCACGTATAATCATATGTAAAAAACTATTGAAGGATTTATCAATTTTGTCAGTAATAAGAATGTCTAGGAAAAATTTTTTCTTCAAATTTTCTTATTTTAATTTTCAAAGGTCTCCTTGAACATCCTAGTTCAAAGCATAGATCGCCCATGTAAACTATTGATGCAAACAATTGGATAGATAAACTATAATAATTTTTTTGTGTGTTAAATGAAGAACATCCTTGGATACAAGACTTCGAACGTGCTCCAAATGTTAATCTGGGAGAAAATGTGAGAACAAGGATTAAACAGTTCTCCTTGATGAGTAAGTTCAAGAAGGAAGTTCTGAGGGTAAGCCTTTGAAAACCCTTCTCTTTGATTTCTGTGTTAATTCTAGCTTTATTCCAGGCCCTGAAAAATTTTAATGTCTCTTTCATTCCAGGTGGTAGCAGACAACCTGCCAAATGAACAAATCGATTCAATTATGGAGATGTTCCATATGATGGACACTGACGAAAATGGAGACTTGTCGTTTGAGGAGCTAAGAGATGGACTTCAGAAAATTGGACATTCTTTTGCTGATCCTGATGTGCAGATGTTAATGGAAGCAGTAAGTTCATTTCACTTCAAAACTCACTTCTTACAAGGGTTTGCTTCGATGCCTTTTTGTAACGGATCCAAATGAAGAAGTAATGAATCTATGAACACTCTCAAAGATTAGAAAAATGAAACAATTTTTAAGATTTTCTCACTCTAAAATTTTTTCCTGCACACTTTTTTGTCAATAAAACTGATAAATTCGTGATACTATTTTATTTATATTATAAATGGATACCCTGAAAATTTTCTGGATCCATCACTGATGATTTTTGCTCCGAGTTTCCTATGATTATCAGTATTCAGGTTTTCTACAAGCATATGTTCATTTACCAAGGACATTTGCTGTATTAAACTGCTCTTAGCAACAGAAACATTTTCTTATCAAAGCACTGCCTTATCTGAAATTCTCTCTGCTGTTTTATCCGAAAGGCCGACATTGATGGAAATGGAACACTTAGCTGTGAGGAGTTTGTGACAATGGCAGTTCACCTGAAAAGGATTGGCAACGACGAGCACCTCTCTCAAGCTTTTCGTTTCTTCGACAAGAACCAAAGTGGTTTTATCGAATTCGAAGAATTGCAAGAAGCCTTACTCCATGACAACCTTGGTCCCTGCAATGAACAGCTAATCAAGGACATCATGCACGATGTCGACAAGGATAAGGTAATCCTAAATCTAATAATTCATGTATTTTTATCGTGTTTGTTTCATATCAAACACGTTTAAAACACAAAAATTATCATATCATAATTTATGTACACAACCACAAACATATTTTTTAATTTTTGTAAAATTCATATACGTTTTTGTCAAAAATTTAATTCATATCATTTTTTTTTCGTATTGTTTTCATGACAATGGCTAAAATTATCAAATTCACGTAATCTTTTTAATGCCTAGGATTCCAGCTTGGCGACTTTCCTAACTTTCATTTCGGTGTAATGGTTTGCATTTTGTAGGATGGTCGAATCAGTTACGCAGAGTTTAAGGCAATGATGCAAACAGGGATGGACTGGAAAATGGCTTCTCGCCAATATTCTAGAGCTTTGCTAAATGCAGTGAGCATCAAAATATTAAGACAATCTGGCCAACTAAAATGAAAAATTTTTCCAGGATGTGGTAACTCAAATTGAGAGATTACTACAAACTTTTTTTTTTCTTCCCACAAACTGAAAGAGGATTATTGTGATTAGATATTGCAATGGGGAAGTGCGAAATTTCCAATATAACTGAGTTTTATAGAAAGGAAATGTGTCTTAGTGTATACGTAATTAATAGAGTCGTTCCATTGAATATGATTAACCATATTACTGTTTCTCAAGGATCACATAAAGCCGTCCATTACTGCAGCAGCACTGTTAAGGGTTAGAAGCAAACCAACCTGTTTTCACAAACTACTTGATATTCAAACCACCTCTCATTTTTGCCAACTATCTTTATTCTTGCATAACTAAGCTGTCTTTCGGTGTAAAAATGGTGGGTTACCTTTGTAATCAAGAGCTAAAATTCAGCATTGTTCCTTAAAAGAATGAATGCTCTCATCAACATCATTATTTGACATAGCCACTGGCAGTTTGTAATTAACATACATAAATACATTATTTAAAGACATAATAGCCTCCCTCTTGTAGAGAAAGAAAGAATGACTGGGTAAATTTCCTCCTCTCATCATCCTTTCCAATCAAAGAGCCAGTAAGTAAAACAAACACACCATTTGCATATGAACAATGAGCATTAGCAAAAGATATCTCAGCTTTATAACTGATCATCCAATCAGAGTATCAACTTATTTATATAATGTTTCAATCATTACTAAAAATATCTCAAATTGGTGTGAACATGAACCAAATAAAATAATATGATTCCTGATACATTGTTTGCAAATAGAAATTTACTTTTACAGTAGTCACAGACTTCATCTCACCATTAAGACCAAGGCGGCCTGGCAAACTCAAGTCTAGATAAAATTTATAAAGCTGTATATTGTCATTATGAAGAACAGTGTAGAACTGCTTGACAAAGGCATTCCCAATCCCTCGAGGATTAGAAGGGGAAATGTTTGATTGCATCGTCGTCTACCAATAGAAAACACTAAACTATAAGTAATGATGCAAACATGTAAGATACATAGCTTTGAGTGCACTTGTCCATTTGATTTGAGCACTAAACTAAATAAAAATGTGTTTTAAACTTAACTTGATAAACAACTTGAATGGACTTCTCCATTGTATCATGTGTTAAAAAGGAACATACACTTGTTCATTAGCCATCATTTGTTTAAAGCAAACAAAAGTTTTCATGATGCTATAACATCCTTGAAAAGTAGAGAAAACTAACTTGATCTACTACTTAAAGGCATGCAGTAAAATCTTGCATGCAAGAAAGACTTATTATTGACAAATTCCCTGAAAAGAAAGAATTATAAGCAAAAGGATCACAAAAAATATCTATTTTAGCAATAAAAACGAACATCATAAAAGTGAAAGACAAAATTATTACCCTAGTAATTGGTCTCTGCGCAAGTATGACTGTAAAAGTGGGATCCTGTAACGTACTGCATTTGTTTTGGATTAAAAGAGAATAAATTGGAAATAGTATGTCTTGGTAACAAATCTTCAATTTCTTGCTGTTGAGAAAGACGTAAATATAGAACTATTTTGGTTAGGGAAGAGGATAGAACATCATTCCTCACAAGCAATATTCATATGTTAAGCTAAAGTGAAGCACCAATTGAGTACAAAAGTTATCACTCATTAAACTCTATGAGTAGTGATGATGAATTTGAAAGTTTCATTTTCACTCCCATAGGCCATGATTTCTCTACCAATTTCTGTAAAAATGGAAGTGATTTTTCCAATAAAAATTATAGTTATGCCAAAACAAAAAACGTTCATATTTGCGTACTTTAAAAACACAAAAAGCAATGAATAAAGAGCTTTGAGATCGGATTTCTGATCATAGCATAGAATGATTTTTCTATTTATTAAATTGTCATGTTTTTCTTTATTCATATTGCCATGAATGAATGCATAAGATATTTCTGTAAAAAAAAGACAACAGCTTTAATTTCATCCATACATTTGACAATCAAATCTAAAGTGATACTCGTAATACTAATCAAACACTTATTTTTCTTTAATTTCTTCCGTTATTTTCATCATATTCTTTTTTTTGATAATATAATGAGTAATATATGAAGATAACAATTAATAGGACAACTCAAATCTACTACCAAACATCACAATTATAATCATTTAAGGTGTTGATATTACAACAAAACTTAAAAACCTTTCCTCTCATTCTGTTTTTCTCTAACCAAAACCTTTAAATCATCCAAATTTAAATATGGGTATTACAAAGCACTTTGACAATTGCCAGTGAATCCATTCACAAAAATATCTCTATTTTCTCTCAATTCTCTCACCCAAACCTGGCAGAAATGTATTCGAAACCCCCCAAAAGAGCTCTTTGACATCTCATTTATATGATAAATTCAACCTAATAAATAAAAGATAAAACTATATAAGATACTTACCTTAAATATTTCTCATGGTGTTATCTGTTTTAATCCTATTTCTAACACTTAAAAGCCATATGACTCGTTTCTCTCCTTGCCTCTCTTTTAGTTCTTTTGTATTAGGAGAAGCTCAACTTTTTGTTTTTCAGGCTCGTTCACTTGTCCAAATACAATACAATACAATATAGGCTTAGTCATAGAAGTATAACGCAAGTAAATGAATGTGCAAGACTATCCAAGTCCATCTCAAATAACAAAACAGTAAAATGTAACATAGAGCCATTTAATTGCATTTGGGTTTTCATAATCTACAATAAAACTAGAGTACAACAAAAAATTTAAGCTCCAACATAGAGATGCAGTGCAACAAAACGAAAATGCATTTATATTTAAGATAGAGGTACAAAAGATCGACAAATTATTAGCATTTAAGATCATAAATTTTCAATTATTTAGAAATTAAGACATTAAAAGAAACTTTTTAATCATTTAGATTTAAAGAAAAAGTGCTTATCTACAAAAATAATCAAAAAGCAAACTTAGCAAAGTCGATGCTTTCCGTATGTAAATGCAAACTTAAAAAAAGAATAGATCATTCTAGAATTAAATTGCTACAATCTTTAAATTAAACAATAAAACCATAAGAGCAAATTCTATGTGATTAAATCATAATCATGAAAGCAAGAAGCATTTAAAAGCAATTTTTGCCAAAAGAACAAAATAAAAAGTGAAGTCAAAGTTATGCATTTTTTTTTTCACATCTATGAGTATGGGATGGATTTTTTGGGTTGGCTTCAGCTAATTGACTGGGAACGGTCTCATAAAAATTTTTTTTCATTCCATGCAATTATTATTTAGAAGTGATAATCCATAAAAGAAAAATAATAATAAACAAAGTAAAAATGCATATGCAATGTGGGTTGTTCTTGTGGCACATTTTCTATCTTCGGCTTTATTTTGTATTTCTTGGGAGAAGAGGTTTTGGAATTTTTCCTCTTTTTGAGTGGGCAGTTATGCTCCATATTTCTTGCCATAAGGTCCCCATTTTTGCCTTTAATGGCAAAAATTTTATTTAGAAAAAAAAAATACTTAACTAATCTTATCATTCTTAACAACAAAGTTTCCACTAACCATATGGTTTTTCCTCCACCTAAATATTAATCAAAAGGGAAGTTTTGTATTTCATCACTCATTTTCATTTACATGAAATTTCTAGCTAGGGAAAAATATACAGTTTACCAATCTAGTCATTATCAAAAAGGGTTTATAGTAGAAATCATGTAATAATAATGATGTAAAGATATCAAAGCCATATAATGACATTACATGACATTCTTAAGAAATTGGGACACTAAGATAATCATAAACTAAGTAATAATTTTAAGTTAATCAACAATGTAACCTCTACTTTAATGGTGCCATTGTTTTGATACAAATTGTTAATGAAAACCATTTTCTTAATACAGAGAGTGATGCATTAGTTTTTGCCGCAATTTATTCTCCTTTTTGGGACAATCTTAAAAGCATATACTCTCACATTATGGTGATCATGGTGATGTATTCCAAATTTTATTCTCCAAATACTATCTACAACAATTGAATCCAAATAAAAAAAATTTAACTATTCTACTTATCAAACAACTAATTTGTGTAACAAGTAAAAATCTATTTTATAAGTGAGGAAATCAATCCACAGATAGAGATTTATGTAAAACAACAAAAGGTTTTCTACTTAACCTTGGGATAATCAAAGGAAGAGGCAACAATCTAATATAATCATGATTTTTTTATGCATGTTTTTTTACATGTTTCTAGTATATACTAACTCCCCAAACTTTTTAACTTTTTTTTTCTTCAAATTTGTTCTCCAACTCATTCAAGTATGCATTTTTCGTTTCCCTTACTTGTTATGCTGAAACTATGTTCCTCAACAACCTTCTTAAAGGAATGAAAATCCAAATTCACCAAAACACCACATCTCTCACATAAGAACAGCTTAAAAAAAAAAAGAAGCAAAGTAGTAATATTATCTAGCTAAACTCATAACAATCTAGCTTTTACCTCTTTAGGTGCTTGTTTTTCTATCTATCAAGCTCCCTTCTCTCTTTCTTTAATCATTTTTCTTTTACGGTTGACCTTTTGTTTGAGTACCTAAAAATAAAAAAAATAATTTTTCTATTTGTTACATAGAAATTGATCTTTAAAATCTCTAAATGTGTGTTTGGATTGAAGGGAAGGGAAGAAAATGAAAGAAAAATAAAGGAAAGTAAAGGAAACAGAAAAACTCTCTCCTTGTTCGGATAAATTTTTAATTTAAAAAAAAAAAAAGGTGAAAACCCAATAACCATTGGCTTCATTTATAATCTTAACTTTTTTAATACCTTAATTTGGTGAAAAAGTTATAGAAAGGAAAGTTGAAAAAATCTTATTTTATGAAAAGATTATTATATCCATATTTTTATTTAACATTAAAAACTTAGCCGCAACATAATCATCTTGCAATGTTTTCCCATCATCTCTCCAAGTTTTGTATGTTTTTTTCAATATAATTGTTTTGGTGATTTGATTTTTAATGAATAGTTGAACATGATTAGACATATAGCTTGAGGTTTATGGGATGTCAAATCACTACCTCACAATTTTTAACTCAAGCCCAATGGTTTTTATACGTAAGATAAGAACTTCATCTCTATTCAAGTTGGGGCATGCCTTTTGAAATTTGAAAGTAAAATTTATGGTTTTTGTAATTGAAAGCAAAACTCATGTTTGAGATGAAATAATGAGTCAAATTATTGATAATGAGAAAGGTAGAGATATTATAAGAATGGGACTTGAAAATTTTCTAAATTTATGTGCAATATTAAAAAAATTTGTGATCTAAAACCAACAAGATGAATTACAATAGAAGAACAAGCTGCTAAAACTCTTTATATATTATCTCATCATGTAAAAAATACAAAGATACATATTTGGTTTAGACATTCAAGAGAAACAATTAGTTGCCATTTATATCATGTTTTAAAAGCTATATAGAGTTAGAAGAGATATTTCTTAAACAACTAAATGGCTTACATATTTCAACTTTGATACTTGAAAATAATAGATTCTACCTATATTTTAAATAAAAAATTATTGGTTACTATTAGTATCCGCCCATAATGGATGGGTTACAACCCATTAAACAATTGCCTTAGGCAGTTTACCTTGAATGAAAAACTACTATAGGTAGTTTATATCACAATAAAAAAGGCCACCCATTTTTGTTAATGTAGATGGCATTTGGCCATTTAAAAAAGGTGAGCAAGTTTATTTCTTTTAACAACATCAAAAACAAAAAGACTTTAATAAAAGTAGACAGAACAATCGAGTAGGCATTGAATAACTCTTAGTGAGGAATTCTTGCATTTGGTTTGAAAGACTTACGCTATGAAATCAAATAATTTTTGTATTGTAATCTTGTTAAACAACCTTCTCAATCTGCCCAAGTCTCCATAATAGGAAACATAAAATTCCTAGACTTCGATGAATGGGCAATGTGAATGCAAAACTATCAAATGAATTTTTAAAATCTATCCCTATTCTTAGACAAGTCATTCAAAATTATTAGGAACATATTTTATTAACATTTAGTATGTATATATTTTTTATTATAAACATGTTTATGGATTTGAATTATATTTTTGTAAGACTTGTTTGTTTGAAATCAATATTATATGTTATTGATTATATGTTGATAACCTTATGGTTAGTGGGAGTTCTAAGATAAATAATTTGTTTTATCTTAGAATAATTGATACTAAATTACATGCTTTTTACTCACTTTGGGATGTATATAATTTGACATTAAATTACACAAACATAGAGAAATAAGTTTAGAGTTTAAGATACGAACAATGTATTTAAATCATAATTTAAGGAGAAAGATCTAGTGATTAGATCCTAGGCAAAACCTAATGGCAATGATCATGCAAAATTTTCACTAACTCTAAAACCTAATATCCATCAGCCCATCCACAACAATCAAGGATGAGAATGAGGAAAGCATTCAATTCATAATCATTCATTTCGTTTTCTTAGTTATTAAATTTACAAAATATCATTGTTCCACATACAATATGACAATTGGATTAAAATATTGATTGGTTGTATAAATATGAGAAATTGATTTCAAAAGATGCATGTCATATATGATTAGGTTACTCCAAAATTCAAACAAAAAAGAAGGAAACTCAACACTTTAAATACCAAACCAACCAAATAGCTAAACAATACGAGCCTTGAACAAAAACCAATAACATCGACAAAGACCACAATAAAGTAAAGAGCTTACTTATATCATAGAGTTTTACTTATATCAACATTGACCATCACAGAAAGTGCCCTAAGGCAGAAGGCATGGCATCAATTATTCCATCACAATTAAAATTATTCTTCATATTTTCTCCTTTATCAAACCATAAATGTAGTAACCATTAATTATCCATTGACTTATAACCTATTTTATGTCAATTTTATTTTAGAGTGATAGATAATACATTAACAGAATATAGAAGAAAATAACTATGACAGGTTTAGCAGCTCGCAAAGATAAGTTTAAACAATTAAAGCATCCATAAGAAACATAATCATAAAATACCAAATAAGTTCCATTTACAGGATGCATCACATTGCAATGAAAACTTGAAGATCAAAATTCTCAATTTTTTCATTCAAGTTAAACCAAAACCTCAAGTTTTTCATAGCTTGTTTCGTGAAATTAATGTAAATAATCAAATGAAAATAAAAAACACATGCATCAAAATTGGGCTGGCTTCCAAATATTCATAAGACGAAAACTTGAAAGGTAAAATTTTCAACTTTATTTTAATCGCTAAACAAAAATGTGCAATCTTTTAAAAAAGAAATAGAAAAAAAATTGAGGTTACCTTCTTTAACAATACTGATACCTAAAGATGCGACATAAATTACAGCCTTAACCAGTTTTATCAAGGCAGTTAATAGTGATAACACTTGGCTCCCCTTCATTCTCTAGTTGCCTAATGATCACTATCTCGTTGTGTAGAATGCCCATATATTTATTCTTATTCTTCAAAGCTTGAAAGATAGTAAAAGATTTTTACTTTTTTTTTTTGTTTGGTTTATTTTTTGCTATGCTTTTATGAGTTGTTGCGTTTGTCATTTTGAAGAGTACAAAGCAGCAATAGTGTTGTGGACACAGATAAAAGGTAGAGCAAAGCAGAAAGCAAAACACAAAGCAAGAGAGAATTTTGTTGCTTAACCTATGATAGTTAGATAGTTAACAAATTTGTCTTCTCAAAATATCCTTCACATTATTTTTTATACAAATGAGTTGCGCAATTAATATGAAATGAAGACTGTTTTTATCTATTGTTATATATAAAAGTTTATATTTAATATATTATCAATATATAAATTTTACACACTGTCAGTAAATCACATGATAATACTTGATTAATAAAAGTAAATATCAACTCTTAAAATAAATATACAAAAATTAATATTTTTAAAAAAATTTATTTATTAATAAAGTAATATCATTTTATTCGTTCATTAATTAATAAGATAATATCATATAATTCATAAATAATATATAAAATTTATACTTTTACGATATATTAAATATAAATCCTATAGATGATACTAATTCAACATATTTAACAAAAGCTGGTTGTGTCCTTAAGTTTGCATTAAAAAAAACGGGTACTTTGACTTCTTTTGAGTCATCATGGAGATTTATTTTTCAAAGTAAATAAAAGCATTCATTCAATAAAAAATTAAAAAAAGGAGTTTTATTTAATTTAATTATTTTATGTAATCATCGATATAAAATTTAATAAATTTAAAATTCATTTTTTCTGAAAATTTAAAACTCATTTTCGTTACTCACAATTCTTGATTATATCTCCAAATTACAATCTGTTTAATAAAAATTAAAAAAAAAAAGAAAAAAAACTTATAAAATAGAAATACTTGTGAGGAAAGAGACCCCTACTCAGTGAGCCAAAAGCTGAGTACAAACAGTAGCTGCACATTGTTCAGAGCTAGCTCCTATCTTTGCAAGCTGATCAGTAACCCCAAAATTTAGGAGGATAAACTGTTCATAGTAAATCCTGAATTCAAAAGAGTTCAATTCAAATCTTATTACTCAAAACCATTTCTTAATTTAACTCACCAATATGGCCATCAAACTGTACCAAAAGAAGCACGACAAAATCGAAGAGTGAAGGGAAGCCCTACAGGGGCGACCTGAGAACACATCAAAGACAGTGGATAAGGTTTTCATCTAGAACTGACCAAATGTGATCTCATGTCGCTCCTGTTGGGCTCCTTCACCAATTGCTTACATATGGAGATGGCAGATTTTTTAGTTATATAAGCACAATCCAAATCCAATTCAGTACTTAGGACATATCTAATTCAAATGTACTACACAAAGCTACGACAGTACAATTTTTTTTTTAACAAATCAATCATTTTGGTGGTATGGGTCAGTACAACTTTTTTGTACTTCCTAATTCCACATCGTTGTAATTTGTACTATCAAATTGTAAAACGCACCATCTATGCTCTGTACATGTGTAGTAATTTTATGTACTAAAAAATGCTACAACACAATTAGCCACAAAGTTGGCAAAGGCAACAGCCTTTTGTCGAAGGTTCAAATTTATTTATCTTTAATTTTTCTCTTTGAAATATGAAAGAATAATGTTACGAATGTATTAAATTATAATAAAATATTGAATATGATATTTAAATTTTAAAATTTTTTAATATAATATTTAAATTATAAATTTATTAATTAATATAATATTTAAAAAAATTATCACATTACATATTATAATTTAAAATTAATCACATTAAAAATAAACAATATATTAATTAATAAATTTATAAGTCAAATATCATATTAAAAATTTAAATATTTATTAAATATTTCATTATAATTAAAGATTATTTATAATATTAATATAAATATAAATATAAAAAATTAATCTCATAATTATTTGAAAATTTTTTACTAACATGATATTTAAAAATTTTTTATTTATTACGTATCATTATTTAAAATTAATCATATTAAAAATAAATATTACATTAATTAATATATTTATAACTCAAATATCATATTAAAAAAATTTTAAATTTAAATATTTATTAAATATTTTACTATAATTTAAAGATCATTTTTAATATTAATCTAAATATAAAAATAGTCAACATATATTTTCTCTTACCCGTCAAACATTTCTCTTTGAAATATAACACACTGGATGGTCTGAAACTGCAACACATACCCAAAGAAAAAGAAACTGCATTTGTCTTGCTTGTTACACAAACCTTTGCATCTGCTTAGCAAAAACAAAGATATGTCTCGAAAAACCTCAGACTTTCTTCATAATAAGTTACCATAAAATCACATTGTCATTAACCAGCATAAATACAGACACTGAGAATGAGAAAAACCTTCAGGTTTCAGACTGGCCGAAATATCTTCCCGTAATTGTGGCCAAAATATTTAGCATAATAACTTCATCATCGACCTCTAACTTCCCAGCTCTCAAGTTAGCACATTTCCGAAGCAGACTACGAAGAGAAGCACAAGTATTGGCGTCCAGAGGAGTGTCGACTGCTGCACATAAAGCAAATAGCCACACACAATTACTCCTTGACAGTGAGGCCATGGGCTCAATCGAGCTTATGCGTTTCCTAAGCATTGAAACTCGAGTTACAGAGTCCATTTTGCGGATTGCAAACAAGGTTGGGCAGTCACCACATGTATCACTAACAGAGGTTTTAGCGCATGGAATCTGATGAGACAGTAAAATCATACTGTCTGCAGCATTTGACAAAGATATCTGATCAGAATGGACTTCACTGGTTGCAAGGTTGTTAAATTTCTCGGTAACAACACTCTCGGGAAGCGGACACAAGTCCTCCTGTAGAACAGTAAACTTTGGTAGTTTACAAGAAATTTCAGCAATGGGATCCTCTAAATATGACAGAGCCTGAGATCAAGAAGGAAACAAAAGTTAAAACCAGTTGCCTTAGATATACAATTGTCAAATTTTTGCTATTCTCCAGATCTTAAAAGATGATTCTTTAGGTCCTGAGGTTCCTGAAAAACCTCATCCAACTTTTTTTCCCAAATGTTACTGCAAAGAAAAGACATTTTTTGTTTTGGACAACAACAAGGGAAGGAAAGAAGTTGCTGAATTCAAAGACGTGAAAGCTTTTCTCACTCCTATAGGCTTCATTTTGTACCAGCAAATTAGTTTCAGTAAGCATACAGAGTCGAGGGATGATGGCCGAAGAGAAAAAAATGAAAGGACATTCAAAATATATATGGACATAAAACCTGCAGAGCTCTTATCATAGTAAACAAAACACAAAATTAAATGGGGCCAAAACTACATACTTGTCGTAGCTCTGAAAAATCTGCAAGAAATGCTTCCTCCCACTGTTTCAATGGCAGTAAATATTCTGGACACTTAGCAATTTCAGGGATCTGGGGCATATAAATACTTTGTTCCTTGTTCAATTTAATCCCATCAGCCTTGGCAATCTTTACTTTTGGAATTTGAGCAGCTTCCCACCTACAAATAATATAAAACGACTACATTAGTTTGATACAATTAAAACATAGTTGTATTAATCCTAGAAAAACTCAATTTTGTGGTACAAGAATCTCCCACACTCCTGTCAGTCAAGAAGCAACTGTAATAAAAAAAAAAATAGACTAAGAATTTCACAAATTAATGCAATAAAGTCAAGGAGGTTTCCAATATGATTTAATAACTAAACAAAGGACAGCTAAAAGGAACACAGAATTTTGCAACTGCAGCTCCATAAAACCTACCTAATAAGCAGAGAACTTGCAACTAAATTTTGATAATAAAACTTTGTGGAAGTATCAGTGATGATCAAAACCATTCTAATGCAGGTCATGGCATAATTGGCAAAACATGGTACAGCAAGGGAGGTTTGCATCAAATTGACAAGGAATCCATGGTGATGAACCAAAGGGCCAAAACTTATAATCCAAAGCTTGATTGGGTGGTGAGAGGTAATTTACAGTTTAATGGTTGATAACAATTACTTAAATCATAAATGGAAATTTTATTACTTAAGACCAAAATAGATGATATTCCAGCAAAAAGCCCTAAAGAAACATTGACATTTCGCAGCTGCACCGTCCAGACTCCAAAAATCTTAATGTAGTCATAGATTTGCTGGAATCAGACCTATTTTTCAGTTTCATGCAGTCCAACATTGAATGGTTGTTGGGCTAGCAGAGGAAGACAATTATTATACCAATAATTACTAGGACTCTGTAATTAACTATGCAAATTCTCCAATTATATGAAAACATATTTCTGAGAATTCAGCAGCCGTTGTACTTTCTTTGGCATGGTTTGAACTGTGAAGTGACCCTAAGAAGAGGAATGAAACCAACAAACCCTATGAAAGCAAAATGGAAGCAAAATGGCATTGCCAATAAATAGATAATATATAATATATTAATCCACAATTTAAGGATAAAGATCAAGTACCTGACACGCCTAAGATATTCTAATCCATCCTCTGGAGGACCAGAATCGAAGTCAGGTTCCCCTTCTACCATAAAAGCAGGCTTAAGAATACTGGTGTAATTTTCATCACTGTCATCATCTTCAATACATTCTTCTTTTACATCAATGAAGGCATCTTCAACTCCGACATCAAGAGTAGAAGTAAGACCCAAAGGATATATATCTTCAGTCTCATTATCCTCCATGTATTCTGGTTCATTACCCACGTTTTCCGAATAATCTTCCCCTGAAATTGATGGCAAACTTTAGCAGTGCTTGTGCAATTCAAAATATCAAATCCAAAGGAATGGAAAAACATTGCAAATATGCAAATAACAGCAAACAGCTAATAGAGCTCTTCTCATTCACTTGCAAGGCATTCAAAGGTTGAATTTCATTAAAGAATGTCATCACTTTTATTAGTTTCTAGTTACAAAGAATGTAACATATCATCTGTATTACTAACACGCATTCTACTAGAATTAGAATCCAAAATACCCAACAGCAAGACTCCTATGTACACATAGGCTAGCAGGGTACTAAACACAGATATAATGTGCCTAAGTATACACAAGGAAATTCTATGAGTCGAATTGTTGCACGTAAGGTCTTTTTCAGATCACTTCAGGCCATTCGTCAATGTACAAAGATATCGAGACCATTCCTTGTTCCCCTTCCAGCAACCACACCTGTGACAACAGAAAATGAACCCATCAAGTTGACACTACATGAGCTGGATTCTAATACAAGGAAGAACAAACTGCTCATAATTTCTATGAGCTTCTGCATTAATTATAAGACACCAGTTTTGTATATTGAAAAGAACTGAATAAAACCTAAAGGAGGAAAAGCTTTTTTTTTTTTTTTTTTTGAAAGATAAAACTATGATTCTTATAGGAGTGTTTTCCAGAAAGGAAGAAAAAATAGGTAGGAAACTTGGAAGACCTGAAGAGAAAAGTACGTTTTTCACTATTAAACTAGCCAAAATTCTGTTAAAAGAAAAAAAGAATCTACTTGCTGGAATCAAGATAAAAAGAAAGCCAAACCAAATTCTTAGAAATGCATCTGGACTAAAAATAAAACATAACTGAAATCTTTGTGTGCATAATACTAACAAAGTTTAACTTGAACAAGAATAATAACAGTCTAGATTCATAACAGATGAAATCTCTGCTTTAGTTGAATGAGAGAATGAAAAACTAGTAGGATGAAATAAGAGGCCCATGAGAAAAAGAAGCAAAATGAATTTTACAAACAGCAGGGAAGAATAATCTACTACACTAGGGAAAAATAAAAGGAATCCCCAATTTTCAGGTATCTCAGGTATGGTGCCAAAGCATAAACTATAAACTAACATGCAGTAAGAATGAGAGGAAAAAATTGCATATTCTTCAAGTATGAAAACAAGGGATCCGCAATTTTCAGGTATCAAAGTTATGGATCCTAAACATAAAATAAAACTAACAGGTGGGTAAGTATGAAACGAAATAATTGCCTATTCTCCACATCAGATAATATTCATTAAAGCTTAATCCTGTACATAAGGAAACACTGACAATCTGTTTCCCGGACCCTCTGTGCTACATTGAGGAAAACCTATGGTATCACACTCACAGTATGTCACGTTTTATGCTGCTGGGCTATCAGAGTGCTTATCAAAATCCCAATCATTCATTGCTCTAGAGTTAAAGACTTAAACAATGACGAGCTCTTTCTCCTAAGAAGCTACAATCTTAGTAAAAGGTTCAAAATTAAAGATAAAGCAGACGAGAACACAGGGCACCATACAAGGCTCACCACTATATATCAAACAATACAAATTTAAAAGATTGATGAAGTTCTATCACAATCAGAAGTACATCAGATCACAACAGCAGTGAACCATAATCCCAAATGACAGCAATAAGACCCTACATGCGATGTACTAAACTAAAGCTTTGGGCTATTTATCAAACAATACAAGGCTCACCACTATTTATCAAACAATACAAATTTAAAAGATTGATGAAGTTCTATCACCATCAGAAGTACATCAGATCATAACAGCACTGAACCGTAATCCCAAATAACAGCAATAAGACTCTACATGTGATATACTAAACTAAAGCTTTGACTATTTATTAAACAATACAAGGCTCGCCACTATTTGTCAAACAACACAAATTTAAAAGATGATGAAGTTCTATAACCATCAGAAGTACCTCAGATCATAATAGAAGTAAACCATGATCACAAATAACAGCAATAAGACAGTAAGACTCTATATGTGATGTACTAACTAAAACTTCGGACTCTTGCTATGTAAAAAGAAGAGATAAATCAAACAACATAATAAATAGAGATAACTAAAACCAAAGGCACACTTAAATGATGAAAACGAATAAAGAGATAAAAACATACTCAGAGTTGCAGGAGATTCTGCCTTCTTTCCAAAGTGGTGACGAGTATCAGCTCTCAAGCTAATGTTCTTCCGCTGCTTCCAGCTTCCCAATTCCTCATACTCCCTGATCACATCAGTACCAAGACCATTATATACATCCATCCACAATTTCCGCTGTTCCACAACCTTGGCAAACCTCAAAGCCTCTAACTCTTTTCTTGAGTACATAATCTTACTTTGATCATTGCTTTCTTTCCTACCAGTTTGAACTTCAACCATTTTTGTTGACTCCATATGCGTCACAGCTTCCCCTTAAACTTTTTTTTCATTCTTTCCCTTTCTTCGAGATCTTTTAGCTTTCTTGCCATCAATTTCCTCTTTCCCCTTCTTCTTCTCATTCTTTACACTGCCATTTCCAGTTTTGGAGAGTGGAAATGATCCAATCAACGCTGTATCATCAATGACTTCAATTTTTAAAGACCCTCTAACAGGCAAATCGAGTCCTTTGATACCAGCAATGTGGCTGTCATCATCAATCTTGGACAAGTTTGTTGCAAAACTAGAGATATTTCCACTACAGGTTTGGGCACCAAAAAGTTTTCCAACTTCAAGCTCACCTAGAAGTCGTTTCTTTTCAGCTTCCAGTAGATTTTCAGATTCCAAGGCTTTTCCTTTGATGGCCTTTTTCTCCTCAAATCCCAAACAAGTCACCAGTTGCTCCTTCTTATCAACTTCAAAGACAAAACCCACATCAACTTCAATGGCATTGACTTGGCTCTCAACTTCTTGAACTCTAAAGGAACCCTCTTTGGTCTCCACATTATCAATCTTTTCTTTCTCGAAAGACCCAGAAAGAAAGGCATTCTCAGTGGAAGAATGAAGACCCGGTTCTTGGTTTCCCTCATAAAGAAGAGAAAAGCACTTGGCTTTCTTCTTGGGACTGCTATCATCCATAATTGCTTCTTCTTGGCGATCTTGAGGGGTTGAATCCTGGCGGTGGTGGGGAGTGATTTCAGAGAGAGAAGAGGAAAGTTGAAGTTGAAGGAGAGTTTCTTGTTCTTGTTCACTGTCAGTGGTGATTGTACGCTTGGAACCTACGTATGAATCAGAATCCATGGGGTCATCAGCCATTATTATTGAGAAAGAGATAATAGAAAAATAATTGGTTTCGAAAGAGAGGGAGAGGCCTGGGGTTTTAGGATGGATTGGGGCTTGGGAATGATAGAGAACGAGAAATACATATAAATATATGAGTTCGATTTTTTTTTAACACCGAAATTTTCTGTATATTGGTTCTACTTGCGGCTTCAGTATTCTTTTTGGCTAATTTGTAATTTGGTATTTCAGCTGTATTATTTTGCCAATTTGATAATTATAAGCTTAATGATATATTTTCAATTTTTTGACCTAATGATTAAAAAAATTAAAAATATAAAAATTTTGATCAAATCAAAATCTCCTTCCTTATCTTCATGATTATACTCATGTATCAAAAAATATATATAATCATTAATTTAAATTTCAAATCCATTATCCTTCTCTTGATCTAATGATTAAAGAAATTTTATAAAAAAATAAAATTTTAATTTTAATTAAATTTTTTTCTTATTTTTCTATTATAAAAATTATATGCTCCCTTGAATAAAAAATTTTTTCAATACCATCAAACACAGTAATCTAGTAATTTATACTATTAACATTAAATTTATTACTTAAAAGCAGTCGATAAAATCCTTATACGTTACTAAAATTGCCAGGCTAATTTTTTATAATTTTTTGAATTTTTTATTTTTGATAAAAATTAAAATTTGGAAAATTAAAATTAAAAAAAAAAAAGAAAAAAGGATGAAGATATCCCCACGGATGCAGATCAGACCTATTTGTCTCGGCTCAAGCAAATCCCCCTTCTCTACTAATTTTTTTCTCTCTTCACAACTTCTTTTTATTTTTAATTTTTAATTTTGTTTAATATTTTTAATTTTTATCAAAAATAAAAATTTAACACAAAATACATCTTTTTCCAATTCATATTTTTTTTATTTTTAATTTTTTTAATTCTAAAAGTATTTTTCATGTTTATTTAATATAAATTTTTATAAAAATAAAAATAACCTAATATAACACATGATGCGTTTTTATTGGTTAATTTTTATCATGAAAACATTTTAACTAACGAGCTTGAGAGAAGTCCGTTTGTATTGCATGGTATAACACAATGAGCTTTCTTATATATATAAACAAACAATTATATCCCTCAACAGATAGCTGCTGAAATGGAACCTAAAACAGATTACAAGCAAAATGGAATACCATTTATGGCAATTAATGTTTTTGGATAGAAAGGTTGATATGGAAATGAAAACCATCAACAAATAACAATATTCAGTAACATTTATATCCACCACACGACCCAATCCCTTTGTCAATCTTATGACTACAACTCAAAAAAACATTGGTAGCCGGGTTCGAAAACCGGTAACAGACGGATCATATCAGTCACATTAAACATTCCAACCTTACACATCCATGTCATATATGAAAAACTGGAAGGAAAAAAATATATATAATATTTAGTGATCTGATGAAATCTGCAGTCAAGTGAAACCAAACTGTGCAGAGATTGCAGAAATGTTTGATCAAAGGCGAGGAAACCAGATGGATTCATCTGCTTTTAAGTCTCTGGTGGAGCTGCTGTTGGTGCCACAGACTTCAATAGCGGTTGGAGAGCCTTAACAACGATGCTCATGTTTGGACGGAACTCGGCTTCATACTGAACACACAAAGCTGCCACGGCTGCCAACTGCATCGAGAAAAATATAATTAAAACCATTAACTGTTACTTTGGCGTGCCTTCAGATGTCTTCCAGAGTTCTTCAAACACCCAAAACCCATCCCCATCTCTAAGTTATAAAATTAAACTTGTGCAAGTAACGGGAACATTCCGCTACTTAAAAGAGTGGTCTCTACATAATTTTTTTTATAAACCCTACACAATGCTGAATTATAATAAGTTATGCGGACACAGGATAAAAATACCTTAGCAACTCCTTTAGGAGGATACTCTCCCTTCAATTTTGGATCTACACATTGTTTAACTTTATCTTCACTCAGTCTTGGAGTAGCCTAAATGGAGAAAAAGAAATGTTGAAGAGTTGATCAAATTTAAAGTGCACTGAAAAGATCAAGCACTGCATATAAAAGAAACAGAAGCGCACCATCACACTAGATAAAGAAAAGGGAAAAGAACTGACAGACGAGGAAGCAATAAACTCACCCAGGTAACAAGACTCTGCTGTCCACGAGGCATTGTGTGGTCAACAGGTTTCCTCCCGGTCAGAAGCTCGAGAAGGACAACTCCAAAGCTGTAAACATCACTCTTCTGTGTCAAATGTCCAGTCATTGCATACCTGGAAAACATTAGAGCCACAAATCAGTAAAAATCATACATTTTCTGTGCAGCTCCTCTTGGATAGTGATGCATTCAGAAAAAATCACTGGCATTCCCTCAAATTCATAAAAAGAAGGCAAGGAGTTCAAATAGCAACATCATTTAGGGAAAAAAATGAAACTAATAAGGATTTACGTAAAAAATAATATAATAAATCTGGCGGTAGGACAAGTTATGAACATCTGCACAATTTCCTAGCTGTTACCAAGAATGCATTAAATATAAGCAACCATATACTATTAAGTACACTAAACACACGAGAACAGCAAATGACTCGTTGGTTCAGAAAAAAAAAAAAAAATGTAAAGGAGCTGAGAAAGTATACTCTGGAGCATGATAGCCAAAAGTCCCCAAAACTCGAGTAGAATGAAGACGAGCAGCCATGTCAGGAGCCTGGTTTGAGAGGTTAAAATCTGCAATCTTGGCTTTGAATTCTTCAAAGAGAAGCACATTGCTAGATCTGATATCTCTGTGTATAATAGAGCGTTGAACCTTCTCATGCAAGTATTCCAAGCCCCTTGCCGCATCAACAGCAATTCTTACCCGCTGAATCCAGTCAAGCACTGGACCTGGTTGTGCCCCTTGAACACCCTTCCTTCCTATAATTCCCAAAAAAGAAAAAACAAGATAAGTCAAACTAATAGAGTTTATTTTGTATAACAAAATTTGTCAGATAAATAGAAATCAGGAACTAATATTATAATATGATGGCCTCACAAACCATGCAATATGTCATGTAGTGATCCCATTGTTGCAAACTCATATGCAAGCACACGGAGATTTCCTTCAACACAGTAACCTTGCAACTCAACAAGATTGTCATGCTTCAATCTTGAAACCATTGAAACCTAAACAAAGAAAATTTGTACAGTGGAATAGTTAAGAAACAAGGGGAAACACATGACATAACGACAACCTGAATTGGCATTAACAATAAGAATTTAAAAAAAAAAATTAGAAAAAAACCGTTCTGTCAAATTGCTAACATACCTGGGTTAAAAACTCTACATTTGACTCAGTCTCAGAGGAAACGTCAAGCTTTTTCACAGCCACAGCTTTTCCATTGTTCAAGCTTGCATGATAAACTCTTCCATAGGAACCCTCACCAATCAAAGCCTTTGATCCAAAATTGTCAGTCTTTTCTTTCAATTCTTCCAAGGATAGTGCAGGCACTTCGATAGGTGGTGCCGATTTTTGCACTTCAGGCTTGACAGGAGCTGCCACCTTTGAGTTTTTTTGATGCCCTGAAAGCTCATAGCATAAGCAATGAGAAATTATTCTAAGAACACAAGCACTCCAACAGAAAAATGATAGAAATTGAATAATTAAAAAGTAACAAGAAAACTTTTTTGTAAGGAACCTTGACAGAAACATTCATATTTCAAATAACAGATTAAAATATAGGACAACACATGCCAATCATCTTAAATTGTATTCAAACCTTTATTTCGTTTGGGAAACACTAAAAATGATTTTTTTTTTTTTTTAAAGGACAGCTTAAAAATAATCTTCATATCTTGCAAGTAAAAGCCAAATATAAAACAATCAAATCAATCTAAATTAATCCCCAATTCTTGCCTAACTCATAACAAGCTTGAGTTGCCTAAAAAAAAAAAAAGGTTGTCAGTATTTAAATTTGAATAACGAATGAAATATTCTGGGAGTTTCTATTTTCCTTTCCAATAAACAAACCCAAAACCTAAATGCTCAAGGTGGACTAGAATAAAAGCTTCCACTTTGAAATTAAATAATCAGAGGGCAAGGCAGTTTTAAACCAAAATAAGACATGTTATGAAAAAAAATGAGAAAATAATGGACTTCCTCATCTCTTCCCATAAATAAAAAATATTCCAACAATATTCAAAAGTCAAAATGACAAAGACATATATAGTGCTTAGTTGCATATATAGAAATGAAGAGGCAGAAAGAGACATAGAGACATTAGTCAAACAACAGTCATCAAAAAACATGTATAACACTTAAGGCTTTCTATACAAAGTAAAAAATAGGTAATGAGCAAGACCAACAAATACAAAAATATGCCCGAGTCACATTTCTATTCACCAGAGTAAAGTAAATATGATAAGATGTTTTGCAAAATTTAATATACTAATATCTATATTTGCAAGAACATAACTACACAATTTACACTACCCAAAAGGTTCCTAACAGTAAACCAGAATTGCCAAATCAAGTTAGCATCAAAGTGACATACCATCTGTATTATACTTGGGGCTCTTCAAGTGCTCACTTTCATGTGATTGGTAATTCTCCTCTACCTGACAGGAACAGCAAAGCCACCGACGCATCTTTGTTCTTTTCTTCAAATACAGATTATCAGTATTTTCTAGTTGAACAAAGTAGCCAGGAGGAGGTGCATGTGCCTGCATTTTCCAGAAGACATTCATGCATAATCCAATGAACACATTGCAATTCATTCATAACTAAATTATTATATCAAAACATATCTCTACGCATAACCAGGACTGGAAGCAAGTTGATAAAATCTCCGACATATCTAAAGAGAGATTTCACATTCATCCAACATTTCAAAAGGTCAAAATTCCAATATCAATAAACAACATATTTAAAAATAAAACATAAAATTAAGAAAAGCAACAAAATATCATCCTACTACAACAATTTGAGGCACATGTGGATTGCATATCATTAACCACATGAATCATGATAGATAAAACAACACCTCGATAAATGTACCAAAACAAAAACCAACAATTCCATATATCCAGAGAACCCGCGGCTGAGCGGCAATGTCTGATCAAAATTAAATGCAATGTCATGGAGTACAATTTAAGACAAAAAAAAAAAACTGAAAATACAATTGAATTAATTATAATTAATTAATTAATTAATTACGCCTCATGAGGTGAATTTTCAATAAAATTTGAATTTTTAACATTCGAATACATGAAAAAATGAATGAAAAAAGAGACCCATTAAGCCTTACCACCAAGCCACTCTGATTATACTCGCCTTCCATTAAACAAAAGCCGAGAAATCAAAGATCAAAATGCAAACAAATAAAAAATCAAACAACCCAGAAAAATTAAGCCCAATTTCTAAAATGGGTCGTTGCAACTTCACGAAAAAAATCAAATGATCAAAAGATAAATGAAACCCTCAAATTTGTTCTGAAAATGAAAAAAAAAAGGGGTAAAAATAATAGTTGAGAAAATAAAAGACACAGATAAGCACACGGAAAAACAGCTTTCAGATCGAAACCGAAATTAAAGGATTAAAATGGATAAAAATTGAAAAAAAAAAAAAGAATTCTACCTGGCTTTTCTCTCTATTTTCTCTTTCTCTTTCTAGGGTTTGTTACTACTATTATTATTTTTTTTTGGAAGGGAAGCGATTTTAGAAAGAGAAAGAGAAGAGAGAAACAGACAGAGCCAGAGAGGAATTTGATGATTTGAAGGCTGTCTTTTGCTTTTGGTTTTGAAGGAAAGAAAGACAGAAGAAAAAGGTAATTTGACAGACAGGCAACGCGGGGAAAAGAATCAAAAGATGTATATAAAAAAATGATTTAATGAATAATACATTTTTTTTTATTCTCAAAGAAATTTGTTTAGATTATTACTATTTTATACACCAAAATATTTCCATTAAATAAAATCTATAAATTTACTAATTTTATGATAATTGCTTTATTTATAGTTAAATTGATATATTCACTAACATATATTATTATTTCTAATTTTTTATTTTTTTGTGAAATAATTTTTAGTTCATATTAATATTTATAATCATGTGTGTTGCATGTGAATATTTATTTTTTATTTTTTAAATGATAATGGTAGATTAAATGTATAGTTTTTATATGATATAAATAACTAAAATTAATAAGTGCATATTAATCTCTAAATTTGTATTGACACGAAAAGTTTATCTTACATGTAAAATATATTAGATTAACATAAAATTTAAAGATAAAATTTAAATTTACCATTTTATTAAATTGAGAGCTTCAAATTTACCATTCTATTTTATTTATTTTTTGATGCAAATGCAAAATTAGAACTCTAATAATAAAAAAATTATATGAAATTTAACTTTATATATATAATTCATTTAATAAAAATCTTTCAAAGGAATTAAATTTTTTATTTATACATTGAATAAATTTTATTAATATTTATAATTAAAATAATAATTTAAAAATATGATAAACTTAGATATTCCTCTTCATTAATAAAAAAACTCATTTTGACTTATAGGTTTCTTTTTCTATAAGCATAGTATTTTTTTCTTGTTTTAATTTTATAATTTTTTGTTTAATTATAAATAGTGATATCTATCTATTTTAATTTCCTATAAATGCAATTGAAAAAATAAAAATTATTGTAATTGCAATTAAAAAATTTTTTAAAAAATTTACATTAAATATATCAAAAAATTAAAATTTGGATTTAACTGGTGGTGTGATGGATTCAATCATATTGTACTAAAAATACAATTAAATCCAAATGAGTACTGAATTTTTTTAGGTCCAGAGTCAATTATACTGTAATTTTTTATTTTATTTTCATTTTTACCTTTGAAATTTTATGTTAACTTAAAAATACCTAATTCTTATTTTTAATTCATTTTGATTTTTATTATATAATAAATTAATCAATAGAATTTATTACATAATAAGCTAATAAATAATTTAATTTAATTTAATTTTAAATAATTTATTAATTTTATAAATATTAAATTATTTAAAATTTTTATTTTAACAATACATTTGATAATCATTTTTTTCTTATTATAATTTATTTCATTATCATAATTATTTTTATATTTAAACATATATTTTGTTATTGATTTTAATCTCTTTACATTAATTAATAATATTTTTATTATTATTTTTAATCAGACAGGTTTTTAATAAATTATTCGTAGTGAATTTATTTTTGTTTCATTTTCTTTCTCTAGTAGTCTACAACAACAACTCCAGAAGTAGTTGGTTGTACGTTTTAAAAGATTTGGATGAGATTGTACCATAAAAAATTGGGATGAAATTGTTATTAATTAATTAATTAATTTATTTTGATTTTGAAGAATGGAATTCGAATTTTATTCCCTTTGATGCTTAAATGAGATGGATATCCAACTGTTTTAAGCAAGACATTGAGCATAATTGACCTCACAAATAGTCATTGAGAGTGAGATTTCATGTGATCACATAAATTTTTAATGCAAGTAAATATAATAATTTATGTATTTATATTATATTTATTTAGATTAAATAAATATAAAAATTTTGTCTTATTAAATTTGAATCACATATTAAACATAATTTTTTTTATTTTTATTAAAAATTTAAATTATATTATTTTTATATTATATTTTCATATTTTGTTTAAAATTGCCATCTGAACTCTACACAAAGGTGCGACATTCTCTCTAAATCACCTCTGGATTTGAGAATTTTCATAGGGCCAAAGCTCCCTCTTTCCATCATTTTCTTTTTCATATGTGAAAATTAAAAATTTGGAGACAGCATGACACCTTTAATAAAAAGTGTTAAAAAAATAGAATTTTAAATAAATTATTTGTGAATATGTTTGATTTTTATTTATTTATTAAATTTCATAAATAATTTTAAACAATATTTTTATATTAATTTATTAAATAAACTGAATACAAATAAAAATTTATTTGATTTGATTTATATTCGTGAATAAATTTATTTAAAATTTATTTATTATTCGTTTATAATAATAATAACAAAATTATATTTTAATCTTTTATCTTAATTTTATTTTAAAATTTATTTTATATTCGTTTATATTTGTTTAAATTTATTTGATTATAATTTATTTATTGTTTATAAATATTTTCATTTAAATATGTTCATTATTATTTATTTAATATTCACAAATAAATTTATTTAATTTAATAAAATCAAACATGAATCAAATGTAAATATTTTATTATTTAAATGAATCTAATTCAAAGAAATAGAATAATTTTTTTTATCAAACACAAACTAAACTCGAATACTTTCAAAAATTAACAAACATATTACAAATATATTTTTATTCATTCATTTCCGATTTGTTTACATCTCTGATCTTTATTCGAGGAAACTTGTTTGTCATTAATATTATCAAACGATGCTTCACTCAGCTTCGACAATTCCTTGAGAAAGAACAAAAACCAACAATGTGGCTTCTTAAACATAAGAACAATTCTGTCTCTGAAACTTATATGCAAAAACCTTTCAAAGCATTATCACTGTTTTACTTCTAAAGCAGAAACTGCAGTTCTTTCTATAGAAGCCTTTGTTCGATATTGCTTCTTGAAACCTAACATCTTATTTAATGCACCAATATAAGCCTTGACACTGGAAACAACTATATCCATTCCTGCTCCAGTTCCACTGGCACCAAAGGATAAAAAGATTTATGCACCGAATTTTGGGGTTGGAAGTGTTAAAATGTCAAAGGAAACAACAGCAAGAAGATTCCATACCTAAATGTTCGATAAACTAGTTCGCCAGTCAAAGCATGAGTCGATATGTGACCTTTTTCTGCGCCAATTAGGACGCGGGTGGTGGCGATAGCATCAATGCCTTCTGTAACAGCGTTCATTGAGTATTCGAGAAGTGTGACTGGTTCCTGCAAATGGAGGAGGAAATTTTGCAGCATTGCTCCACAATCTCAGTAAAAGTGTGTTTCATAGACAAATTCTTCAATAACACTAACAGTGAATTTAGTAAAAATAATCCAATCCGAATGACGGCTTCGATCCAATTTGACCTTTTAAAATCTTTTTTTTAATAAAAAATTGAAATTGAATTAAAATCAGGTTTTAAATTTTAGACAAATTCAACACAATCCGATCCAATATATATAAAAAATTATTTTTTTATTATTTATTTAATTTTATATTTATATATTTATTTAATTTTATATTTATGTTACAAAAATAATATTTTATATTAAAAAAATAATATTTTATAAATTTTAAATCGAATCGAATTCGGATATAATTTTATACAATATCAAATCGAGGCACGTAAAATCAGATTATTAAAAATAAAAATAAAAATTTTTAAGATCGAATCAAATTCAAATTTTATATATATAAAATCGGATCAGATTTAAAACGAATAAAAACCTGTCTCGATCCGACTCATTGCCATCCCTTATATCATAAAAGAAAACTACCAATCTCATGTATCAAACCTTTATAATGAGATCGACGGCTTTATAAGCTGAATCTACTGGCCCAGTTCCAACTGAGCATGCGACATGCTCCCTCCCATCAGCACCTGTGAGTTTAATTGTTGCGGTAGAAAGACCAAGAGTTCCACAAGTAACCTGCATGTTATGTTTTCCATTCAAGTATTATCAGAAACTAAAATTTCATTCAAATCGGATGATGAACAACATAGTTTAAAACACAGTTACCAGGATCGCTGCTACCCCTAGAACTGCGATCCACTTCGTATATTCTTGATTACGAATATCAATAAACTTCTATGTTCATATTAAAATACACTCATGTGTTTAAAAAACATAAATATATATTTAAATCAAAATAACCCCAATAATGCTTTATACTGTACTGCAACCGAAAGTAACGAATAAATGAAGCTTATCCCCACTGAACCATAAAATATCTAAGTCACACACGCCATGCCACATTCCTGTAACTATGATTCAAAACATTGTCTAGTTACCTGCAGATCATTTAGCTTCCAAACAACTTCTGGTTGAAAAACTTCATCCGAAAGCAATGCTATTAGATCAGCGTCGTTGACTCTCTGGAATACCAGTTAATAAAATAAGTATAGACCACAATCATCTTCATAAAGAAACAACAAAAATCATGCATTTAGCAGAGCTTTAGAGCAACAGTTACTTTTCCCTTTCTAAGAATCAAGTTATAGAACAAAGCAACTACAACTCAACTAAAAATAAACTGAACTTCCAGGGAAGCCAGGATACTTGAGAAGCTAATTGATACAAGCATTCATAACCAGCAAAAACCATTGCCTTCCACTGTTTTTTCAAAATCAATATAAGATCTTGAAATATTTTTTCAATTATTTGGAACACAAACCCACCAAAATTCCTCATTAACTATTTGCTAAGCCATCAATGACAACCAGAACCCCTTAAACTGGGGCTACCCAGAATATCTTGCAAACATATCAACTGCCAGCAACCATCCACCTTTCAGGCCTATGTCTTCATTTTCCAAAAGCCCACAAACCATTTCTTAAACCAACATCATCTCTTTAAGCTTAGATTACAAGGTTAACCATGTCATAACTCCATGATGGATTGAGAAAGATAGGTGTTTTTTTGTGTTAAAAATACATTCAGCATCAAACTGGAGTTTATGGCTCCACTAATAGTAAGAAATGAAAAGAGAAAACTACATCTACCAACAAAAACATTACCAATTTCCTATCTCTGTAATGTATCTCATTTTTTTCTCTTCTTATTTTCCATACAGATTAAAAAAAAAAAAAAACCTTTTTTAGACGCTGAAGCTAGAAAACCAGGTTTTTTTTTTTAAATAACAGAGTAAACAGAGATGGAGAACTTTGAAAAACTGTTTAAAAATGTAATCCACGATAATAATGCTGGTTTTGCAAGGGAAAATTTATGAAAATTGTACTCTAGGCACATTCTCATTTTTCATTTTCTTTTTCTGAAAAAACATCACTGGAAAACACAGAAGTTTCCATAGTTGAAGACAGCTTAGTTTCCAAATGCAACTCATTCAGTTGGATATACTATAAATAGTTGATTATGTGATGATTTGAGGGGAAAAGAAATCCAGGAAATCTGTAAAAACTCTTGTTTACCTTCTTTTGTTCAGCTACTGCTTTGAAGCGCCAGAATATGTTCCCAAGCTGTTCATCATCAAGCTCGTAACCAAGCTGAGGAAAATAGGAAGAGCTAGGTGCTTAGATAAAGCATAGAGAGGTAATATCATCAAACTTACACATGCCTAAAAGCAGCATACCTCTTTCAATCGGTCTCTCAAAGCATGACGGCCACTTTACCAGAGAATTGCAAAAAAAAAAAGAATAACAGAGAAGTCATAATTTTTGTAACAACTTGATGAAACTTATAAGAATTTTATTTATGAATTCTTAAGAAACTTTCTAGAGTGCAAGAATATATATATAGCTAAAATATCAAATCTGCCAAATCCCATGATATCCTAGAGAAAATAACAAATCACCTAAAAATTCTCTAACAATAAATGAAAACTACCAAGTAGGAATTTGATCAATGAATCAAATCCCTTTTATTTAGAAAACAATCAAAATACTAAATGAATGACACCTAATCAAATCTAGTTAGGAATTAGTTTTCCACACTCCCCCTCAAGTTGGGTGGTAGATATCAATCATACGCAACTTGAACTTCAAATTCTCGAAATTGCCACAATGAAGAGCCTTGGTAAGGATGTCGTCTGTTTGATGTTCTATTGGAGTATAAACCAGTTTGACTGCACCTTCTTCAATCTTTTCTTTGATGAAATGGCGATCAATCTCTACATGTTTCATTCGACCACAATGAACAGGGCTTTTGGCAATTTTAATAGCTGCTTTATTATCACAAAACAGTTTCATTGAATTCCTAGCTAACTTTTTCAGTTCCTCTAGCATTCTCTCAAGCCAAATTCCTTCACAAATCCCATGAGAAATAGCCTTAAATTCAGCTTCAGTACTACTTCGAGCTACCATTGCTTGTTTCTTGCTTCTTCAAGTGACCAAATTGCCCCATAGATATGTACAATACCCTGTAGTTGACCTTCGGTTTGTCACAGAACCAGCCCAATTTGCATCTGAGAAAATCTCCACATCTCTATTTAGTGTTTTTTTGAAATGCAACCCTTTGCCTGGATTTTTTTTTCAAGTATTGAAGCATCCAATATACTGACACCATGTGTCTCTTTGTAGGATTGTTCATAAATATGCTCACCATGCTTACAGAGAAGCCAATATTAGGTCTAATGTGCACCAAATAAATTAATTTTCCCACAAGTCTCTGGTATCTATTTTGCTCTGCAAGAGGACTTCCATCTCTGGTTCCCATCTTGACATTTGGGTTCATCGGAGTATCCATTGGTTAACACCTAAGCACCCCTGTCTCTTTGAAAGGATCAAGTATATTTTCGTTGTGAAACAGAAATATCATTTCTTAATCGCGCTACTTCCATGCCAAGAAAATATCGAAGCTGTCCCAAGTCTTTTATTTCACTCTTTTTAGCTAGAAGAGTCTTCAATCCAATTATTTCCTCTTCATAATCTTTTGTGTGTACAATATCATCAGCATAAACAATTATAATAAAAATCTTGCTATTTAGTGAATGTTTTGACAAACATAGTGTGGTCGGATTGGCATTGTAAGAACCTATTCTTTTTAACAGCCTTAGTCAAACGATCAAACCAAGTGCGAGGAGATTGTTTAAGGACATACAAGGATTTATGAAGCTTACACACCTTGCCGATGTTGTCCTGGTTGTCAAATCCTGGAAGAATCTTCATGTAGACCTCTTCCACTAGATCACCATTCAAAAATGCATTTTTGATATCGAGTTGGTAAAGAGGCCAATCTAGGTTTGCAACAAGTGACAGTAACACACGAACAAAATTCAGTTTTGCTACCGAAGCAAACGTCTTCTCATAATCAATCTCGTAAGACTGAGTGAACCCCTTAGCCACAAAACGAGCTTTGAATCTGTTCACACTTCTGTCTGTATTGTGTTTGATAGTAAAAATCCACTTACATCCCACTGCGCTCTTTCCTCCAAAAGATCAGTAATTTTCCGTGTGTCATTCTTTTCTAGTGCTTACATTTCTTCCATTACCGCAGCCTTCCACTTTGGTTGTTCAAGCGCTTCTTGTATGGTATTTGGTATATGAACATCAGTTAATGATGTAACCAGTGCTCAGTAAGTAGGAAACAACCTTTCATAGGAAACAAAATTATAATAGGGTGCTAAGTACATGGTCTCACACCTTTTCTTATAGCAATAAGCTGATCAAGATCACTAGGAAAATCATCAGAGATAGGTTTAGTAATTATGTTACCTGTATGAATTTTAAAAGTTCCTGGATTTGGTTCAGAATTTAGTTCTATGTTGGAGATGTACAGGTCCCTATCTCCTTTTGAGATTTCAGTCTTCTTGAGTATACAATCATTTCCTTAACTTTTGTCTTTTGCATGATTTCAGGAAATTTTGGAAACTCAGGATGACTAGTTGACTCGGAAAAAGAAGAAGAATTATTTGAAATGGGAATTTGAATTGGCAAAGAAGTAGATGAAGGATCAGATGATGGCTCAATCTCCCAAAGTTGATATTCCTTAGAACTCTCATCCTGAATATTGACTTTGGGATAGAATGGTTTATTCTCAAAGAAGGTGACATCCATAGAAGTGTAAAACTTTATGGTAGTTGGTGAATAACATATGTAACCTTTTTGGTTAGGTAAGTAGCCAAAAAATATATACCGAGTGATCTGGGATCTAGTTTACTGTGTTGTGGATGTATATGAACAAAGGTAGTACATCCGAACACTTTGACTGGTATGGAGGAAATAATTTGGACATAAGAGTAGGTTTTGAGAACTGTTTGATAGGGGGTTTGGAATTTTAGTACTCAGGAAGGCATTCTATTGATAACAAAGGCTACTATCAGAATTGTTTCTCCCTAGAAATGTTTCAGGACATTAGAGGCTAGCATAATAGATCTTGCAACTTCCATTAGGTGTCTATTCTTTCACTCAACAACTCTGTTTTGTTGAGGAGTTTTGGTACATAAGCTCTGATGAATAATTTCTTGATCTAACAAGATCCAAGAATTGAGTGATAGTATTCTCACCCATCATTTGTTCTGAGCACTTGAATTTTTGCCTGAAATTGAGTTTGCACCATCTTGTCGAAATTTTGAAATATTGAACTAACCTCTAACTTGTCTTTCATGAGGAACAGCCATGTAACTCTGATGTGATCATCAATAAAGTAACAAACCATCTAGAGCCTGTAATATTATTAACCCTTGATGGTCCCCTAAATATCACTATGGATCATAGAAAAAGGATGAGTTGATTTGTATGGTTGACTCGGACATGAATTGCGAGTATGTTTGAAAAATTGACAAATTTCACATTGGTAAGACTTGGAACCTTTGTTGAATAAATCGAGGAACAATTTTTTGAGGTACAAGAAATTTGAATGTCCTAAATGATAGTGCCATAACATGATTGTATTTTCTTTACTCTTACTAGAAAATGAAATTGAACAAGCACTCTTCCATGATTGTCTCTTAGATTCTTCATCTCTAAAAAGATAGAGTCCAACAAACATCCTAGCATCGCCAATCTTTTTCGTTGAATCCAAGCCCTGAAACTCACACATGTTAGAAGGAAATTTAGTGACACAATTAAGATCTCATAATTTTACTAATAGGTAGAAGGTTGCAATCTAAATTAGAGATATGAAGAACAGAGTCAAGTGTTATGTTCTTTAAAATAATGACTGAACCTGTCCCGACTACCTGAGAGAGTGACCCATCTGCTATTCGAAATGCGAGGTTTTCAGAATATGGGCTATATTCATGGCACATCGATGCATCACCAGTGATGTGGTTTGATGTGCCTAAATCAACAATCTAAGATCTTGATTTTCCACTTTGCACAATTAGAGCATTGAGAGAGTTACCTTTTTGTACAACAGACGATGTGCTTACAACTGATCCAGTGTTCTGAAGAGATTGTTAAACAATTTTCTGAAGAAGTTCCAACGGCTCTTTACTAAACGGGCTTGATTCCGAGGGTGTTGGAGTTCTCTCGATGGTGGCAAAATTTCCATGACTCTTTCAATTTCGAGTAGAACATGGTTTGTAGTCAGCAAGTTTCCCATAGATTTGCTAACAATTTTCCTATGTATGTCCTGCCATCTAATAGTGGTCACACCAAGGTCTGTTATCTTTCTTCTATCGATTTTCACCACCTTGGTAGGATTTTGGTCCTCGTGCAGCAATGGCTGAATTTTCTATCTCTTGTGGATTGCATGATATCCCTAGCATCACTTTCCTGCTACTCTCTTCTCAGCAGACCTCAAAGAAAACTTCTCGAATGCTAGGTAATGGCTTGATGCTAAGAATTCTCCCACAAACATTATCAAGGCTCTTGTTTAGACCAAGTAGAAACTTATAAACTCGATCCTTCTCCATTATTTTCCTGTATTATTGGCTATAGTCAAGGCACTTCCATGCTATTTCTTCAAAGATATCTAATTGCTACCAATAACGAGTTAAGGAATTAAAATATTCCGTGATAGAGAAGTCTCCTTGCCACAAATCATGTAGAGTGTTTTTCATCTCAAATATTGCAAACGTATTGTCTACGTCGGAGTAGGTTTCTTTCGTAGCATCCTAAATCTCCTTGGCAATTTTGTAGTACATGAAATTCTCACTCATCTCGTTGGTCATAGAATTGATCAACCACGACATTACCATGCTATTCTCCAACTTCCAAGTTTGGTATTGCGGGTCATCCTCACTAGGTGAAACAACCATTCCCGTGAGATAATCCTCCTTACATTTTCCACAAACAAACAGCATCACTGATTGAGACCATTGGATGAAGTTTTGTCCATTAAGTTTGTGATCAGTGATAAGCAACATGGGGGGCTTAGACACACCTGTGCCGTTGGCCATAGTGTAGATAGAAAGATAGAAAGAAAAAAAAAAATATATATATATATATATATATATATAGGTTTTGATGATTCAGGATGAACACTCTGATACCATGTTAAATATTCAACTCAAAACCAATTGCCAATAAGTGGAGGAGTCCAACTTGAATATAAGATTACAAGAAATTGAATATTTATTAGATGTAGAATAACACCACACTAACAGGCCCCCATCACGTATAGGCAAAAATGGAAGAAGCCTACTACATGAAAGATTTGAAAAAGGTAACAGAAAGAAATCCTGACTTTGATACCATAAAGAAATTCATGAGAATTTTATTTATGAATTCTAAAAAAACTTTCTAGAGTACAAGAGTATATATATATATATATAGCTAAAATATCAAATTTGGCAAATCCCATGATATACTAGAGATAATAACAAATCACCTAAAAATCCTCTAATGATAAATGGAAACTACCAAGTAAGAATTTGATCAATGAACCAAATCCCTTTTATTAGGAAATAACCAAAATGCTAAATAAATGACAACTAATCAAATCTGGTTAGGAATCAATTTTCCACACAGCTGAATTTGTAAAAATAAAAAAAATGAATAGTAAGATACTAACAACATGATTATGATAAGTATCATAACAGAACTGCATACATTTAAGTAGTAATAAAATACCAGAAGATGGCATCAATCTCACAAAAGAAGATGACAATTTTTTTGGTAGTGGTGATGGTGGGGAGGGAGAGCATTTCACCTACAATTACCCAATCACAATCAAGAATCATGTAAGGGACTAAGGGTCCACCACTTATAAGTGTGGACTCCACATAATATTTTGGTGGACCCTACATGTTTCTAAATTTTGATTGGTTAATTGTAGTACAATTGTTGTAGGTGATATGCTCCGGTGGGAGAGGGTGGGAGAGAGAAGGGAATTCCCTGATCGAGAAATCTAGGCTTCCTCTTTCAATTCACCTCTTCCAAACCCACACAGGCTAGAATGCAAGACTCTTTCAGTAAATTTAAAATGTGTGAGCATACATGTAAAAAATCTTGATCTGACTCTTCATCTGTCCAAAAAGTACCCATGTTGAACACATTTGGCACCTCAAAATGGAAAGACATATGGAGATATGACCCTTCCGTTATAGGGAAAAACTTGGGAATAACTGAGTAGTACTAATACTCATGTCCAACATTCATATCCAACTCCAACCAAAATAGCACCATGGAAGTTCATTCATGAAATAGGAGAAAGTTTAAAAGTTGCTGCATCAGATATCAAGAAGGAAAAAAAAAAAAAAGAGAGGCAGAGAAGTCTATGTTTATACACAAAGAAACTTGCCAGAAATCTAACAAATGTAGTGAACCATTATGCTTCACAAATATTTCTGATAACTAGCCAAGCTATTCTAGAATATTAGGAAAAGTTCAATATATTTATCAAGTATATTAATAATAGTACCCTTTTTTACTCGGCCAAGAAATTTTTTGGTGCCTACCAACTCAAGGGATATTAACAATTTGTTTACCCTTCGACTACCTTGATATCAGTGGATGAACACCTTTCATATGAACAAGAAAAGGCCAACGAAAAAATCTATTAAAAGATCACCCCATACCATTGGACCAATTCCACTATCCTCAAAGTTCACAGTCAAAAGTTCAAAAAATACTCACAAGATTGGATATAAGATATATTAACAATTTGTTTACCCTTCGACTACCTTGATATCAGTGGATGAACACCTTTCATATGAACGAGAAAAGGCCAACGAAAAAATCTATTAAAAGATCACCCCATACCATTGCACCAATTCCAGTATCCTCAAAGTTCACAGTCAAAAGTTCAAAAAATACTCACAAGATTGGATATAAGATATATTCACAAACATAAATACAGTATTCTTTGTGATGGTGACAAAATATATTGCTTCTTATGTTAAATCCTCAACTATTTCTGTCAGATTAATTGTGACATTGCATCCAAAATTCAAAAGAAATGAAAAACCAATTATAGCTCTTGCTGCACTTAACATATTTCACTATATACATCCCTCTAACTCCATCCGAAACATATTAAAAGAAAAAGATTTACCAGAAATATGAAGAAAAAGATTTTGAAAAATGAAATACCTACCTAAGTTTTCCAAGGACAATACCAGCTTCATTGGACCGTTCAAGCCCGATATCTTCAGGAGATATAATTTCATAAGTACCTTTGTGCTTTAGCATTCCATCCTACAGAACAGAAAGCATTTGGGAATATATATCTTATTGTTTTTATTATTTTTTGTAAGCACAGATATATATATATATATACACTAATCAAAACAACGAAAAAAGTTCACTTTGTTGCCTTCTTTAGATCTTTCTGAGGATAGCATCCTTAGCCAAACAGAATGACAAAAACAGATTCTTTTAACTAGGCACAACTATTTTGGGATTAAGGGTTGAGAGAGTTTGGTTGAGTTGGCTCTGAACTATACCATCACTAATTGTCAGCAATTTCACTCAGCAACCTGATTTGTACAAGAAATCGCCAGCGTAGCTAAACATATTAACAATTATTATTAATTAATATTGTCAATATTCACTTAAGACGAGAAAGAAAGAAAACACAGAACAAAAGAACAGAAGAACACCCAATGAAAGAACACCACAAGTAATAGATTACGCATTCAAGTAAACTCCAAAAGGATATAAGGAAGTTGTATTTCTTAAAATATAAAAAGTTAGAAAGGAGAAATTGTTACATCATAGATATTAGCCATAAAAAAAACTTACTTTAAAAATAGACAGAAAATAGTTTGGAGGTTCACAACATATATGCAGTTAAACACTAGAAAACCAACCTGGTGGATACCACTTTCATGAGCAAAAGCATTGGCTCCAACAATAGCCTTATGTGGCTGCACATGTAACCCTGTGTAGTCTTCCACCTAAACAACCATTTTAAGTCAATAATAACTCCCAGAGTTAAATCAATCAAGAGTAAGAAACATTGAATTGTAACTGAAGTTCACAAAAGAATACCATTTTGCTTGCCATCACAATGTGTCGGGTATTGATTCCTGTATAAAGACCTCCTAACACATGCTCACCACGACATTTCAAGGCCATCACAACCTACACATATGAAAGTAAAAGCTCAATTAAAATCAAAACAGTAAAACAAAATATAGGCAGTAGGATAGGACAAGAACCGTCCATCAAGGGACAATTTCAACAATTACAACCAAAATAATGTTTCTTAAGACAACTAGAAGCTAGAATAGAGCAATTGACGGCTGAAAGCCTTTTATTTACAGAATTTAAATGTTTAACATAGGTAGACTACAAAACTAAAATGGGAAAATTTATCAGATGGATGCATAAACACCTTCATTGTCAAGAACCCACGCTCCACCTTCTCTCTCTCAACAAAAAAAAAAGAAAAGACATGATGAATTCATTTAATGTAATTTACAATTATTTTCATAGAATTGTGCATTCTTTTATGATGTGACAAGCGTGGTATCAACTCTTAAGAGTTTCACTGAAACTGGTTGTGTTCTTTGCCAATTTATCTAACAACGGACACAACCTCTGTCATGAGTTACTTGATAATGTGAGCCTTAAAATGCCCTTTCTCCCTCCTTTATCTTTGGCATAAAAAATGAAATTAAAAAAAAAAAAAGCCATGAAAGGGAGACCAACAAACATAGTACATTAGAGGCAGACAAAACAGTAACTATCTCAAATATTGAAGCACATGAAAATTCCAGAAACCTCATTAACTGAATTTCAAGGTAATTTGTAGCCATCTAACGCAGATTTAGTTGACAACGAGAGGGGTCTTAGCCTCTTAGGTAGTATGGACTCATGCATCATGGATTATTTGACTAAAACGTCCAAGAACACCAGATGCTGCTACAGAAAACCAGGTTTTTCAATCTACTTCTGCATAACTCAAATTCCAAATACACAATCACTCTAATATAGCAAAAGTAAAAGCTCACCTCCTCCAATGAAGCATTTCCAGCTCTTTCCCCAATGCCATTGATTGTTACTTCCACTTGCCTTGCACCTGCACAAGCTCCCTGAATTCATAACAGCTAACATGAAAATGCAATCCAAGCATATCAAACTTTGCATCAACTAATGAAGTAAAGCAGTGACCTACCGCTAAAGTGTTGGCAGTAGAAAGCCCAAGATCATTTTGGCAGTGTGTTGAAATTATAGCATTTTCAATTCCAGGGGTATTGGCTTTTATATCAGCAATTAATTGCCCAAACTCGCTGGGCATCGTTATGCCAACGGTATCAGGTATGTTAAGAGTTGTAGCTCCAGCCTTGATCACTTCACCCAAAATCTCATATAAAAAGTCTCTGTCAGATCTGGTAGGATCCAAAGAAACAAGACTATATCGTCAACAAGAGAAGCAATGACATATACCCTTTTACATTTACTTATCTTATTTCAAAAGCAGCCTATGGCAGATCCATACACTGCTGCTACTGCAAAACAGCCATCAATTAAAGTCCTGGGAACAAATTACTCCACCTCATACAAATACAAGCATGCACTTGTTGCAGCAATATTTTGATGAAACACATATCTCTCACCAAAATGGTTTGCCTTCAATTATATGCAATCAAGAAACAAGTATTAAACCATAGTTTATCCATATTTAAACTTCAATTCCTCTTTCTGGTTTTAACCTTTTATCCTCTTACTTCCCCTATTCTAAACCAAATAAAACTATTCTCATAATTGCAACCCTTTCTGTTATCTCTTTTCTTTGACACAAGTAGTAATTAAAAATAATCTTATCCTTTCTATAAAAAAATACATATAATCTTATCCCGGAGCAATCCATTTTCCGGTACCCGAACTTAACTCAATTGGTTTATGCAACCACCCTTAAAACTTGACATCCAAGGATTCAAATCCCGGCACCTATGTCCTCTTTCATATTCTTTATCTTCTATGTACCAAGAACAAAAACAACCCATTTTACAAGCATAACATAATGGGAGATAAGGGAGAACAAAATTAGAACCTGCCAGCGTCTTCGGGGCTAAACTCGACATCCTTGCAACCCAAATTCCTAGCAAACCGAACCATAGTCCTAGCAATATCCAAAACCTCCTCTTTGCTCTTCCTCAACTTATACTCCAAATGAATCCCGCTCGTAGCGATAAAGGTATGAATCCTAGGCCTTTTCGCATACTTAACCGCCTCCCAAGCCGTTTCAATGTCCTTCTCATTACACCTAGAAAGTCCACAAATAACAGGTACATACCCTTTCTCATCCACTGCATTCCCAACCTCCTTAGCAATAGCTTTAACAGCTTCAAAATCGTCTTTTGAGGCAGCTGGAAACCCAGCTTCAATTATATCAACACCAAGCTTCGCTAGTTGACGAGCAATGTCAAGTTTTTCCTTGGAAGTCAGGGTGGCGCCGGGGGATTGCTCGCCATCACGGAGGGTGGTGTCGAAGATGCGGACGTAGTTGGGATCGGGAATATGGTTGGGAACATACGCAGGGCGGCGCAGAGGAGAGGGAAGGTTGGGGTTTAAAGAGGAAAAAATGAGAAAGGATTTGGCGAACGATTGAGAGGGATATGAAGAGAAAGTAGGTTTGGAAGAAGGGAAGAGAAGGGAAGTAGGGGGAAGGAAAATAGATGACTTGAAGGAGGAGGAAGAAGAGAAAGGAGCTAACATGGAGGAAGTTAAGATAGAGGAAGCCATGGAAGAGGAAGGAAAAGAAAAGTGTAAAACCCCTGGAGAGAAACGGACGAGAAAGTGTTAAGTGAAAGAGTTTGAAGACTCTGAGGTTTATATGTTTGGTTTGGTTTTGTTTGTTTGTGTTTGGGCAGGGAGGAAAACGGAGGGAAGGGGAAGCAGTTAGTTAGCCACACAGCTGTTGTTTCAGTGTGTCCTGATAAGGTTAAGGTGGAAGCTCTCAAAAAGGATCAAAATTTGAAGTGTAGGACCCACTAACAGAACATGCAAAACCAAAGCCAATTCGACCACGTCAATTCATTGTCTTTACTTCTATATTTCTATGGAATTGACTCAACCAGCCTTTATGTGCCTGAATTTTAAAAGAAAATGCCAAATTTAGTAAAAAAACAATTATTCCATCCATTATTAGTGAAACATTTAGATTTCACCGCTGATTTTAATAGGGCGAAGTGTACGGCTTAAAATGTGTCTGTTTGAGTGAAAAGTACCTAATTATTAATTATAATTATAATTAAAAAAATTTAATAATAAATTTATATTAAATAAATTTTATTAAATTTAATATTTAAATTTAAATAATAATATAATAAATTTAATCGCATCACATCAAAAATACGATTGAATCTAAACGAATACTAAATAAAATATCAAATTTAATAAAAAATTTTATTTGTCGATTATTAGTGAAATTTTTATATTTCATTGAAGATGTTACTAGTGTGAAGTGTAACTCTTAAAAATGGATTTGATAGAGTGATAAAGTAGCTAATTATTGAACAAAATACCAATTTTTAAAAAAAAAATTTTTATTCCATCCATTATTAGCAGAACTTTTAGATTTCACTGGAGATGTTAAAAGAGTGGAGTGAAAATGCGTTTGGTAGAGTCAAAATGTAGAATGATAAATAGAGAAAATAAAAAATAAAAAAATGAAGCGTGATAAAAAAAAAAAAAAGAAAATTGAGATAAAAGAAAATAAAAATGATAAGATTTTTTTATGAAGTCACAATATGAGATAAGAGGAAGAATTATAAATGATGAAATTCAAACTTAAACTTATTAAATACTATTTTTGAAAAGTAATTTTAAAAATTAATTAAATTAAGTTTTAGATTCAATTATGAATATTTTTTATACTTATTCACAATTACATATAATTCTGGATTAAAAAAAAAAGAGAAAGAAAATGAGAAAAACATAAGTATATTGCATATTTATAATATTGTTTATTATTTTAATTTTTCTTTTTCATTTTAATTTGAAAATATTATAATATAAAATCACATAATTTTCAGTTTTTATTTTTTGACTGTATCAAATAATTGATGAAAAAAATTTTCATTTTCTTTAACGTTTTCTATTTTCTAATCTAAACACATGAATGAAAAATATATATTTTTTTCATTTTTTTACTTTCTTCTTTCAATTTTTCTATTATTCTTCCAAACAAAACCTGAAAGTATGTTAAAAATAATAAATATATATATCAATCTTTTAACTCTTTTATAAAATTAAAAAATTCAACTGACATAATAAAAATTAACCCAATTTATTTACTTCGGATTTTGAAAATATGGCCATTGAATTGTACCAAAGTAGGAGAAAATCAAACTTAACGAGTACAATTGTAAAAACTTCTCTTTTGATAAAGCCAAGGTGGTTACTAGGCTGAAAAGGAAAATAAAAACATTTTTTCTTTTATTTCTTTCTCTCTTCTACAAAACGTTCAAGTACAACATAAGCAAGCTGATAGATGTGTCACGACGACCCCGCAGGAATCCTTTTTCTTAAACTCCTAGTGATTTAGTGGAGTGTGCAGCGCAAATGCTAAGCATATTATTTAAGAAAGACCGACTTAAGCATCCAGAGACGGAAGTTCTAATTCTAATCTAAGACCACACATACAAAATATTTGTCATACAATGCATGAAATGGTTATATCCATGGGTAGAGTCGTCCCAAAAGAATGATCTAAAGAATTTTAAGCCAAAAACAATGAATAAATAGCAAATACAGGCGCCTCTGTTCAAGTTAAAATCGCAATACCTAAACAAGGACACTTCTCTTGTCGGATAGGGTCCGTTCAACAGCTCTGGTGCCATTAGATTGGCTGTTCTTACTGCTGCTCCCTCCGGCTATTCTAGGAACATATCGCTGCATGATCCGGATGGGAATTCCCCCCAAGTCAAAATCTTCCTTCAAAGATTTTGTTAGAAACCTTATGTATGTATCGGAGAGCTGGGTCTTCCCACTCATGAAGGCGACAAAAGTGGGAGGCCTGGCTTTCACCTGAGTGAAGTACTTGATCTTGGTTTGAGCACCCTGGTCTTTCCAAGAATGCCTGCTCATAACCTGACCAACAAGAGACACAGATTGAAACAGACGAACAGAAAACATTCAATTACTAATTACATTATAGACTTTGACAATTCAAAACATGATATAAAAATAATACAAAAAGAATACGTTAAAATTTTAGTAAAAATCATATCTGAGTTTAACAAAGAATTGTGTTTTCAATTGTAACATACAAATTTTGTGTAAAATACGAAATGAACACATGAATTGCCAATGTTTTACACAACAAGAACACGAATTGTCAGATCTACTTTCAGAGCTTTAAGATAAGAAAAACAAAGATATTGGCCACAGACCTTTCGCAACCATCGGTTAAGACGTGCAGTGGACAACCTTAAACACCACTTCTCGTATGTATCAATGACTTGAGACATAACAGCTGCACGCCCTCTTCCCTCTATTGCAGAGATGAATACAACTGGTATCCCAGTTACCTGTCACATGGCCATGATAACATAAAATTATCTAATGGTACTCATCGCCATTTTGAATTCGTAATAAAATCAATGAAAGGTGTGTTATTGCATCTATAGAAGATCATCATACAATGTTTCTACTCTAACTAGCTCTCTATGGCCTCACTTAACCCTCTTATTTTTCTAACAGGTGACAAAAATTTACACTGAAACAGTCAAATGTACATTTTCCTATGCACTCAATATCCGGCCACAAATGCTTCTATAATGAACTCCCAAAAAATGTAGCTTGCTAGATTAGTCTATTGCCATAACAACTCTTTGATGCTTCTTATGCCAAGTGTTATAGCAGTTAACACAATTCCCAGTCATTGTTACCATGCCAAACAATCATTTAGCTTTTTTAACCCATTAAAATCACAGTTACAGCATCACAGAAAACACAGTTTTTTACTCCAAGCAGTAGATAATAAAAAGATTCTTTAAATATTATTGAAATTAAAAATAAAGATTAAACTGACAAACCTGGGGTATAACCATCTGAATTTCTTGAGGAACAGCTTCCTTGACTTTTTTATATAACGTGGAATTTCTTTTCCCCTTTAGAAGATCCATCTTGTTCACAATTATGACCAGACCACGACCTTCTTCCACTGCTTGTCTTGCTATAACTACTTCTGCATGTGTCATGCTTCGCTTAGCTTTTGCAATCTGATCATCATCCCATGGACATGGCAACCATAAGTATCAGATGTTTAGACAAGCTCTCCCTACTGTTATAATATTTAATGTGCATGGGTTCCATACCATCAAAATTTTAGGCTACTATTTGTTGTACCTTTAGAATGAACATGAACTACTGTGGGATGGGAACAAAAAAGAGAGCAAAGAATAAAAAAAAACAATTCTCAAATTCTAAGAAATTTGTAGCACTCAGTTCTCAATATCTGACAATATCCCAATTTGACTATAAATAACAATGATATTTATAGAACACTCGCTAAAAACTTTGTAAATAAGCAAGATTATTAAACCTAACTTAAATATCCTAAAAGAGATATACAAAATTACAACTGAACCCATGATATATACAACTAAAAAAATGGATCCATAATATATGCTTCTTACATCTGCAACATTACTCCACTGCATCATCAAACCATTACATGGTTGATAGATTGACCAAAGCAAGAGGTCCCAAAAGGCTAACTGCTATTTTCCTTTTTAAGCAGTCAGTCACCAACACAGAAAACCTAATGCTTCCAAAAAATTATCTCCATCATATCAGAAAGGATTGACCTCCAAAGACAAATCAATTTATAGATATGACACTGTATAATGTATGACAAACCTCTTCAGCATCAATAACCAAAGCAACTACGTGAGCTCTCATCAGATTTTTCCTTGATTGCATAATGCTCAATGAAGCAGGTCCTTTCTGCCGATCAACTCTTTGCAGCCAACCAGCAGTATCAACCTGAGTTACAAACCACAGCAAAAATCAAAACAACAAATGCTTCAACTAAAGATTGGTTCATCCAAAGACTTAGATCGAACAACTAAAAATAGAATTAAAGCAGATGGTATCAGACTAAACCTAAATCAAATTGGGTACATTAGCTCTTCACTAGAAATCCAGCCTATTAAGATTAACCTTCCTTATGGCAATGATTAAGTCTATTCCCCACAAAGGGAAAGGAGTTGGTTCACATTGCATGGCATGAGCTAGGAAATAAAAGTAAGGAAATGGCCAGGACCAAGAGAGAAAGCTCTGTAAATTTTGGACTTAGAATTTTCCATTATGATAATTGAAGGGAAACTGACCTTATGATAATTTCCATGAGGTTAGTACTCAGGAGAGCCTCGATAATTTAAGAAAAGACAGAAACAGAATCAAACATCAATTTATTTTTTACTTTTTATGAGCAAATGAAAAAAAAAAAAAACTTTTGGGTTCGACAAGTTTCAAAATTTTCCGAAAATATCGAGAGAATGGGCAGCTAATGTTTAACACCTTTTGACTTACATCAGAGCCCAACAGTCATCTGATAAAAGAAAGATTTAAAACAAGCAAAGTATTTATACCAGATATACAGTTCTTCCTTGATATTGAAACTGTGCTCTCACCGAATCTCTAGTCAAACCAGCTTCAGGACCAACCAAAACACGATCTTCTTGCAACAATGTATTTAGTAATGTAGACTTCCCCACATTGGGTCGTCCAACAATAGCTAATTGTAGTGGCAGCTTAGACTCATCAACCTTACAAGAGTCACTATTCTGGTTGAAGTTTTCATCTTGGCTACAGTTGCCTATGACAAGTAAAAAGCAAACACAGTGAGAAAGTAGAGAACAGAAAGAGGAGAGAATGATGGCATAAATATTCAGATTATGAAATTTGCATAGATTGTAAAAGAGCTTGGATTAATAGCCTACCCATCGGGTCTCCACGTATACCCAATATGCATGTAAGTTCGTGAACTCTTATTCTATATGCTACTCGGAAAGTTTTTAAACTCCACAATTAGGGTTAGATATTGTCACATATCCTTTTATTTTACCATATTAATTTATAAATTATTTTAAATATAAAGTATGTTGCAACATTCTAGCCCCATTGGAGGAGTTATTAAACTTCACTGGTGGTGTATGACTATTCTTAAGATGTCAATCTTAAAACTAACTAAAGCCTTATCAACAAGAACTTCTCCACAGGATGATAATAATACCAATATGTAATGATGACAAGTAACAACATAAATGGATGACATTCTCCAAAAAAAAAAGGGCTTCTACACCCTTTTAAACTACAAATCTAAAATTTCAAAACTTGAAGATTGAAAGCATCTAACACAAATTAAAAAAAAAAAAAAGAAAAAAAAAACAGAACAAGACTTTTATTAAACTATATTAGCAGCCCAACCTAGTTAGGAATTAGAATCATGCAAGTGTATCTATCTATCTATATATATAGCAAAAGAGAAAATTAAAATACATAGAAAGGAAAGACTTCTTTCTAAAACATTTACATATCCCCTTTTTAACCAATTTGTATCCAGTGCCACTCTATATGATTAAAAAAAATTAGAAGCCATATAAGATGCAACCTCTTTGCACAACATATGACATAATTACCATCCCCATTCCCCCTTCCCCCCTCCCTCAAATGAAGCACGGGAAAAGACAAAAAAGAGAGGCAGGATGGGGAATAGATACGAATGCATTGTTACAGAAATAGTGTCAATGTACCTTACTTTAGTTGCATGTATAATATTTGAATGTCTGTCACACTTTACATTTTAATCAAATGTGCTTGTTAACTAAGGCCATATTGATAACACAACCATAAAGACCTTCTAAGATTTTGTTTGAAAGCCATATAATGCTCATTTTCATTAAAAATTGATGAAACATTAACTTAAATGACACCTTCTCTTTAGGTTTTCATTGGCATCAACACAAAAAACATAAAATTACAAAAAAGTTTTACTATTTCTTATATATAGACACACATACATACATAGCATTTCTGGAGCTCAGCAGGGTCAAATGACCCCCATCAACTCTATATAGCTACTCCCACCATAAGTGCCCTCAAAAGAGGAATACAAAATACCAAGGCTATGATCCACTTATTCCTAGAAATCCACCATAGTTAAGATAAGAAAGTGAACACCCTGCAGCCTTAAGCTCCATTTATATCCACTCAATAGTATGTTTGGTGTGAAATCTAAGATAGGGGAACAATTGATAAACCATTGAAATGAAAATTTTTAATGGTTTAATGTTTTCAATGTGTATGATAACTTATTTTAAAACCCACATAAATGGAAGATTTTCAATCAAAAAGCACTGGAAATCTTAACTACTTAAAAGCTACTTAGTAACTTCAATCATTTTTAGTTGAACGAAATTTTTTTCATTTAATTACATTAACATTATATTCTTTCCTTTTTAACTATTTATTTTTAGTTTTTAACCTTTATTAATGTAAAATACTAAATAAAAAATTCATCAAACATAAATTTAGCATTTATTTTTAGTACAATAGCAATAAATTTTTATAGAAACAATTCAATACTTATTTTTTAAGTGTTGAATTTTTTCAGTTTATTAAATTGCACCTAGGTTTGACAAAGCCAAAATACTACTCACAACACAACAGCTACCTTGATCATGAAGGACAAAGAGTTTAACAATAACAGATGTGCTTACCATCTAAAACTTTGACTATATAATCCTCAAGCCTTGGCCGTAGAGCTTCATAAAGTGCTGTCATACCAAGCCCAGTCTCAGCAGATATAGCAATTGGTTCCCCAAATCCTAATATCTGGGCCTCTATAGCAGCTTCAGCAAAAGTGTTTGTATTGGAATGAAGTGATTCAGATTTATTCATGGCTACTATAGGATTGATTCCCGGAGCCTGCTTGCGCAACCACTTTCCAACCTCCTGATCCAATGGATGCAGCCCAGTTCTAGACTCATGAAAGTACAAAGGAATAAATTGGTATTTGCAAATAGGGGGAAAAAAACCCTCAAAACAATGTCCTGAAAACTTTTGCACCTAAATAATACAAAGAAGATAAAAGTAAACAGCAGCAGAGCCAAGATTGTTATTAAGAGATGTCAAAGAAATTGACGTGATGTAATAAGTCTTCTCCAAATTATTAAATATATATTAGAAAAATGTCTTAAATTTTAAAATTAATCAGGTTGTTTTACAATGTTATACCATATAAAATATGGTTATAATAAGGGAAGAAATATGTATCAGCAACTTGGAAGCATTCATTTGACTTAGATCTCTATTTCATAAACCAGAAGTTTATCCAGCATAAAGTTCTCTCTGGGTTTTTAAAATAAAATAAAATAAAAATTCTCCCTTGGTTTGTAAACAAAAAAAAAAAAAGGATTTTGTTTTACTTTTATCTCTTTCCAATTAAAAAGCTTTGAAATGAGTATTATTTGCTTAACCACTACATAAGAGCTGTTCAAGAAAAAAATTGGACTAAAGTTTGTGTGAATGACCGGATGTGTGTGAGAGTGTGAGAGAGAATAAAATCATTACAAACTTGGCAGCATGAGAAATTACAAAATTTTACACAAAAACAATGATATATCACATTGCTTCCTATTAAGTAATAAATCAAGCGGGAGATGCCATCAACTGTGGAATAGAGAAAACACAGAACAAATTTTGCCTAGCCAAATCATATATGCAATGCAGCACAAGCCAAGAGGAGCCGGACAAATGTTACTCTTCAAACTACTGACAGTAAACAATAAAATTGGCAAGACAAACTATGATGCAGCCATTTTGATTAAAAATCTCCATAGATAGATTATATGCTCAAATCCAACCAAATTTACCTTTTATTCACCCAATGCCATATGCGATTTATGTGACTCTCGTGCGTGTTAAAGCACAATAATTTCACTGCTTTAGAGCTTTCAAATTCATTCCAGACTTTTTCTCACATTGCACCCAAAATTATGTATGCTTTGTGTTTTTTGCTAGTGCCATGAAGATACATCAATTTAGAGAATTTTTTTTTTAACCCTTGACTGTATAAACCGTAGCATTAATTATTTTCCAGATCCCTATTAATCATGTATGTTGCAGGACAATAAGGACTCAACCATATTCTTGGGATACATCATAAGTAAATATCTAATTCATGTACAAGAAGGTGATCCAGAACGAAAACCGACCTGACATCAATTAGAAAAATTGCAAATTGAGTTCTAGCAAGCACATTTGCAGTCATGACAGCCGTTCTACTAAGAATAGATTCCGATGATGCTTCAGTTTCCAAGCCAGCAGAATCCAATACTCTAAACCGCAGATCCCCCAATTTAGCAATCCCTTCCCTTATGTCTCTAGTGACATGATCATCAGGTGTGTTGTACACAAGAGCCTCTCTCCTCCTTATCAATCTAAACAAAATTTGACCAGCAATAAATAAAAGTACAAGTAGAAAACATAAAAGAAATGCCTATGATGCATTCAAAAAGGACAGGAGATTGAGATGGAAGGTTACTAACCGGTTAAACAAGGCAGATTTCCCTACATTGGGGCGACCAACAATCATGACAGTGGGAAGCAGATTGATGTCAATTTTGGTGAAATCAACAGGTTTTTGGTAGACAATGTTAGCCTTTTCTGGAGCCTTGGAATGAAGTCGAGATAAATCATCCTCAGAGACAGAAAGCGTGCCAAATCTCACAGTAGCTTGAATCGAACTCCTAAAGCTGTTGAGCAGATGAGCAATTCCACCACTCCTGAAAACAGATGACCCTGAGAAACGCCAGTCAAAAGCTTACTGACCCAAGAATTCATTCAACAGAATAATATAATCTATCTAAACAAAAACAAAACTTACAGACCGAAAAATGAAACGATGGGATAAGCAGAACGGGTGGAAGTGGATATGCTGGTCCTATGCAGCAGCAGGCTGAAAATAACAAGGCGTCCCTTTTGGGCAGAAAGGGATTGCAACATGGCACTCAATCAAAGAAACCCTATCAAAAACCCTACCCACAGACCCTATCAGCAATTTCACTAGAAAGGAGGCAACGCTAAAACACATAGCAAAAGCACAAATAAAAAAAACAGAGGCTAATGAGGATCAAAAGCTGTTGTCAGAAACTGTGTTCAGAACAGAGATTGAGAGAAGACATTAAAAATCATCATCAAATCAAGCAAGACAGCAGTTTAACCGTGTCTGTCACAAACCTAAAGGAGACGATTGAATAGTGGATATAACTGATACTTTCACTTTGAGACAAAGGGCGTTCAGATTAATTACGGTGAAATTAAATATAATAATAAAAATTATTGTAATTATAATTGAAAAATTTTATTATAATCATGATTAAAATATTTTTAATAAATAATTTATATTAAATAAATTTTATTAAAATTAATATTTAAATTTAATTAATGACATAATGAATTCAATCATGTTACGTGTAATATTTTAAGTACAATATTGTAAATTTATTCAGCCAAACAAAATAAAAACAATTTTATAGAGGTTTTTCGTTTTTTTCTAAGAATAAAAATTTGAAGTAATCAATTAATTAAAAAAATGTAGTGTTTTATTTTCCAATATGGTTCATTTGCTGCTTATTTCAAATTTTCACGTCTATTAAATAATTATAGTAATTTTTAAATTTCTTAATTATGATATTAAATTTTTTAAATTTCATGATTAAAATTAAATGGTTATTATGTTCATTTAATAATTAATTAATTTTTATAAATTTATTTTGATAAAAAATATATAAAAAGCTCTAATTCCATTTAAGAAAGTTTAATTGGCGAAAATAAAATTCTTACATTTTATTTTTGGTAATCTGATTTGTAGATTACTTGGATTAACCAAATCCATAATCAAACTTGGTTTTCTAACGGGGCACTGCGTCTCCCCTGCGTCCTTGTAAGTATACTGAAATTATTACTATTGCTGGTGAGAAAATAAATGATGGAAAAAATGAATGATTAGATTTATTGTTCCATCTCGTAGCCAATCTTACTACAAATACTCAACAGGTAAAAATATATATTATATGGAAGAATGAGGAAAAAACAAAACAAATCAAAAAGGCCAATTGAGAAAGGTTGTCCCTCGTTGCTACACAAATTCACAACAGCTCAAACCAGCCAACGAACCAAAAGACTCTTGTGGCCCAAACAGTGAATCATATCAGGCCAGTGCCCAAAAGAATTTGTGACCACAAAATTACAGCTTTGACTCAGGAATTCAACAGCAATGCCTGGGTTTGCTATTCCAATCTCTATTACTCTGTATCAAAAGCATGTATCCTGTCTGGGGAGGCAACTCATTCTCATCGATGACCGCCACCATATGGCTGTTGAGAATAGCCACCCGATCCCATCATAGGGTTATAACTGCCAGGCATTCCAGTTTGCGGTTGCATCTGGGCTCCTTGCCCCATTCCCATATTCATCGCCATGCCCGGATTCATGCTCATGTTATTCATCCCCATCCCCATTCCCATGCCTATAGGTTGTTGATTCATACCACCATAGCCTCCCATGCCCATGCCCCCCACAGGACCAACACCCATTCCCATTCCCATGCCCATGCCCATGCCAGAACCCATCATAGGATTTGCTGGAGGTCTAAGAACACTAGCACCAGCACGACCAATCCCAGACCCAGATCCCATAGCTTTACCCATGGTGATAGTAGATGTTACTGCGGTCTGGGCAGGCTTTTCCATCCTTTTTTCCTTCCGATTAATAGCATCAAAGTCGACTCCAATATCAGCCAATGGGTTTATTTTAGCTGCACAGAAAATAAAGTTAATTCTTGCAGAAAGGACATATTTCATGACATTTTTTACCAAGGGAAAAGTGAGTACTTACGTCCAGATATATTCAAATTGACGAGTCCTCTGCTCAATGTATCAGCCCAAACTGCTGACTTTGGCTCAAATTTATCCTTTGATGGTAGTGGAACTATAGCAAGTGCTCCTGTTGACGAGGGAGGAGCAGTCTGTAGTACCATCGAAGTGGTTGATCCTGGTGGTGAAAATAAGCCACCTAGGGCATCATTGTTATTTTGGGAACCTGGTGCCTTTGTGGATTGATGAGCACTCTGCAAAGCAACAGGTACAACAGAACCCTGCTGTGGAAGGACGTTTCCAGTGTTAAACTCGACAGCTGGTCCAGCAGGATTTTGAGGTTGAGCAGCCATGTGTGAACTGACAGGAGCATTAGAACCTATCTGAGAGATGATGCTCCCATTGCTGCTCTGTGCAGCAGATCCTGGAATTTGAGGAGTCATAGACACAGTCTGTGGGTAAAAATTATCATATGTATTATTCGAACTTGGTTGCGTGGGTTGGGCATATGGATTAGCATTTGGCTGCACATGTTGGCCATAAGGACTAGCATTTTGCTGCATGGGTTGGCTGTATGGATTAGCATTTGGCTGTGCAGGTTGGTCATATGGATTAGCAGGTGCCTGTGCAGGCTGGCCATATGGATTAGCACTTAGCTGTGCCGGGGGGCCGTAAGGATTAACACTTGGCTGTGCGGATTGGCCATATGCATTAGAACTTGGCAGCCCGGGTTGGCCATATGGATTAGTACTTGGCTGTGCAGGTTGGCCATATGGATTAGCACTTGGCTGTGTGGGTTGGCTGTACATATTAGCACCTGGCTGTGCCTGTTGACCATAGATACCTGGCTGTGCTGATTGGCCATAAGTAGCTACTGGTGTTGCAGATTGGCTGGTTTGTGATGAAAAGGCTGCAAAAGAAGCTACATCATCTGCAGGTCCAGAAGGTGGAAGGATATCCGCCAATATATCAGTTTCCTGATTTGGAGTTGACAGCTCCTGAGGCAAAAACTGAGAGTTTGCTGATGGAGGCTGAACACTGGAGACACTGAGCCCAGAGTAAGGATTGGCAGAGAATGAGTCCCCAAAGTTGAAGTCTGTGACTGTCTCGGATTTTGCAGAAGGTGGCTGAGGAACTTCAGCATTTTGATTTAATGTAGGCTGGAAGGTAGGCATCGAAGTTGAAATGTGTAGCTGTGATGGGCCAGCATCAGTTGAAGGGAAAGCTTTAAAAGGACCATCACCAAATGGATCATCAAAACCCTGTATCAAGAACAAAACTAACTTATCCCCTAACAACAGAATTATGGCAACAAATTATTTATAAAACATTTAAGTACACTGAAATTAAAGAACAAAGATCAAGGTTCAGAGGGGTAAACAAGTGGGAGAGATAGGAAAGAGGGAAAGATGGTTATATTCATAATCAATTAGTGAAAAGAATACTCGGAAACATTTAGTGACATAATTCTAAACAAAATTTCACCTTTTTATTTTTTGAAATTTGTTCTAAAACCTTTTATGTTACCCCTTCTATAGTAGTAAGTATGCAGATGATCCCAGTGGTCCGACAAAATTGCTTCATTTTTAACTATCCATGCTGTTTTACGTGATGTTTCAAATAAAGATCCTTAAAACAAATGACAACAAATAAGGCAACAATAGAAGAGCATATCCACATTCATGGTTCCATCAAATGGCATATTGTAAACAAGTGCCATGAAATCCTTGTATATGAACCAAGAAAAATGGACTTTAGGAAGTCTCTCAATTAAACAAATCATATCTACCTGATTTCCAAAGTCAGGTGCCGATTGATTAGCAGCAAAGGTGGGTATAGCAACAGATTTAGCATGGGCATCGGCATCACCAGCAGGGATTGTAGGTATAGTTGGCACAACGGCCAATGAATCTGACAGAGTACCAAGTAAGTCTATTTCAGCACTGGTTGAAGCAATGGGAACAGCAGTAGCAGCGGTGGGTGTAGCAGCAGGAGCAACAGTAGAGGCAGCTGTAATAGATGAGCAAAAGATGAAAAAATAAGTTCCGGTTATAATGGATAAATGCAAGAGCATCAATAAGACTCCAATCTAAGCTCCTCAAACATAGGAGTTTTATTCCACACAATCACATGAAACGCCAACCAGAAATTTCAACGAAATTGAGTAAAGAAAATTCAAAATTGAAAACAAGATGTCGCTGGAACAGTCTTTTATGTTTTAAGGCTGCCTAACCATAAGGTCATGTACAATAATTCAAAATTCTCACTAGCATATAACCAACTGCACAAGTTTAGCTTCCGGAAAATTACTATCAACATATAAATGATTAAATCTAGTCAGAAAGAAATATGCATTTTACAGATAAAAAAAAATACACTAAAACCTACCACGTGAAAGAAAAAAATGAAATGGAATGTGAAGCAACAGACCATATGAAACTTAATACTCGGACAACTCAGAAATTTACATTTTACTGTGTTTGTTCAAGTCAAAAGATCACCACATCAACTAACGTTCATATTGGATGAGAAATAAGGGTACCAAATGAAAGACAACTATGATCATCCAGGCAATGCCACCGGAGCATCCAAACCATGGAATTTATATAGAAATTTTGTACCTGAAACTGAACCCCGTGGATCAAATTCATCAAAAGCCTCCACTTTTTGATTTGGAGGAGATGCTGAATTACCAAAATCAGAAGCTGCTTGGTTAGGATTATTGCCAGCAGAAGGAGAAGAAACCCTGGGAGCAGCTGCAACTGAAATTTCTCCATCCCTATCATCAAAGATCTTTTCATCATGCACCAACTAGAAAAACACAATTGCAAGCAACATGCCTTTGAAATTTTAAGGTACAAAGCAATACCTTTCACTATGGACAGGACTCCGAGATTCACTTACTGCTTCTTCATAACTGGGAGGAGCACCAATATTTTGTTCAGAAAACTTCCGCTCATGCTTCCTGCACAAAAATGATTTTCAGAAAATTTTAGAAACAAGAAAGCAATAATTGTTTCTAATAAAAAATTGATCAACTAAGACAAGTTGAGAATCCATCTACTCAGGGTTACCTTCCATCCTGAGAATGATCATCAGCTCTAGCACCACTACCCCTGTGCAGAGAAGATGGTCATGCTCATTAATTACATTCTCCATGTCAAACATCCCATGAAGGTATGAATACCATACATAAAATTCAAAGGAGGAGGGTCATAAAAGCTAATAAATCTGGACATATCACATAGCGAACTGACAACCAAAAGCTCATTGTGATAGAAAAATTCCAAGGAAAATTACCGAGTAAATGCACCATTTAACTATCCTAATCTAGTGCAAAAGAACTTGTTAATATTCACACCTTCCACTGTGTAAATTGTATGTCTTTAATAATATCCAAAAGAAAAAAAAAAGTTACTTCAACAAAAATTGAGACAAAGTTAAAATAATTGAATCAACAATATTAATGTGTCCTTAAAAAGAACATAGCAATAAAAAGGTCTCAAAAGTAAATAAATGCATACCGAGATGAAGCACCATCATCATCAAAAGCACAGTCTCTATCAGAGCTCCTATTTGTGCCATATTGATCATCATCAACACTTCTACTTCTACCTCTGTAGTCATCATCCCTGTAGCCATCTCTGCTGTAGCGATCTTCATAATCTCCTCTACCATAACGATCTCCATCTCCACTGTTTGAATCCCCATATCTTCCATACTGATCATCATCTCTATAGCCATATTCCCTGTCTCTTCCATAACCATTCTGATACTCTTCCTTGCTTCCATATCGATCATAATCATATCTGTCGCCATATCCCCCTGAACCTGGCCTATACATTCCAGCCGCTGATGTGTTTTGAAACCTGCAGAACAAACAGTTATATATCATGAAAGAATTCTACATTTCCATTCATTTATATTACCATATCTAAAACTAATTTCCAAAGGCAAAATTTATAACACATTGCCTATGGGATAAAAAAATTAAATCATACAGATCCCAATGATCATAAGCAAGAAATGTCATCAGAACTTACAGAATGGAACTCAAATAGAAAAGGAATCATTTACATAAGTTTAATACCCCATTTCAGCTATATTATCTATTAGAATAGAGAGGACCATGGCTGAAGAAAATAGATCCAAAATTATAAGTAGAAGACTATGATAGTCCACCATGCTATATCTCAGAAAGATATAAAATAGACATAAACCTTCCATAAGACACTAGATTTGGAAGGCAAGAGTTATAATTTGATGCCACTGGTAAATGGATGAACAAGAAAAATTCAAGAGACCTCTATTAATGGCAAAAATGGTGAAAATGCACCGGCATCTTAGAAGAAAAAAAATAATAAAGATTTAATCAATCTCAAGTCAATTTTCCCTGGACCTTGATATTAAAGATGCCTCCAACTCAAAATCACATGCACCAAATATGGATGTCTGTGAACTTCCATGTAAGCAACATATACCAAATAACAACTTGAACTTTCCTACCAGAGCAATGGAAAAAGCTATGCCATTCCATAACACAAAAAAATTTTGAGAAGTCCAAGTGTGAGAGAAAGTGTATTTGTATATGTGCATGCTCTTGCACACATGAAACTGTCATGTTGAAAATATGTATATTCTTGCAGACATGTACTTCTTGTGTTGAAACACAGATGTAAATGCCATGTTGAAAGAAAGTACACATTTTCATGGACATATGACTTTGAAAACTTCACAGAATATCAAAATAAGTATCAATTTTATCAATGCTGGTGATATGAAACACTTATTGGGAGGAAGGTTGAACAAAGCAAGGAGATTAAACATAAAGGCATTGTTTGCCGACTCACTTGTCCCTGTTAGCCACAGCCTTTTGTCTTACTTCAATTATTCTTTCTTTATCATTTACAAGGGCCACAAGGCTTTGAGATTTTTTTCGGACATTGCTACCTTGGTCCCTTCCACTGGAATCAATATACTGAAAATTGGACAAATTCTGTAACAAGGGAAGAAATATTTAATTAGACAAAAACATTTAAATACAGTGAGCTGCAGATTGTATCATCAACACTGCATGCAATATTGTTATATAGCATCAAGAAACAGCAATTACTGATATTTGATACGCATGCTCTCTTATGTCATCTATGACACGCTCTGATCCATGGGCGACAAGGTAGTCCAAAACAGTCAAAGCCTGGACCTCAATAAAGAAAATAACTTAGTACATTGGTATATTTTAATATAGGCAGAAAACAAAGGAAAAGTAAGAGATATACGAAGAAAATGCAAAGCAAATTATAGTACCCAAAAAATGCACATCACAACACAATTACCATTGCAAAATTAAAGATGGAGATTTAGGGAAAGGATAAATTTTAACTGTTACATGAAATTTTTTGACTACCATTTTTTTAAGTTGCAGAGAAACTAAATTGATAATAAATGCAACTAATCACTCGACATAATGCTGACCTTGTAGACATGACGCCAGTTCTTTCCAGTGTCATTAATACGTTTCCAGAGTACTGCCATAATCATCTGGTACTCATGACTGCATGAATATTCAAAAAATGAATTTCCATGTAACAAATAAGTAATAAAAATCATACATATTTCTCTCAAGCTTACTAGTTTCTTGTAGCCATTGCAATATCTGACAGAAGTGATCCATGAGGACCCCAGGGCTCATTGCTAGTGGCATCAAGAACCTGAAAGACAAAAGGAATAAAACAGAATAGTTTTATTTAAATCAGATAAATAAATTTTTAACAGCATTACAAGTAATATTGTCACTTTATTTCTTAGTGATTGTTGTTGTTCAAGAGTACTCTTTCCATTAAATACTTTTATGGACAATCCCCTCGCCAAAAAAAAAAAAAAAACTACGAAGAAAAGAGTTTGGAACCACTGTATTCAATCAAGATTTAGCTCAATCAGCATCAGAGGCACTTAATCAAACTTGAGAAGACATCAACACGGCAAAATGGGATCCTTCAGCAAATGTAAGAATCAATCCTTTTAGTACCCTTTCATTAAGAGCTCCCAACATTCGCTCAAAGGCTCAAACTGGGCTGCCCGTGATGCTCAACAGCTGATATAGAAGCTCTTCTTCCAAACCAAATGAGACAATTGTCAGAATTTTATTAGTCCAACCCTATTCCTTATAGTGCTTGATTGAGAAGTGACATATGTAGACATCTGACAGGTAGTAAACCACCCTTCATATAACATAAATATCCATCAACCTAGTAATCCAAAGACTATTAATTTTAATTTAGTTCTCGCACTTTTTCTCTCCGGTATTTTTTTTCTGAATACAAGATCAATTTTCTCTCCTCATTGTCACCTATCTATAATGCAGTCAAATAACATTAACCCTTGCAACTTGCCAAAAAAGACTCCTTTCATAAACTTTAACACTGGATTCCATTTATCATCTCATTTCTTTACCTTCCACAAAACTCAGACTCCCTAAGTATTGCTTGTTCTTCCTCTGTTGGCCTCTTTATTTCTACTCCATTTCTAGGATATGCAGCACTATAGAATCATAATAGTAATTTAACAAATAATATTAAAAGGCCCTCACTTTTTTGCTACTAAAATGCAGATCAAAATCAGAATCAATATCTACATCAGGGATTTAAATTGCGGTCGTGGTCCCAGTAGCATTTTTGGTCGGGTTGCATTTATCGTGGTTATAGATATAATGGAAACTATCATGGTCATTGTGGTCGTGATTTTTTTTTTTTTAATTTTGCGCAATGTATTATAACATATAGTAATTATAATTATAATCATAATCATAATAGAAACTCTTATTTTATGATTTTTAAAGTAATTTATGACACTTCATGTCTTTTATTTTCTAGAAAGAAATTATTCACAATTTTTTTGAGATTATAATGAAGTATTCACATTTAGTTTAATAGCAAATTTTTGCTTGAGCCAAGTTCATATTCAATATTATAACAAAGTTTCTAAAATTCATATTTCCTTTCACCCACTCACCCGCCACACCCCTCCAAATTTCCTATTTCTTTTTTTATGGAAAGTTTTTATTTCTTTCAGGCTTTCACTCACTCTCCTGCCCCCACCCTTCAGAAAGCCTCCTGCCTCAGCTTTCAATCCAGTGCCCATACACTCCAGCCTCCATTCCTCCAGAGTCCAGCCTCTACGTTTACTTCCTCACTCTTCTTCTTTTTCTCCACTCTTCTTCTTCTCGTCTCTCTCATAAAGACCCAAACCTCAAAATTAGTAAATCAGTAAAATCCTCCCCTCATGAGCTCTCCTGATCGAGCTCTCTGGCCTCCGCTTCCTTCCTCCCCCACCGATTTCAACACACACTCAGCCTACAGCCCACAGCCTCTCGGCCTCCCAATCACAGATCAGTCATCAGAGATTTTTTTCCACCAGCAATTTTTCAAAACAAACAGGTATTTTTAACTTACTCTTACCTTCAAATTACTTGTTCTTTGACATTTGATCGTGATTGAGGTTGTGTTGGGGAGAATTGAGTTGATTAAATTCTAGATGTAGGGTTACTGCCCATTCTTTCTTTTTTTTTTTTGTGGCTTCTCTTTCTCACTTTCTAGGGTTAGGCTAAGAATTGACTTATTGGTTTTTGTTGTTGATGTGCTTTCTGTTTTAATGGGCAATGGCATATGATTCTTATTCCAATTGAATTTTTTTCCCTTTTAAAAATCAGAAATGTGGACAAAAAATGAGGATAGCGGCAATAGCGGACCACTATTTCCACTATTCCTTGTTCCACATTCTTTTGTGGCCACAACGCACCATTTCGAATGTGTTTCAAATTCACAGCCGTTTTTTCTCAGATAGCGGTGGTGGGCGGAGGCAATACTGCGAAATAGCAGCTGCTATTTAATTCCCTGATCTACATATCATATCAACTAAAACCATATCTTGATAGTTATTAAATCCGTTGCCAAAGGAAAAACATGATTCTACTAGACACTGCTGACCATTGATACTTCAATTATGCAACAACTTATTTTTACCTACTCAAATGGACAGTGAACTTTCTAAACAATAGTCTTACCTTCTGCTCTATTCCCGGAACTTTAAGAACTTTCTTATTAACCTCTCTCTTACTGCAAAAACGAAGAACAAAAAATCATTTAGCCACTGGTTATAGCAAATACCAAGATGCAGGAATACAACAAACTAATTTACAAACGACCAAACGTGCAATCATCGTCTTTTATATATAATTTTGCAACCAAGAGACTACTTTACACTACAAAACATTCGGAACAAATTCAGTGATGTTATTACGATTGGGGAATTAGTATTAAGAATATACTTACAGGTCTCTAACAGTTTGACCAAAGGCCTTCTTCATCGTTGCCTGGGTTCAAAATGAAGCAGCCCTGTCACATAAGAGAAAAAAAATGGAAAGATTAGATTTTGAACCATTTTCGAACCACAATGGAATAAAATTAAATGCACCATAACATGTAAAGCTCGAAACATTACCAAAAAGTAGTCAAAGAATTGAAAAGAAAAATTCAAGATCATTTACAGGCAATATAATGAAATTAAATTTGCATAAAAGTCCAATTACACGAAATTCTAATGTATAACTTGAAAAGGAGTTAATTTAATAATAAAAGAAGCTAGCTAATTTGGATCAAAATTATATAAATTGAGAAATATTTTTGCAGATCCCTAGATTTTCAAATCGTATAATAAAAATCTAAGAAAAAATTGATGAAAAAATATAAATGTAATCTATGAGAATAAGAAACAAATCGCCAATCATTCAATAAAATAAAAAATAAAATTTTTGAACAATAATGGATTCAAACAAAATGAAAAATCAATCAAAATGAAGTGAATTTGAGCTAAATTTACAGATATTAAAATTAGATCATTGCGTAAGAAATCCAACGAAATCCCAAATTAAAAAAAAAAAAAAACTTAATAATAAAACGAATCAGATCTGAATGAGAGAAAAAAAAAAAAAAAAGAGAACGGAAACAAACAAAGATGGGAACCTTAACCTGATTAAATCGAAATTGAAACCGCAGATCTGACCGCAAATATAAATTTTCTTTTTTTATTTAATTCAATCGATCGTCGCTGTTAGAGAGAAAAAAAAAAAAAAAGAGGAAGAAAAGAGGAAAAGCGCGAATGGTTCTCTCTCCCGAGAAATGAATCTAAACGTTTGGTTTGGTTTGGGTTTTTTTTTTTTAATTTTCTTTCCCCTTTCTCTCTTTATTTTCGGAAGGAAGAATATAGAATAAAAAATGACAGCGCAAAGCACGCAGAAAATTCAGAGGTTTTTTTTTTTTTTTTTTTAATTACTATAGTATTTTTATTAATTACTCTGCATATTTTTTGTTATTTTTTGTTTGAATAAATTCAAATAAATTTATTTACTTCAAATTGTTTTTTTTTTATTTTGTCATTAATATTTGACTTGTAATAATAGTGAGAAATTGCTTTTTTTTATGTCTTTACTCCATCTTCTACTTTTTTTAAAAAAAATTTTTACCACTTAATCTCTTTTTCCTATCAATCATCGTTATCATTAATCCATCTAAATTTTAAATTTTTAACTGAAAAATTAGTAATAAAAATATTTTATTTTTAAATAAATTAATATTTGTGATCACCTGAGAAAATTATATTTTTATTTATAGTAAAATAATTATATATAGATAAAAGTATTTAAATGATTTTAATTGAAAAATATAGTGAATAAATTTTATTTAAAATGTAATAAATAAAAAAATTTATCCAAGTAAAGCTTTTTTATAATGAAACAGATTTAATTAAATTAAAATTCTTGTTTATACATTATAAAAAAATTTATCATTATTGATTTAAATATAATTTAAAATAATAATCAACAAAATTTATTTAAAATGATAATTTAGAAACAAGACAAAAAAAATACTTTCTTGTCAATCAAAAATTTTATACATGGTTCGATGTAATATGGATTTCTTAAAATTATTTTGAAATTATGTAAATATTACTTGACACTTGATTAATTAAGGTGTTTAATTGAATGATTAGTTTTTTTATTTTGAAATTTTGATTGAGACGAGTTGGTTGGGAGCATATAATTTATAATTTACTTTGATAAATCTAAAAAAAATACCAAATAAAATTCAAGAACCTTTTATCATTATTAAACAAATTCAAGCTATAAATGACTTTCTTTCCTGTTAAATGCTTGACCTACTTTTTAAAATGCGTTCATCTAAATTATAAAAGTTATCAAATAAAATTAAGAATTTTTATCATTTATTGATATATGAGGAACAAATATTTTTCAAAATATTATAATAGTTAATAAAATTTATAATTTAAATATTACATCAATAATTTTAAAATTGAGATATATATATTAAATATTTTATTATAATTTAAAAGTAATTTATAATATTAATCCTATTTATTAGTATTTATTAATGGTATGACTATAGTGTAGAGAATTGTAGGTGAAATATCTCGAATTGATTGGGTTACAAAATGTTATTGTGAGGTTTGCAATAATTGGGTTTCAATAGATAATATTACTTAATTTTTTATTTTTTATTTTAAATTATATTATTTTAATTATTCATAAATTTATTCATTCAATAAATTTGAATGAATGTATTTCCTGTCTAATATCATTTTAATTTAATTAAATTTATATTCATATCAATTATTAAATATATAAATTATTATGAATCATATTTAAATTACATAAATTTATCTATTCATGAATTTAATCACCAATCTCTAACCATCTAAATGACCTCTTTCAATCAAAGCCACCTTTCACTATTATTTAAAAAAAAAAAAAAAACTTAGATTACTTGAATTAAAGTGGAACTTATCGAGAGACAATTGATTTAAATGGTAAAAAAAAATATTTTTTTTTTTATTATTTGCGTTGAAATTTATTTGAAGATTATAAAAAAAAAATTTTTTATAAATTTAATAGATTTAACATAAAATAAATTTACTTTGATAAATCTAAAAAAAATACCAAATAAAATTCAAGAACCTTTTATCATTAAATTAAACCAAAAAGTCAAGCCTATAACCATCTAAACCGACCTTATTTCTTTCCTTGTTAATTATGCCTTGACCTACTATCTTTAAATAATGCGCTTCATCTGATTTGATGATAAAGTATATATATAAAGAGCCGGCTTGAATCACTTTCCTAAATTGAAAAAAAAAAAAAATCAAACATTCATAGGATACCTAATTTGACTGCTTCGATCTATGTCGTCAATAGCTCAACAACATAATCAAATGGGAAATTTAATTCAATTCGAAAATATGTTAGGTTTCGGTTCTCTCAAAATTAAATAAAAAATTTAAAATTGTTTTATAATGATAATTTTCACCGGTTAACGTAGTTGTAAAGCTAAAATAATGAATCAATGTAAAATAAAATTGAATTGGAATTATTTTATTATTCTTTTTCTCTTGATACACTAAATCACAAAAATAGTAGAGAAGCATATTTGCAAGAGAAAATGCAATTTTATATTTTAGATTTTTAAATATCATTTTATTGTCTAAATCTTTAAAAATTTTAATTATTTTCGATACGCATAATAAGATAGAAGTCTTTCTCATTCAAATCCAAATGAAACTTTTATTATAGGATTTTCCTTAAATCTTCTACCCTTTATTTTTATTTTTTTAAATTTCAAAAAAATTATAAGTATTGATTTCTCCTCAATTTTTCAAATCTAAGGGAAAAAATTTGACAAAGAATTAATAATTAGAAAAGAGAACAAGATTTAGCAAAATTAGGAAAGTGGGATTTCAAAAACAATAATGAAAATGCAATTTTGATGAAAAATAAAAGTAATTATATTATTTTATACATTATTTTATTTTTATTCTTTTTTTTATGAAGAGCTTCTAAATTTGACTTGGCTTAGTATTTGACTAATCTGGTAGAAGCTTCCCCTATATGCCTTCCATCCACCTATTTTCAATTGTCATTAGGAGAAAAAAACACGCATTACAAGTCAAATATCAATCCTTCCATTTGTAGGAATTATTTATTTACTATTTAGAAAATTTAACTTTTGAATATTTAGTAAATTGACCGTTATAGAATATTAAACATGTAATTTTAAAAATTAGAGTTCAAATTTGATAATTTCAATAAAAAATATAAATTTTGAAAAAAAAAAAAAATAATGTATAGGGGTTGATCAAAATAATGAAAGAGACTCTACCAAAGCAGATGACAAAAGTGAAAGTAATCAACATGTTTTTTTCTATTTAATTGTCTTAATTTATTGGCTAATACAAAAAGGAGTTCCATAATAATGATGAAAAGGCCAAGCTTCACAAAGTCTTTTTTTTTTTTTTTTCTAAAAGACAAACTTTCTCTTATTTTTAAAAATGTATATTTATATTATTCAAAAATTTTAATATAATATTTATATTTTAAAAATATCCAATGTAATACTTGTACTATTATTTGTTATGTTAATGTGGTATTAGTATATAAAATTAACATCGTGAATTACACTTTAAAAATATCAAATGTAATATATGTACTTCAAAAATATATTTAGCCCAAAGTTTAGAAAACACGAATGTTATTTATTTTTAGGCTAAAATAATAAAAAAAAAATCTTAAACCGTTATATTTTCATTATATTCAAATAAGTCATTAACATGTAGTTTGCATTCAAATAAATTTTTAATTTTTAATTTGTATTTAAATAAGTTTTTAATATATAATTTGTACATAAATTAAACCCTTAACATAAATCAAATTTTTGTTTGATATAAGAGTTTATTTGAATACAAATCAAAATATAAAATTTTATTTAAGAAAAGTGAATAGTTTATAGTTTTTTTCAAAAAAATTAAAATATTTTAGAATTATTCTTGTTATTTACTTTTATTAGTATTTCAAGTTTCAATTTCACCTTATCAACATGATATTAAACAAACAAGCATCAAAACAGCAGAAAATTAGATGGCCATACAATGCCGAAATAGATGGTGTAAGAAACCATACTTATTTGCAACCATTAACGTTTAACATTGATGACACAAAATTTCAATAAGCGTTTGAACCCAGGAAAGGGGAAAAGCAGGACAGCTGATGCATATTATTTAAATGTTTGACGCCATTCACCAGACGATAATTGGTTCACAAACAGGTGTCTCTATGTGAACTGAGCTAACCTTGATGAATTATCAACTAGGAGGATTGCCCTCTCCTTTGACTCCATAGACACGCTCTAAGCACTCTTTAGCCCTATAAACCTTTGACTGAAGATAGAAGCTCCCTTTCTTGGCATTGTTCTCAAATAAAACATCATACTTCTGCAATTAAGTAATGGAAGAAGTTTGAAAACCTGCTCAAGATGCAAGTAACAGAAAAGAAAAAAAAAAGAAAAAGAAAAAGAGATACTAGCCTTTATTATGTCCTCCCAAGTACTTTCCTTACTTACACTAAGAATCTGCCTGGCCTCTTGCTCCGTCATGACTTTGCGGACACTACGGGCTGCATTTTGTAGTGTCTCCTGGGTAATACCAGATCTGGCAGCATCTGCAATAAACTTCTTGTTTAGAAGATTGATACATATGAAGCAAACACAGGACCTGCCACTAGATAAATATAATCATCCTGATGTTGTTATTTCTCCCTGACATACTTGCCATGCTACAACAGCAACAATAACAAACTAAGCTTAATATCTCATACTCTGGGTCGGCTGTATTATAGACTAAAATAAAAAATCATGTTAGGTTGTAGTTTTGAAATTTTTTTTGCGTCACTCATTTCTATCAACTCATGCTTGTCACACCATAGCAATAGAAAAAAAAAAAAAGAAAATGCTGTAGAGTACCAGATACCGACTGATAAAAATTGCAGATTATCAATCACTTAGGTGTTGGCACAATACTGCTGTTATTTTGTTTCAATCAACAATAGAATGCTTATTGGAACTAAACCAGCTTTCTTCATGGACTTATTCAACAATATTTCACCATGAGTAAATCAACATCAGTATATATTAGACAGATTATGATGAATAATATAGTAAGACCATATCTTGGTTACAATCAATAAAAGCAAGCTCCTACTTTTCAAGCAAAGTAAAATCATGAAATAACAATAGTGCAGTAAACTAACTTGCAAGTGCTTGACGGTATGCCTGAACAAAAGCCCGAGCCAATATACCAGAGCCCATTATAATTAACTGGGCAAGAATCTTCGAAGCCTACAAAAAAGAATACATGGGTAAGAGAAAAAGAATGATAATACCATCAAAGTAAAAGAGTATAACAACAAAATGTAAGTATGACAGTTTTACATCATCTCTCTCTTGAATCTATAGAGCTCAACAAAGCTGACTGCAAACTTTATAAAACCTTTTAAACAGGTTAATGTTGTCTAGAATTTATTCTTTAATTTAAAAGTTGCATTTCATGGTTCAATGTAAGATATTTTCACCTCTATCTTATTCTTAGAGCCCTTTCAAGTTTAAACAAGCTACTTCTTACCAGCAATCCACAAGTTTGAACAACAGGGCCAAAGAATCAGAAGGAATATCTTGACCTTTTTTATATGGCTTATAATTTCAGAAATGTGATGACTATAACTAGGAATGAACTTGTATGGCATGATCTCTTTTTATCTCTGTACATGATAGTACCACAATCATTCTAGCAGGTATTCACTTTAATGCTCAATTTGCCGGTATGGGAAAACTAAGCATCACCTAAGTAAAACATATTGTAACTAGACTCATTTGAGAGTTGAGATACATTTAAATTCTTAAAAATAAAATCAATATGAAACATAAAGTTCAAAACACTAATTTAAATTTATTTCCTCTATAATCTATAACCAAAAATAACCAAAAATACGCTAAAGAGGCAAGAAGAAAAAGCTTGGTGATCCTATCACAAGTGTTGTACTAAAAACTGTAATACCTAACATCACAATTAAGAAAAGAATAAGATAGAGGTATTCAAGAAAGATGCAACCACAAATTCACTACACGAAACTATTCGGATTTTAAGTCCACCATGAATAAGAGTACAATCCTCTACCTATCCTTTCAAAATTACTTGCAAAATCAAAAACCCAAATGCATATAGATTCTAAAAAATTATGTCTAACATCCATGTCTTTATCTGTAACAAACACGAAAACAATCCGGGTTTTAAGCCTACCATGAATAAGAGTCCAACCCTAAAACTATCCTTTCAAAATCAAAGAACCAAATGCATATCGAATCTAAAGGACAGTAAAAAGCTGAGCCAGATTATTTTATGTAAAAACCTGAAACCCAAATGCATATGGAATTTAAAGGAGAGTAAAAAGCTGATTCGGGTTTTATGCCTATACTTTTAAATTACACTCAACTGCATAGAATGAGAGTAAAACGCTTAACCACTCTAAGACAGTAACGTCTATACTTTTGTCTGTGCAAATTATCAAAAAAATACATGATATATTGCCAATTGTCAGAAAAATTTTGTCTGTGCAAATTGTCAGGAAAGTGCTAGTGTTAACGATGATAAAACTGAGTTACCTAAAAATTTACAAGCAATTTAAAACATTCAAATTAGCATAGAAAAAAAAACACATTTTTTAAACATTTTTTATTACAATTTCTTAGCTTTATTTGAATTTAATAATAAATATCCTATAAAATAAAAAAATATGAAATTAATTTAGTAAAATAAAATTAGAGAATCACAAAAATAGTAGGTGCCATAACTCAAAACAAAAAGAGATTTTTAGCAGAAAATATTTTTTTGATTTTGATTGTAACATAATTTTAAAGGAAAGAGAAAATTTCAAAAAAGGAAGGACAAGCCTTATATGGATTTTTTCCAGAATTTTTTCTTGGAAAGGAAGTTGACAATAAAAAATCCCAATTTTAGAGCATGAAATTTGACCCAAAATAGAGGTATTCAACAAGATTTCAACCAGAAACCCACCCCACGAAACCATTCAGATTTTAAATCCAACACAGTAAAACCCTCTACCTATCTTTTTAAATTAGGTTAGTTACTTGTAAAATAAAAAACCCAAATGCATATAGATTTTAAAAAATTATGTCTAAAACACATCCATATCATCTTTGTCTGTAGCAAATACAAAATAATTCGGGTTTTAAGTCTACCATGAGTAAGAGTCCAACCCTATACCTATCCTTTCAAATTAGGTTAGTTAAGTGCTTGCAAGCACCCAAATGCATATAGAATATAAAGAACAGTAAAAAGCTGAGCCAGATTATTTTATCTAAAAACCTGAAACCCAAATCATTATAGAATGAGTAAAAAGCTCAGCGTAAGAAACTGAAAACCAAATGCATATAGAATCTAAAGGAGAGTAAAAAGCTAAGCTAAAAAGTTGAAAGATTATGTCAAATACGAAATGATTCGGGTCTAACCTTATACCTATCCTTTCAAATTACACCCAAATGCATAGAATGAGAGTAAAACGCTGAACCACATCATGTCTAAGACAGTAACATTCATATCTTTGTCTGATTATCAAGAAAATTATTGCAAATTGTCAGGAAAACATATGACATATCTTTGTCTGTGCAAAAAAGTGCCAAGATGATAAAACTGAGTTACCTAAAAATTTACAAGCAACCTAAAACATTCAAATTAGCATAGAAAAAAAACACATTTTTTAAACATTTTTTATTACAATTTCCTAGCTTTATTTTAATTTAACAATAAATCATCCTAAAAAATAAAAAACATGAAATTGATTTAGTGAAATAAAATTAGGGAATGACAAAAAGAATACGTACCATAGTGGATAGAATTCAATTTAATCAAAACGAAAAGAGATTTTTAATAGAAAAATACAATTTTGATTTTGATTGTAACATAATTTAAAGGGGAGAGAAAGTTCCATAGAAGGAAAGAAAGGCGTAATATGGATTTTTTCCAAAATTTTTTTTCTTGGAGAAGAAGTTGGGACTCAAAAGTCCCATTTTAGAATATGAAATTTGACGCAAACAAAGTCGAAAAATGATATATAAATATAGAAAAGAAGAAGAAGCAAAACGAAAAAATATAAACCTTGTTTGTTAGAGTTATCACAGATTTAAACTTGTTTACTGTGAATAAATTTATTTTTTTAATTTATTATTTTTTAAAAAACCCATAATCATATATAATAAATATATAATATATTATGAATACAAAGATATAGAATAAAGTTTGCTATATGAGTGTTTTTATAGACAGTTTTTATAATAACATGTAAAATAATATTTATTAAATACTATTTAAAAATAATCAAATATAAAATATTTCAAATTAAACCATTGATTCTTATGATAAATTCAAAATATATAAATATTGGTTTAAATTTAAATTTATTTTTAATAAAGAGGGATCCATTTATTAGTGTAAGAATTATATATTTTTATAACCTTTGAATTAAAATGATTAAATATAAGTGTTATAAGCTTAATTTTGATCCAAAAATTAAAAAAAATATAACTCTTATGACTAATATAAATGAATCTCTACTATTTTTTATCTTTATACATCTAGATCTAATAATATATTATTTAATATAATCAAAAATCAAAATAATCCAATAATATATTATTCTTATATATATATATATATATATATATACAAAGTTGGTTCACTTGCTTCACTTTTTTTTTTTTTAATTTTTATTGATTGTATATACAAATAGATATAATAACTCATGTTTTCGTATCATATTTTGTATCTTGTTTGACATATATAGTAACATGAATTATTAAAATACAAATATGATACGAATTATAAAACGTATTTAAATATTAAACACAAACATGACACACTTAATATATGTACTATATATGACACGATACAATTAACATGTGTATAATTAATTCATTTAAATATAATATGTATAAACATGACTAACACGGATATACATAATTAACATGAATATATATAAATAGACATGACTAACATAAATATATATAAAAATACGACTAAAATAATAACTAACTATAAACTATCCATCATTTACAGTTTATTAAATTTGGTATATTAATAACATAAAAAAAGTACTTACATATTAAAAAAATTTAATTCTCATTTAATATGTATTTAATATATATATTTAATTTTAATTTATATTACATAATTATATTAATTTTTAGTATAAATTCAAAATGGAAAACTATTAAGGAATAGAGAATAAAATAATAATGTATAGAGGTAATATTAATATTAATATTATTATATTATTAATATAAAAATAATTTTATAATAATTATTAAATGAATATCATAATTAAATGTTTAAAATAATTTTTATATGATATTAAATAATTAATTAAGTATCATAATTAAAAGATTAAAAATTAAAATAATCTTTATATGTTTATATTAAATTAATATAAATATAAAAATGGGTTAAACGTATTAAATATGTTAAATGTATACTTGTATGATAATATTAAATCAAATGTATCATTCGTGTCATGTTATGTGTTTAGATGTGTTAACACATATACAACATGAATTGTATCATGTTGAAATTTGTGTCAATAAGAATAAATACGAAATATGTTTTTTTAAAACATATATATAATTTTTTCTATATCGTTTTCGTGTTGTATCATCGTGTCGTGTTTAAAATTATCATGTCTATGCACAATCAATAAAACAAAAGGAAGTTTCATAACCCTATTGAAAGCATTAAGCTTGAGACAATTCATAATTTGGTTTTAACCTAATTAATGATTGAATTGATTTAATTCAATTAATTAATCAATCATCAAATTAAATTTGATTGTTTATCAAAAAATTTTATAATAAATACTATTTTTGGTTAATTTAATATGATAAAATAAAAAAATCAAATTAATTGAAGTATTAATCGAAATATTAAAAACCTTATATTTTTAATTTTTGGTTGATGCTTTAAGTTTATGTTATTAGCATATTATGGATGTATTTTCGTATTTGAATATTTTGTTAAATAATTTTAAATAATTATTTAAATTATGTAAAATTAAGAGTTTAAAATATAATATAATTTAAATGAATGTCATTTTTGATTAAGTAAATTAAATGATCAAATCAAATTAAATTTAACTGATTAAGTTTTCAAATCACTAATGTTTTTTGGTGTTATCATATCACTAAATTTGAGTCAATTAATAAAAATAAAATAAATAATTCAATCATTTTAATTTTAAATTAATCAAATCGATCTAATAAATCTTACCCCCCAAACTTGCATCTTGTTTGTTATTTACAGGGTCAACTTAAAACGAATCGACGATAGGCCTTTAAGGTAAACAATTATAATAATGAAGGGTACCTTATCCAAGACCTCACCCCTAACCCTAGAAAGTTGAAAGATTGCATTATTAATTAACTGCTTTGTAGTTCGTAAAATTTTTTTAATGAAATTAGTAAATATTACAAAAATAATTGCATAATTTTTAATATTTACCAAATAATAAATTCATAAAAAATTTAATAAACAAATCAATAAATTCATAAAAAAATAAATCAATTAAACAAATAAATTAATATAAAATTAGATTGAATCTATATATGTTGAAACATAAACCTAAAATCTAAAAATTCTAAGATTTTCTCATTGTCATTGGAACAAAACCTCCAACATTTGTGCTCTAACTATTTGTTTCATTAAATAAGTTTATTGAATAAATTTAAAATTGAGTTTACAAATTCATTAAAGGGTAAAATATATTTTAAATTCGATTTTGAACTTTGTTGACAAATATTTTAAATGCATATTTTAAAGTTACACTAGATTTTTACTATTTTAAAATATGACATATATATAATTTTTCATTAAATAATCAAAATTTATAATGAATTTAAAATGTAAGTATTAATTATTTAAATAATGATTAAATTTTTAAGGAGTTATTAGTTTGTTAATATTGGTGATATTATTCAAATCTAACTAGATAGAAAGGAAAATATGTAATATTTTTGGAACATATAGTATACTTCAAATAAAAAGTTGGAATATGAATGTATATACTTTCTTTTATTATAAATATTGTGCATAACTGCCTCTAAAGCAAGATTGTTAAATTAGGTTATGAAATATTTAGAATAAGTTCATCTTATTTGAAATATCAAAATGACCAGTGAAAGGATTCAACCATAAAAGAACAGGTAAAGATATATACTTATCATGATA